TCCTTTGGCGTTGCGTAGAGATGTGGGGTCTCTCTGCATCTTCTACCGCATTTACCATGGAGAGTGTTCAGAGGAGTTGTTCGGATTAATACCTGCAGCTGAGTTTCGTCATCGGACGTCGAGGCAGAGTACGAAATTCCACCCGTATCACCTCGACGTCCGCCGTTCCACAACTGAGCGTTTTTCAAGGCAGTTTTTGCCGCGCACCACCACTTTGTGGAACCAGCTGCCCATTGAGGTATTTCCGAACCATTTCGACTTAGGGTCCTTCAAGAAAAGAGCGTACCGATTCCTGAAAGGCCGGCAACGCACTCGCGAGCCCTCTGGCATTGAGAGTGTCCATGGGCGGCGGTATCACTTAACATCAGGTGAGCCTCCTGCCCGTTTGCCCCCTGTTTTTATAAAAAAAAAAAAAAAAAAAAAAATGGAAAAATAGGCCAAAAATAATCAAATCTACTATTTTTTTTTATAGAACGGGGGCAATCGGGCAGGAGGCTCACCTGATGTTAAATGATACCGCCGCCCATGGACACTCTCAATGCCAGAGTGCGTTGCCGGCCTTTTAAGAATTGGTACGCTCTTTTCTTGAAGGACCCTAAGTCGAATTGGTTCGGAAATACTACAGTGGGCAAAAACTGCCTTGAAAAACGCTCAGTTGTGGAACGGCGGACGTCGAGGTGATACAGGTAGAATTTCGTATTCTGCCTCGACGTCCGATGATGAAACTCAGCTGCAGGTATTAATCCGAACAACTCCTCTGAACACTCTCCATGGTAAATGCGGTAGAAGATGCAGAGTGACCCTACATCTCTACGCAACGAGAAAGGATCAAGCCGCTCGGAGAGGGATTGGTCGTGTCGACGAGTCGAACCGCTCTTCGTTGAATACGGTCAAGTGGAAGGAGCTGGTACTGGGGAGGCCTCGCCCAGAGGTGAGAACAGTACTCCATGTGGGGCCTAATTTGCGCTTTATATAGTTGCATGCGCTGGCCCGGAGTGAAGTACCGCCTCGCCTTGCTGAGCACACCAAGCTTTTTGGAGGCTAATTTAGCCTTTCCCTCCAAGTGACCGCGAAACTGAACGTCGTTCGATATGTCAACGCCAAGTGCAAGTGCAATTCCAATGCTGGCTGTGGCTTTAAGAAGAGTGTTTTCGAAAAGAGGAGTAGCGTATTTTATCATAGTGTGTCCCATTTTGATATCAAACATCTGTAATTTTTACGAATGTTTTTTTATCGAGAAACGCTCCAAGGTTCTCAAACTTCTTGCTTGATGATCTCAAAGATCATCTTTGATTAACACAAACCTGAATTATTTAGTCAAAAAACAAACCCCAGCTGCAAGGTTAACTATGTTTATCTTTTCTTTAGTAACCGACAAGAATTGAACATAGATAGAGTAGGTAACAATAATTTAAAAAAGGGTGCGTGTACTTATGTACGCGCGTTAGAAGTTATACTTCTTTGGCTTTCTTTATTTTTTTTTAATATAATTAATTAATAATTAATATTTAACGTAAACAATTGAATAATATTTATTATTTAGTATATTATTCAATTATTTATTAATATTAATAAGAATTATTATTATTTATTATTTTATTATATATATATTCATTCAATTTAATAACTTGGTATGTTTCATAACCTTTTAACTAAGTAACAATAGGTCTTTGTGAAAAAACATTACTAAATTTCTTTGAAAAAATAAATAATTTTAAAACTCCTTTATTTGTTTAAAAGGTAAATGTCATTATGGTCATTCAAAATTCTTGGCATAGCTGCGAACTACACGCATATTCTATTTCTTTTTACTTGTAGATTGTCTTATTCCCATCTCGCTCGCGCACGCTATAATCACACTGACAACTTTGTGTCTCAGGTGCGCGCGCATCGTAAAATTTCACTCTCATCAATTTTTCATAACGCGCCTAAAGAAGTATAACTTCAAAAATAACAAAGAAATACGGTTTACAAAAATAACAAGAATTCATATGAACAAGGATTTGTTGACTGACTCACTTATTCACAGAGATCTCTTAATTATTATCCAATAAACGTGATAAAAAGTATTACCTAGTGACTCGTTGTACTACTGCGGTAGGATGGGGCGTGATATTGAATTGCAGCTCAAGAGTACGAGCCTGTCGAGCCGCACCACGATTCATTCCACGACCATGAACTGTTGCCTTGTGAGCTACGAAAAAAACTCTAACTCTTAAAGGAAAAAGACAAATTAGTTTAGTCCTATTTAAACGGTCTTATATAACTAGTAAAAATATTCTCTTAAAAAATTTAAATTAAAGAATCCAAAGCCTCATTCATTATTTTAATACTGTTTTAATAAAAATAAATAAATCAGTGGCGCTACAACCTCATGAGGTCTTGGCCTCAGATTTCTGAATCTGCTTCATGATCATTTTTAAATCTAATAGGCAAGTAGGTGATCAGCCTCCGTTGCCACACGCCGTCGACTTTTTGGGTCTAAGACATGTCGGTTTTCTCACGATGTTTTCCTTCACCGTTCAAGCAAATGTGCACAGCCGAGGATCGAACCTACGACCTCAGGTATGAGAGTCGCACGCTGAAGTCACTAGGCCAACACTTCTCAATACTTTTTTATTATTTGGCGTTAAATCGTCACTTGTAAAACATGTAGATATTTTCTATGGCTTTCACTCACCCTTGAGATCAATTTCACTCCTAAACACAGCGGTAAGATGTTGTCCAGCACAATCACCCTCCTCACATAGAAAATGTTCAGTCCTAAAGTGATGTGCCAGAGCTGCATGTGACGCATAGTATAGATTACGTCCATCAACATCACAGAGATGACAATAAAGATGCTCTTTACGCAAATGACGATATAATTCATCCGCATCCATAAACCGCTCCTCACAGAATTCACAAAGTGGGTGGCCTCTATAATATAATTATATTAATATTAGAACATTGATAGCCGCCATGCCTCTGTAGATTCAGTTCTTGGTAAAATCATTTATAGCAGATGTGAAACTCTAATTCAACACAATTTCTAAGCAAGTACTTGGAAAGTTTTCATAACAGTCATTATTAGGATTATAAGATAGGACACCAGCCTTAAAGTAAACTATATACAATAAAATACATGTCAACTATAAAAGAATATATTTTTACCTATGAGAGGTGTCATCAACATCTCCTTTCCGTCTGTGGTGGGCTAACTCCTGACGAGTGTAGCACTTTCTTTCGCTTGTAAAAATCTGTAAAATGTAACTAATGATGATTCAGTAATATCACATTTAAATAAGTAATAAGTTTAACAGAAATAATATAATAGTATCACACAAGTCAAATTACCTAAATTAGAACATGCCAACTTACCCTCAAATGTTTTACACAGAGGTCACAGAAATATCTTTCATGCACCTTTCGCATATGATCACTCAGCATATTGAAAGTGCGGAAGTGCACATTGTCACAGAGCTTACAATTATTCTCCAGTAATTCTTCATAAGCCTTCTTTATCTCTTCACTACAAAAGCCTATTTTAAACTGTCTTTCAAAGAGTTTATCTATAAACACCTTGTTGCAGACTTCTTTAAAGAGCTTGATGGAGTCAGTAAAAATGACCTGAAAATATAAACAATATATTGAATTTCCTCAAATTATGGCTAATTTAATATTTACATTTATACAAAAAAATTAAGCTAAAAATGGAATAGACATTTAAACACTAATTTCAAATAAGTAAAAAAATTTGAAGCAAAAAAATATTGTTTGAATACAGGGAAGAAGGAAATAAGTTTGGTACAGATCGGTGTTGAGAAAAACTGGACGCTGGAAATTTTAACCAGTGTGGTTTCTTTCTTATAATATTAAGATATATTTTATAGGAATGATAAGAAAGCAAGCTTTAACTTAGGCTATATTTTCTAATGGATTTAACAAATTGGACTAACCTTCGCAAGATCTTGACGACAGATTGGGCATTCATTTTGCAAACACAGCACTCTCATACGGGTTGAACACTCGAAGCATACGGGATGATCACACTCTCCAATAGAGAAATATACAACAGTTTTAAAACATACTACACACGTAGTATTATCATTTGCATTTGAATCGGCCATGGTTCTGACGAAAATATCTAAAATTGAGAAGTATGTAAGATTTTCATGTAAAATAGTTTAAAGGTTGATTTCGATTGAGTTAAACATTACCTACCACAGATGACAGAAGAAGTTAAATTTCAAAGTGAAATAAATTTACACGGCAATAAAAGCCCTGAAATCCTGCAAATGTTAATGAAAATAATTTTTTCGACGAAAATTTCAGAATTCGGATCTCGCTTGGATTGACGATTGACGAAAAATCAAAAGTCAAGACTAAAGTGACAATTGTCAAGTTACAGAAAAAAGTGACTACGTTTCGATCATATGTCAGTGATATCGTAGAACTGTATTTCTTGTACAAAACATTTTGAATATTTATCGAAAATTCTAGATAGATCCACGTTTCAAAATATGAAATCACCAAACACACACACATTCACACAAATAATTATAGTTAGTATAGGTTCATGTTTACCCTACTATGTTTATTATTTAAATATTCTACAAATGTTGTCTAATTTATTCATATTACTATAATATTATATTTTTATACGAGTAAATATAAACTTATTACTAGTATAAAAATATAAAGGAATTTTACGGTTATTCTTTAAAAGTCGCACAGCATTTTGTAGAATAAAAATATTTCTTATCTATCAAAATATGTTCGCTGCCGTCTGGCGATTTATCTTACACTTAATATTATTCTGTGGCCCCTCAGGCCAGTCGTAGTTCGTATTTCGGTTACAATTTGAAATTACGAAATTCGTTAACAGTAACGAATTGGGAGTACAGGAGACTCAATTTTTAAGTTTTAACTTAGTCCAAACCATTTTAATTAGAAATAATTTTATAACATAGTATTTAGTGAATAGGAGTGTTTATAAATGTTGCATTCCTAACTATAAAATGTTTTTTCAGGTGTGTAAACCTGGTTATGAAAATGGAACTGTAAATCTTCCATCTTTAAATGTTATATCTAGTATCTACCATTTGTTGATTATAGATTGAAAATACTCCCGAACGTATAAGAAAAGCTCGAAAACCTAAAGTTGAACCTCAAGCGTCGCCCAAGGAAGAATGCCCGCGACTCACTTTGGCTCCGTTTACCAGACCACCTACACTTCTTTTCGAAAATGTGGTGGTCGGGACGTCATGCGAAAGATATTTAGAATTGTTTAATCCTTCAAAAGAACACCAAGTGGTATGTACTTCTATTTATTTCATATCGTCCCCGTAGAGCGAAAACTCATTAAGTCGAAAAAATATTTAGTTACTTTTACTATATTAACATTTTTAATCCATAGGAAGTGTAGAAGATTTTTTTATATAAAAGTAGTTAGATTTTATACTATTATAAAACTAAATGTCTTTTATCTCTCTCTCTCGTTTTTTTTTCATTATGTATATTTTGTATATCTACCAGTTAGTAGTAAATTACCCAACTCAAGTCATTTATCATAAAAATAAACTCGATCTGAGTGAAAAATCACTAACTAGGGGCGAATATTTACAAATTCATAACTACATCGGATATTCTACAGAGAACAAATAACTAATTGTTTTTTTTTAGGTTTTCTCAGTAATATCTTAATCATGACTTTGGGTAGTTAACATAATTTTAACTTAATTTGATTTCCTTCAAAATGAAACTAAAAACATTAAAATATGTCATGACATGCTAAATTTATGGCAATTTATATATTTCAAAACTTTAACCCTAATTATTTGAAACAGGTTTTTTGGACTTAATGAATTTTCGCTCTACAGGGACGATATATGATATCAAGTTTGTGATGTTTTTGAACTTTTAAGTAACAATGAAAACAAAATTCTTGATATGGCTAACGAATGTTTCGAATATTAACTAATAAGTCTTCAGCGCCATAGAATTATCAATGTTCCCTATTCACTTTTTCATGACAATATGTTAATGTTTCTTGATTTTAAATGTATTTGTTTAATAATTAACTTCATCCTCTTGTCTGTCACCCAGGCCCAATTAGTACATATTTATATATCATTTATATTACATTCATTTGCTAAATATTGCTAGCTTCATTATATTTTCCTTTGCCATATGCCATGCCATGAGCAAGTGACCAGTTCAGTTCAGTCAGTCAACTTAATGACTATACTCCATAGACCATGGAGTATAGTCATTAAGTTGACTGAACCCAAGACAAAATGTCCAATTTAATTATTTAGAAAGCTTCTTATTACTTTAAGACCTATATGTATTGTTTACAGATAACATTAAATAAATCTCTGCCTGGTTTACATGTTGATTTGCCAGAGGGACGTGTATTATTAGACTCAGAATCATGCTACTGTCTTACTCTTGTCTGGACACCATTAGAAGTAATTTCGTGTAGAGAAACCTTAAGGTTTACTAATGAAAAGAGGGGACGATTTGATATAGTTGTAGTCCTTAAATCTATTTTGGTAAGTTTTTTTAAAACAAATCAGTAATTAATTAATTTATTATCCATAACAGCTATGTTTACACATTATAATGTCTTGAAATAACAAATTATGGTAAATTTTTAAAACTTTTTACTTATACTAGCCTATCTTATCAGTTTAATAAATGTTTATGTTATTCATAAAAGCTTATAACAGAAAATGAAAAATTTGAATTAAGTAGGAACTGTATAATACAAAAATCAACTAACTTCTTACTTACTACTTTTTATGTAACATATATAATTTTGAAATTGGAAATATATATTTATAGAATGTATCAATAAGCATATCAATTTAATTTCAGCCTATCAAAACTAAATCTAAACCATCGCCTGGCAAGATAAAAAAGAAAATTTTAAAGAGGTCTCCTGGTAACATAAACAAGAAAAAAATGCAACTTATAAAAAAAGAAACAAGTGAAATTATTAAAACTGTCAACATTACTCAAACTAAATATAAAGTGCTGGTCACAAAAAATGATGCAGAGTTCAGTGACTCATGTCCTATGCAAAATCCATTTGAAACTGACTATACAGAGTCTTTTAACACTTCGGAAATTTTTCCAAACAAATATAAACAGCCAGCAGAGTTGTATACTACATATGATAAACCAAGCAAGAATGAAGTAACCAATAGTTTGAAAGCTTCTAATAAACAGAACCTGGACAATTCCATCTCTGATTTGTTTGATAATATAACATTTACACCTTTAAAGAGTCTTCCATCCAAAGTAGAGAAGTTGCATCAAGGTCCAAAAATAGTGTGTAGTATCAATTCTGTCAGTGACTATGATGACAGCTTGGATCCTTCAGAATCCAATAAAGAGAATGAAGCTCACTCCATTGTATGTATAGCAACATCAAACGCAGGCGAAAATAGATGGTCGTATACCCAACCTAAGTTTATTCCAGAATTTGCCACACCTAAATTTATTGAAAAGAAAGTTCCTAAAACTTCATCACCTAAAGATGTGAACAGCCCCAATTTCTCTATTAATACTGACTACTCGCGCATCAGTGATACGTCGTTCTTTCCTCAACGATTTTCGACTGAAAGGAAATCTTGCTTAAAATTTCATAGCGAAAGTCATGATTTGGATGAACAGAAATTGAATACAGATACATTTACAAAGGAATCGCCGCTTGAGCAAAATATTAGCCAAATTGACACACGCCATTTCACAGCCATAGAACCACGGATGTGTAGACAAGCCCTGTTTCGAGATCAGGAGAACAGATTGTTCAATGAAAGAAATATATGGCAGAGTGATTTCAGGTCGGAGATGAGATCTCCTCCCAGATCTATTTCGCCACCATTACAGTCAATTCCCGAGGAAAGTATGCAATTGTCTGAAACATTTGAAAGAAACGATCCTCACATGGAATCATTTGCCATCAATCGAACATATAACAAGCCAGAAAAGTCAATGAATAAGTCATCAGTATGGTCAAAGAAAGCTATAGTTAAGTCAAAACCCAGTCTCCTATCCAGGGAATCGATTTCTAAAATTAATCATACTTTTATTTCAAATAAGAGCACTGTTCAGAATTTATCACTTAGCTACCTCCCAAATGCGTACTCACAGTCCCTTGTGACAAATCCCTTTTCTTCTTTAACTCCTTTCTGCGATGAGGCTTTGATTAGAAAGTTCGAGAAAGACTTTAAAGATTGGCTTAACTATATTCTAACACCACCAGATTTAGAAACTAACATTGAACAGAAAATTGATATTGCCAAGGTGTGGGTTGAAAACAAAACTGATGTTCCCACAGCTCCGACTAAAGAAAAAGTGTGCAGTTCCTATCACAACAGTCATCGCTTAGACGGTCTAAGAAAGTCTGCGAGAACATTACTTCATTCGCCAGAGATAACGGCAGTTGTAAAAAAGTTGGATCTTCAAATCGATCGTGAACTGATTAACATAAGGGAAGATAGAAGCATACACCTCAACGTTGGCCTGCAGAAGACCATCATGGAAATCATCTTGTCCTATAACCCACTTTGGCTGCGTATAGGCTTAGAAGTTATATATAACTGCATATTGCCATTGAAATCCAACAGTGATATTGTGGGATTAACAACATTCGTAGTTCTAAGGATGTTTAGGAATCCACTCATTAAAAACAAAAAATCTAAATCGGCGCCAAACATGCAAAATCCTGCGTATGTGGACGCTGTTAAAAAGTCCCTCTTGAAGAAGTTTTTCCTCCTCGTGTACTTCTTGGATAAGGCTAAGGAAAAGAAATTGATATCGCACGATCCTTGCTTGTTCCGACGCAATGCGTTGTGCAAAGAAAGTAGAGAAATATTGATAAGATTCACAAGGGAATTGATAGCAGCAATCGGCGATATAAATAAGCACTTACGTCCAACGGGTTACGTTGTAACTCATAAGCAGACATACCTAGATGAATACAAATATGGCGTCAATAACATTGCCGTAGATCTGAGAGATGGCGTTAGGCTAACTAAAGTCTCGGAAATTATTTTATTAAAAGATAATTTAATGAAACAATTACGGACCCCAGCTATATCTCGGTTCCAGAAAATACATAACGTTGAAGTGGCTTTGAAAGCTTTGAGAGCGGAGAACTTCAGCATTGAAGGTGAAATTACAGCTACCGATGTAGCCGATGGGCACCGGGAGAAGACCCTATCACTTTTGTGGCAATTGATTCATGTCTTCCGCGCTCCACTGTTTGAAAAAGCTGCCAATGTTATACAGTTATGGTGGCGGAAGAAATACGAAGTTATTAAGGAAAAAAGAAAAATCGAGGAAGAAGAGATGAACAAGAACTACAATGCAGCAAGTATTATTCAGTTTTGGTGGCGCCAAATACAGAATAAGCGTAGATATGAACAAAGACTGTACGAAGTTACTCGCGCCACGATAATTTTGCAGAAATACTGTCGAATGTGGCTTTGCCGAACATATTTGGTGCATATAAAACGCAGCGTATTAAAAATCGAGACCTGGTATCAAAGCATGAAACTTATTCGAGAAGCAAAAGCGGTATTGTGTCAGAGAAGAGAGGAGCGTAGACAGAAATCGGCGATTCTTATCCAGTCGCAAATCAGACGTTGGATTTGCATGAAGAAATATGAAAATATAATTAATTGTACGGTCAAAATACAGACACTGATACGAAGATATTTAGCAAGAAAACAATATCTGGAGCTGAGAGCTCAAACAGTTTTTATACAAAAACGGTATAGAAACATCTTACTAACCCGAAAATTATATCGTGAATACACAACACTTGAAAAGGCAACGGTAACTTTGCAAAGGCGTTACCGCGCTCAACTTTTAATGAAACAGTATAGAACAGAATACAATGATCTGAGGAAAGCCGTTATTATAATTCAGCAACGCTATAAAGCGCAAAAACGCATGCAAGCTGAAAAATCTCGATTTGATATATTAAAACGTTCCTGTGTTATCATTCAAAGACGTTTCCGAGCTAATTGCTTAGGCAAAGAAGCACGGAAAGCATATATAAAACAGCGCAATGCTGCTATAAAAATCCAAGCAAAATACAAGGCCTGGAGAACTAGGTGGGAATTTATACGTTTGAAGCAAGCAGTTCTTACTGTTCAGTGCAGATACAGAGCTCAAAAGAAGATGCATCTAGATAGATCTAATTATATTTTACAGAGAAATGCTTGTATTTCAATTCAAAATTTCTATAGATCATATAAACTAGGAATAGAAACGCGGGCCACATATCTTAAACAAAGAATTGCAGCTATAAGAATCCAAGACTGGTATAGAAGTTGCAAGTTGAGCAAAAAATCTAGAGAGGAATACTTACTTTTATATCAAGCTGTAATTACATTACAACGACGTTATAAAGCTCACAAAGCGATGTGTATTGAGAAATCTAAATTCGATCATATGAAACGCTCCTCTTTGGTGATACAAAGATACTTCCGAGCCTATCGGTTAGGTAAAGAAACCCGTAAGAAATATTTAATACATAGAAATGCTGCATTGAACATTCAAAACTGGTATAGAAGTTGTAGAAAAACTCAGCAAATAAGAAACGAGTACATACGTCTCATTCAAGCGGCTAAAACGCTACAGAGACAGTACAGAGCTCAGAAGAAAATGCAAATTGAAAGACTAAAATACAACAGATTTAAAAATGCAGCTATTACCCTTCAGAGACATTACCAAGCCTACAGATTAGGTAAACAAGCCCAAACAGCGTATTTGCAACAGAAAAACGCTGCTAAAATAATTCAAAATTGGTACAGGAACTGCAAAACTTGTAATAAAATAAAAGTGGAGTATCAAGAGAAGAAAAAAGCCTGTGTTGCGATTCAAACAACATACCGGAGTTATATTGTTACGAAGAAGCAAAGAGAGCAATATATTCAAATCCGTGAAGCTACAATTTACATTCAAAGGTTCTATCGCTCTTATAAAGAAACCAAATTAACCAGGCAGTACTATTTGCGATTAATATCATCGGTTGTATGTGTCCAGAGAATGTATAGGAGCTTATTGGCTATGAGAAAAGCCAGAAGTCAATATCTAATACAAAAGAAATCGGCCCTCATAATACAGGAAAGATTCAGAAATATTCTTGGTATGCGAAAGCAAAGAGCACATTTCCTGAAGCTCAAAACAAATGCTATCATATTACAAGCTTGCGTACGTGGGTTTATTGAGAGAAGGAAGTATCAAAAATTCAAAACTGCCGTCATAACAATACAATGTATATATCGTCTAAGAATTACTAGGAAATTAATTCAACAAAATAAAGAAGAAAAAGCGGCGATTTGTGTACAGAAAAATTGGCGAAGATATGTTGCGATAAGCAAATATCAAAAAAATGTACAAAGGGTAGTTTTGATTCAAAGATTATGGAGAGGAATGATTATAATGAGACCGATTCGTAGGGACTTTTTATTCAAGCGAGAGTTGATTACTAAAATACAGGCACAAATGAGAGGGCACTTGGTGAGAAAACACTTTGAGAACAAGAAAGAGTATTTAAAGAAAGAAAGGGAAGAACAGAGACAGCATTGGGCCGCATCTAAAATCCAAGTAAGATATTTACTCTGAGCTTTACAATTATTTTGGTCAAGGTCATGTTAGCTAAAAGCATATTTTGATAGATATTTTAAAATCGTGATAATGAAAAGTGTATTTATAGGCTAAATTTATTTTGCTTTGTGTGATACTCGCGCAATTATTTATAAAAGTTATCTATCTACGACAAATTAGCAATAATACCTATTAAGGGAAATGTAGGTTTACTTACGCTATCGTTTGGGAGCGTTAAGTATTACGTACGCAATTGTTTGATCTCCCCCTCCTCCCATGTAACGTGCCTTAGTAATAAATATAGTTTAAAAAACACGCTTTTAAAGCACATCATATTTTGGCACATAGGCTCTGTGCCATAATTTTCGTCTATCGAGCAACCCACGCTTTTTCACAATAATACCAGTATTTTTTGTTCATTACCATTTTCAGCCTAAATTAGGAATTATTTTTCACTTTTTAGTTTGATGTGCTTTAAAAGCGTGTTTTATAGTTTTTTTAAACTATATTTATTTTCCACTTTTTAGTCCTAGCAGCAATACGTGTCGTCTCAATTTAATCGTATTGCTTTGTGGACTTAAAAAAAATTACATTGTTTTTTCGAGATAAAGCTATGAAATTATTATATTGTCGCTGATTCTTTATAAGTGTACAAAGTTTGAATTAAATCTGTCCGTTTAAAGTGGGTCAAAATCGAGTCCGAAGGAGTCAGTTACATACATACATACATACATACATGCATACATACATGCATACAGATGAAGCTAATATAAAGCGTGTAAAAAAACGTTAAAAATGTGTGAAAGAATTTCGCAACGCGACTGTTATGAAGGGTGGAAAAAATACGCGTAGTTCAAAAACCCACTCCGCCTCTATAACGTTTAAAACGAAATCGTTACGTAATACTTGAACGCTCCTTTGTATAAAAGTTACTGATTTTAATGAAATTAATATTTCCTGGTGAGATTTTGGAATAAACTATTGAAAAATATACTAATATATTTTTAATTAATCAAACATTGTTATAGGCTTTATACAAAGGGCACAAAGTCCGCAGTACCAGCGATAAGTGTTTGGCGGAAATTCGTCAAAGATGGCGCGAAGGAAAACTACATTCTACCCAAAGCACCCTCGCGGAGAGAATCGAAGAGGCCTTCAATATATTTAGGACAGATCTTTTCAACATAACAGCTGTGTTAGAAGCATTTAAGACTTTAGGTAATATCTCGTCTCAGTCTCTGAAATAAAAGAATCTAATAGCTATATGCATTGGGGTCTAAAAAGTGATACAATATATATAGATAGAGAGATAGTGCTGAACCAGGAGACATATTTAAAAAAACCAGTGGCGCTACCTTTGAGGCTTTTAGGGTGGAATTTGAGTATCTGTTTTGTGATCATTTGTTTTTTATAGGCAATATAAAAATAAAAAAAAACACAAAATAGGTGATCGACTTTCTGTGCCACACGCTGTTGGATCTTTTTGGGTTAAGGCAAGCCGGTTTCGTCGCGACGTTTTCCTTCACTGTACGGCGTGCGTCAGGCACAGAAGGCTGATCACCTACTTGCCTATTAGATTACCAAATGATCATGAAACAGATACAAAAATCTGAGGCCCAGACCTAAAAAGGTTGTAGCGCCATTGATTTATTTTTATTAGTTCTTTTCAGTAAGACACGAACTTTTCCAACCAAACAAACATTGATGAAACTATATATATAATATTGTATTTATACATATAATGATGAATATATTTTGAATTTTTTCAGAGCTTACGATAGTGTTGTGGCCCGAATCGTTCGCCATGAAAGCCTCCTTGCTCATACAAAGTGTGTTCTACTTCATGGCTTGTACCAATCGGTCCATTTCCAGCGTCGAAATGCTAATGTCAGGAGCTACCTTCCTTGTCAATCTGGCGAGGTACCACGTCACAGGACCGAAGTCCTATCAGGTAATTAATTTACTAAAAATTTCAATAGTTCAGAAAAATCATTCACTGAAGTATTTCCGAACCAATCCTATTTAGGGTCTTTCAAGAAAAGAGCGTTCCAATTCTTAAAAGGCCGGCAACGCACTCGCGAGCCCTCTAGCATTGAGAGTGTCCATGGGCGGCGGTAAACACTAAAGCATTAATTAATTATTAATTACTTAAGATACATGTGGAACATGGTAATGGTTGCAGCTCCTTTCAAACATTGTGTAAAACAAAAACTTGGCGATCAAATATAGTGGCGGAGAGTTTATTGCCAGTTCTACGCCCTTGATTTGAGAACTGGCAGTAAATGTAAAATTAGACGCATTTCATGTATATTTCTTTTTAGACGTTCATAAGTGTACATTGTATAAATGATTTTTGTTTTTGATTATTATTACTTTGAACTTATCAAATGGGTAATTTTCCTCAATCAATTGCCAAGCAGATAACAGAAGTTGAGTTCTAGGGAACATATCTTCACATTCTAACTGTACTATCTTGTCTTCATCAATAGGAAATAACGCTCTCATCATAACCATAAGATCTTTCCGTACTTCTAAAGCTAAATTCAAGCTTCCATATTATCCTGTTTCTGAAAGGGGTACTTAAGCTAATTCTTTAACAAGGGAACCACTGTATACTGATGGTGTTAAGATTTCAACAAAATTCTCAAAGATTGTGTTTATATTAATTATTCACCTTCATGAATAAATGATTTTTGTTTTTGATTATTATTACTTTAACTTATCAAAGGTAGAGAAATGTCGTTTAACTCTTATTATCCGCAAATCAAATATAGTACACACATTTACACACAATTACAAATTTCCGTCAATCTTGCTTGATATGCATGCACTTAATACTCACAGTAATAAATTTCTTCTCACTATCCGCGCTTTTATATTTCGACTATGTGTTTGCGTGTTGTTCCCTCGAGAATGTAAGTGCGTGCTCCTATTTCACCATGCCTCTTGCTGATAGGGGACAAGTCTTTGTTTTTATTTATGTTATTATTATTAATTACTTAAAATGTCATGTGGAACATGGTGTAATGGTTGCAGCTTACAAACGTTGTGTAAAAAAAAAAAACACGGCGATTAAAAAGAGTGGCGGAGAGTTTATTGCCAGTTCTTCTCTTCCGTTCTACGCCCTTGATTTGAGAACTGGCAGTAAATGTAAAATTAGAAGCATTAATATTTATTTCTTTAATGACGAATCACAAGTGTACATTGTTTTACCTACGTGAATAAATGATTTTTGAATTGAATTTGAATTGAATTTGTCTTCGGATGTTCCAGTATCGTATTTAAGACTGAAGTAATAAATACGTATTAATTTTTGTTATAGCGAGATAGAATTTCAGCGGTGTTGAAGTATATGCTGCGATTCAGCAATATCGAGCCTAATTTGATTTGCCGTTTTGCGACTTACATTTGGCTCTATTCGAAATACGAGTTTACAAAGAAGGTAAGTTAATTATTAAAAATTGTCTATAAAAATATGAATCTAAAAATGTCCGTGCGTACGTCCTAACGTGGGGCCCACGCCTCACAGAGGGGCGGTTTCATTGTTAAGGGGGGCTATTCGAAAATTTATTAAAATTATTATTATTGTTGTTGTGAAACGTCCTAGAGATTTCTTTCTAAAACCTATCATTAAGTTTCTTACGTAAACAATTAAATTTTTTAATAATATAATTAATATTAAAAATTGTCTATGTTACATTTCATAAGAATTTTCGAAATGTTAAGGTGGAGCACGGCAAAAAAAGTTTTGCAAACACTGGTACTATAATAATATATATATATGTTCACCACCTACCCACTAGCGAAAGAATAGATCGTTTTGGTGCTTAACTGTTCAATTATCAATATCAATTGATTCATAGTCGAGTTGTGTTAAGTTTTACTTCCGTATGTCAAAGACGAAATGGTTTTTTGAAACTAGGCAAAATTATCAATGTATCTGCCTCTATTACCTATGAAGAATGTTTGTTATTTATGTTTGAATCTAAAAAAAACACTAATAGAAAGATAGTCAAATTACAAAATTATATCTGAATAAGCAAAATGTTAAATTAAAATTTATATTCACAGGATTTAACAAAGTTCCTCCAAATACCAGAAAACCATAAAACACTGATCGCAATCAAAAACAGCACCAGCCGAATGAAGAAAATGGCGGCAAATTCAACAAAATCAAAACTGGTGACACAAACGCCAAACAGATCTTTTACTTCTTACGAAAAACCGAATTTTAATATGAGCCTAAGAAATGTTTCTCGTAAAAATACTACACTTTTACCAAACCTTAATCCTGACTATGGAATCGAAAGGTATGACAAACCGAGATTTTTCTTGGACCCGGAACAAGCAATTGAATGCATATTTATGACATATAACTTATAAAATAATTGTATTATAATTTAATTAATTGTTTAAAAAAGGACTGATATGTTAGTGACTTGATTCTTGTAAGCAATATATTAATTTATTTGCAAGAAAATGGTAATAAAAATATTACGGTGGTAATCGAAACATGCATATTCTGCCACACATAATGCCGTGAAAATTTGTGTTACATAATTAATAGGTAGCAAACTTCTAATCTTGCAAAATTATATTGTGTAACGTTGGAAAGATAGGAAGTATGATCCTTATTAGCCGATTTTAAAAAAGTAGTAAGTATCACTTTTATCTTTTATATTCTTGGAATTTTTAAAGAATTTCTGAAGAACAAGACAAAGCTGAATAATGGTGGCAGGTATTTGATTTCTATTTATTTATGTTTTATATTAAATACGAGAATTGGGTCATGAATATCTATGATGGCTTGAATGTGGAGTGTTGAATTTTTAGTAAGACCGATTTTAATAGATTAAGAACGCTTTATTTTCTGTAGGTGTGACGAAAGACAGGTCTTCATGTTAAATACATATCGTGCATAATCTCATTATGTGAAATATTTTGTTTCAAAATGTAGACTGTTTGAATTGTATTGTTCACTTGACTTCACCATCGGTTTCGACTCTTTAGTTGCGATTGACGAAAATCTAGATTTAATGTTATTGATTTCTCTTTGTTCATAGTAAATATAAGTCGAATAATGACTAATATATTAAACATCTGTTTTCGTATTTAAATTATAACAAATTTGGTCATGGGATATAAATATTTGAAGCGAAATATTATTAATTTTATAGTAGAATATTATAATTAAATAATATAGTTGAAAAATAAAATAGTGTTTTATTTTATACGTTATAATATGAATACCCTTAAAACAAATCCTTACTATATGTATATCTTTTTTATCTATTGTAAAAAGAGGAAAATGCAAAGTTTTTTAATCCGAAAAAATATTTTTACGTTTTCGGCATCAACTGATACGGACCACTTTAATGATCTAATCTTTAATATATTACTAGTTTACAGAAGTTTTATTTGCTTTTATCTATCTCTCACTGTCATATTAATATACAGCGTTGTGTCCTACGGTATTCTGCTGTGCGGTGCTGCTGCAGAGGTTCAATCCATAGTTGTACTGCAGAAGCGGACTGTTCGGGGATTTGTTGTTTCCCCAAGGGAATCGGTACGGAATAAGTTTAAGGAATTAAATATTCTGATAATATCTGGTCAATATATTCTTAAAGCCTTGTTGTTTTCACCAGTATAAAACTCTTAATAGAACAAATCTAAGCGTACAACCAAACAGGCTACAGAAGATATAAGGAGTATATGGAAATTGTATTCGTGTATGCAACAAAGTCCAAAGCGAAATTAGATAATTATCACTGAATAAAATTAAAACTCTCGTTAAACGAAAATAATCAATAAAGCTTTTTATAAATTTGACGATTATTTAAATGATCCTAATCCTTGGGATTGATTTGCTCGAGTTCAAATATTTATGGCTGCTCTGCCTTAGAATTAATTTGTATGACTCGTAAACTTGGCGATAAAAAAGAATGGCGGAGAGTTTCTTGCCAGTTCTTCTTGTACGCTCTTTGCCCTTTTGACTTGCGAACTGTAAGTAATTGTAAATTTAAAATAAATTAAACATCTTTTCTGTTGACTGTGTATTTGGTTACCTATATGAATAAAGTTAGTTTGAGTTTGTAATTTCCAAAACTATGTACTACAATCGAAGCAGCATACTTTTATTAAAATGAATTTTAGTGCGTTTTCCAATTACAGAGCATTTTGCGACTCAGTGCCGCACAATGCCGCATAATGCTGAAGCTTAATTGGAACGTGAATTAGTTTTCAAATGCATCAGCAGAGTGCGCTAAGTCAGTGTTGTAAAAAAAATGTTGAATTTGTATGAATTGAGTTAGCAACCTCATTAATGTATAAATAAAGTGGTAAACAATAATAATTGGTTGAAAACTCTTTACGCTTATTTTAATCATCAAATTATTTCATTAACATTTTTTTTATTGAAATAATAGAAAACCTTTAAAGAATATAAGGTTTTAACAAGCTAAATTAACAGTAAAATATTTAGTTTCATGTAAGAAGTTTACATCATTTACGTTTTGAGTAATATTTTTTAATGATTTCTAAAAAAATTATATACTTTTTCAAAAACATTGCAATTTTTTCTAAAGTATAATCCTGTAAAATAAATTTGTTTACAGATCCGAATTTTAAAATAAAATTGTATTCATATTTTAAATGTGGAATATAAAAAAAGTAACTATTTTTTTTTTTTTTCCTTTATGGCTCTGGCACGGTCTGAAGTAACTATTTATCATCCATACTAATATTTTTTTTTTAGCAGTTTGAAATAACTTTAATTATTTTCAAAATCTACGACGAAACGAAAGCCTTACAAATTTTTCAACAATAAATAATATTTACTAACGAAAATTTCGATAAATGCCAACTTAAAGAAAAATACTGGTCAATTTTCTGTCACTGTGTTGGTATTGTTTGCGAGAAGCTCGCGAGAGCATTCGTTTTGAGAGTGCTCAATTGTGCGAAGCGTTGCTGTAGTTGGAACACTCGACGTTGAGCATTATGCCGCAAAATGCGCTCTAGTGCTGTAATTGGAAAACGCACTTAAAGTCAGTAAGCATTATAATGTTTATAACTCTATGGTATACTTTTTACTTATGAGTGGACCTTAATAAATAAGCAGCCTATAATTTTGACAGTCATGACATTTTAATTATTAAATGACACTGACAAAAGACAATATAGAAGAGTCGTCAGTCGAGCAGGGTTCACAACCGTACGATAATTATCGTACATTTGCGATAATTTCATAACTACGTACGATGTACGATGGCACATGACTATCGTACGCAGATTGTACGATAATTTCCAGTCTGATAAAAAATTTGATGATTACACAGATAGCCCAATAACAATTACAGTTTTTAGTGTCAGTGCCATCTATTGGCTTATTTTTCTATTAGGAACTTATGCTGTCACAAGGCAACTACAGCAGATGAACAAAGCGTTAATGTACAAACACAAAAACGCATCAGAATGCACAGCCAAAAAATTCACGATTTGTATGGTGACGCAGATTTGGAAGTCTTCGATAACATTTTAATACCTAACGAATTTTAAGTGATAAAAATAATATGCGATGTAAAATGAACGAGAAAATATTGCGTATTTTTGTTCCTCTTTGACGGAAGAGATTGAATTATTATTATTTTTTTCAATTTGAAAAACACAAGTTTACAAGATTTAAACTATAAATCGTTTGCAACATTTTATTTTCACGTTTCATATGATTTTTTAAAGTATTTTTAGCCATTTTCCTGACTGTACGATAATTTATCGTATAAGGATCACTTATACGATAATTTTACGGCCCTGGTACGATAACTGCCTGGCTTCAGGTTGTGAACACTGCAGTCGAGTCGTGACTCGTGTAATGGCTATCGAAAACATTGAAAAGTTAAATATAAATAATAAAACGCTACAGCAGTGTAATTATAAACAACAATACAAATTTGCCATTTTGTAATTATTATCCATTCCCTTCTTAACTCTCAAAATTCCTATAAAATTTAATGAAGTTTAGTAAGCAAGAGATACCTATTATGGACTAAGACTACGGATTACAGCATCGATGTTCTAAGTAAATACTTTAATGCCATGGATGAATTCGTAAATTATATTCTTCTTATATTAGTTATACTTCCTGTTATACTGTTTATCAATTTATGGGCTGGTATTGGTTGGGAGCTCTTTGTGAACAACTAAGGATGTTGGCCAGGAAAGGCTATCCAGAATGAATTAGGCAATACATTATAATATCCCTTTTAATAATTCGATTTTTAAAATACATTTATTTATTCTAAAAATGTGATTTATTTACAATGTCTGATTTAAGCAATATTGCTATATTTTTCTTAATATTAATAAAGATCAAATTAATAAAATAATATGGTATATTGTTACATTTTTCTGCCCAAAATTATGTAAGCACAAATAATATAATAAATGATTCTATCACAAAAGTTGTAGCATTTTAAGATAAGTAGTGTCTTTGGTTTCAAGTATATTGTTAATTAGTAAAAAAATAATTTACTTCTGATGTTACATCAGCCATTGCTACATACTTTTAGTATCACAGTTGGATGAGGCATCTAGTGAATATGATTTGTAATAAATGAAGAATGCAAGTGATTTTTTATGTAAAATGATACTCATAAACATTATTTGGCTAATCTTGAAATTTACTTGCCGAACCAAGCATGAACTTTAAAACACAAAACAATTTCATTTTGCAAGGTCCTTATTACAGGAATGAATATAAATCTTTAACTCTTGTTACATCTTTTCATAGTGTATATGTTAACGTAAAATTGTAAACACCGTTAGATTGTAATCTATCTCGCGAGATTATAAACTGTAGAAAGATTGTGAACCTCAGCGTACTGCTTACAATTTAACGTATTATTATTCGGTAGATTGTAATCTATCGAAGTGAAACCGTCAAATTGTGAAACGGATCGCAACTCGCGCGCTGATTGGTTGAACGTACATATTAAACCATATTCCTTTGAGTTTACATCTTGAGCAATTCAAATAAAATACAAGTATAACTATTATTGCTAAGATAATATGAAGTAACTATGTCTTTTAGTAATGTGAGTATCAATAATTAACAAAACATTAACAATTCAAACTAAATTGGGAAATATTATGATGACTCGAGTTTTAATCCTAAAAATAATTAGATATATATATATATTATTGTCTGTTATTAAATATGTTGGGGCATGAATGTTATATTTCACTTGACAATACTAATTCCTCCATTCCCATGTGTCCTCTATGTCTCCACACTCTGTACCTTGCTATATCTTTACGGGTGACCATTCCTACTACCTGTTACAAAAAAGTTAGTTATATATTCATCTGACCTTGCTTGACCTATGTAGTTAGTACATAAATTTATTTAAGTTGAGTAGTAGTTAGTTTAGTCCTTGAATTAGAAAAAAATCAGAAACATAATAACCAAGAACATAAATTATTTTAATTAAGTAAATGGTTCTTCATTCGCAGGTAAAATAGACTGTTACATGAACAAAATTAGTAGCCCTATGAAAATTAAAGTAAAAAAATGCCTTGGTATTTAGTTGTGGCTGCTTTTAAAAAAATCAACCTAAACACCAGTGAAATTGTGCATATGACTAAAAAAAATTGTTTTATATTTTTTTTATAGAACGGGGCAAACGGGCAGGAGGCTCACCTGACGTTAAGTGATACCGCCGCCCATGGACACTCTCAATGCCAGAGGATCGCGAGTGCGTTGCCGGCCTTTTAAGAATTGGTGCACTCTTTTCTTGTCCCTAAGTCGAATCGGTACAGAAATACTTCAGTGGGCAGCTGGTTCCACAAAGTGTCTGTTCATCGATCAACCAATTTAGGTTTTTGTGATGGCTTACGATAACATTTAGAAACGTGACTTGCTCAAATGTGACGACCATATATCAAAGACATATGGTCACACGGGAGTCGGTTTGCTCTGAATACCTTTTTTTTTAAATTTAATTGGGGGGCAAACGAGCTTGCGGGACGACCAAAAGGGGCAGTCTTCGCAGCCCATAGACACCCATTTTTAGTGAGTGCGTTGCCGGCCTTTGACGGAAGACCCACACCGGGAGTCGATTCCACAGTTTGCTAGTTCGCAAAAGAAAATGCCTTGTGAAACGGACTGTGGAAGACCTTCAACCATCAAGATGACGTTGGTGAAATTTAGAGCTCGTACGGCTCGTACGGTGTTGAAAAGAGGCAGGAGGGATCAACCCAAACAATTCTTCCGAACACTCTCCGTAGTATACTTAAACGCTTTGTATACATTTCAGTCGTGAAGGTCTGACTTAAAAAATTTAATTCATAAACATACCTCATTGACGTCGTTGACAATAGGCAAATGTCTAAGGCCTAACGCCCTAAAAAGTCTAAACAGGCGAGGCAGGGAGGCTCGATGTGGTAAAGTGTATGGAGACGGATTCATGAACGGACGAAGATCTATTGTACATGTCAATTCCCAATCGGATATATCTAGCTGCAAGTAAAATCTATATTAGTAATTATTACAAATAATCAATTTATTCGAAAACAACTATTGATTTGACTGACTTTTTCAGTTCCGTTTGATATTCGAAATTAGAATAATACAAAATCGATTGGAAAATTGGCGTAAGTCAAAGTGACAGTGACAGATAAGGGGCCTTAGTCAAGATGCCTTAACAGTAGTGTATGTAGAAAGTCGAAAACTTAATTTGTATGGAAATGACAGTTCGTGTCGAAAAGTTTTCATACAAATTTAGTTTTTGACGTTCTACATACACTACTGTTAAGGCATCTTGACTAAGGCCCAAGGCTATGTATATATCTGCGTTAAAATTTAAAAATATAATTCTTAAATGGTTTGAAGTATATATTAACCTCTTCTATAGATGGATATCTCGGATACTCCTTCCTGAACATATTCATGTCGACCTTGAGATTCGACCACGTAGTGTTGGCATTTTCATTATATATTTTGTTCTGTATGAGAACTATTAACTGAGAACGAAGAATCATACCACGCAATCGCTTGTATGTTGTAACTTCATTCTAAAAATATAATATTTATTAATTATTATTAATCTTACGTCGCTCGAATTTATGATTTAAAAAAAGGGTGCGTGTACTTATGTGCGCGCGTAAGAAGTTATACTTCTTTGGCATTATTAAAAATAGTTTTTGATTGCATGCAAATAATTAATTACAATTAAATAATCAAAGACTGGAAAAGGAGTCATTATAGTCAATAAAGTTCAGTTTACATTTGAAAAATTAAATAAATAAATAATTATTATATTCTTACATTAAGTGTAGCATAAATTCTATTATTATTCGAATGTTGTTTTTAAATTATGTCCAATGCCGTAGCATCTTCAGTGGGCAACTTCATTCTGTTAATTTTGTGTCACGGTGCGCGCGTATCGTAAAATTTCACTCTCATAAATTTTTCATAACGCGCCTAAAGAAGTATAACTTTAAAAATTCAATTTGGAACAATATTTTCTTTAATATAGATAAAACATAACGATTTAGCACAGAGAATAGCTCATTACAATTAAGAAAGAATAATAACTTCAAATTTTACGAACTAAGAGGTAGGTACATTGTACCTCAATATCTTTTCGTCAGAGGCTCTGAGCTCGATTCCTGGCGAAACAATATTTTTGTCGTTTTTGCTACTTACACATACATATCTTTACATATGTAAGTAACAAAGTATATAAGTACATATAACAAAGATAGTATCAAGCATTCTTTACAAACCTCATCAGCCAGCGGCGGGTCGACAACCGGGAAGCCACTGTACGTAACAACTTTAAGCATTTCCACAATATGTCCGACATTCTCCACCGTCCGAAGGGTGAAAACCGGATGTGACATTACTTCGGACGCATAAATGTTGTGTGCTAGTGGAGGGGGTTCCCAGGGGAGAAGTGGGACCCCCCGCTAACTGAATCAAGGTGTCGTAGATACCCTAAAAAAACTCAATACATTTCCGGCCAAGCCTCATAACCTAACACTAGGTTTAATAATAAGGGCGAAATATTGTATGACAAGCGCAGAGATATTAATAGAAAATAGTATAAAATAATATTAACATGGTCACGTGACAGACAAATTCAATTCAGTGGTTGAAGAGATATTTTAATAACATACAGCTTTATAAATTTACAATATAAATTCTATACATTTATTATTATTTTAATGAAATATATTAAACATATTCTTAAGATCTGAACATAAGCATGTGCCATAGTTATTTGACTCATTTTGTTGTTTACACGTCAAACATCCGCCCGAAGTCGAATCGAGCTGCGACACACGCACAATCTTTGAAGTGATAGTTTATTTAAAACCAGTGAACTTTAAGATGTGAATTATAGTGAAACAATTTAAAGGAGTATTTAATTTCCTACTTTGTATATTTAATAAAAAGAAAAAGTAAGACTTTCTAAAACTCTTTTGTTTTATGCAAAATGTTTATTTATTAAATGTATTCTAAAGACAATTTAAATGAGAATTATAAAAAAAAACAGATTTTTTTACCCGTTTCAAGGCAAACTTGAAAAATTTATAACATTTGAACTAAATAATTTAATTTGCAAATTTCATCAGAATTAGTTCAGTTTTTGGGATATGGGTAGATCAAAAAACTGAAGGTTGGTAAATATTGTTACCTCATTAAAGAAGTCCCCGATCCACTTAGCGACTACCAGAGTGACGATAATGGGCAGAGCGTTCGATATCTGTCCCGTTGTCTCAATAATAATTACTGTCAGGGAGATTGTCATCCGTACAACACCGCCTAGTTGAGCTGCTGCACCGATTAAAGCGTATTTTGCTGGGTTTATACTCTAAAAATAGAATTAAAAAAGTAAAAAATAGAATAAAAAAAAGTAAAAAATAGAATAAAAAAGGTATGTTTATGTGACTAGTGAAAAAAATTTTTTTACATAAAATTAATTTTGAAAATGTAAACTATTTAAATATATAGGTTGTGGAGTTAAATCTGCTTAGACAAGTAAAATTGAGAATTGAGATTTTTAAGATCACATAAAACCGCACCCACCTGTACTCAACATTGTCTTTGTAAGTACATTTTTTTAAAAATAATTGTTGTAATTTTCATTGTATACAACCGTTTTGGCTATATTTTACATGAAATAATTGTAAATATTATCTTTTAAAAATATTTTTATATAAATATAATAAACTGTTAGATAAATCATTCGAAAAGTATAGTAACTATTAAAAACCTTTTGGGCCGCAGATTTTTGTATCTGTTTCGGAATCAGTTTTTTTTCTAATAGGCAAGTAGGTGATCAGCCTTCTGTACCCGACACACGCCGTCGACCTTATGGGTCTACGTCGGTTTTCTTACAATGTTTTCCATCGTACGAGCGAGTGTTAAATGCGCACATAGACAATAGATGCGCTGCCGGGGTCCGATTCTACGACCTTGTTTGAATGTTACAATTGCAACACGGCTCTCAGTATTTTACTTTTTGAAGTGAAACTTCTTTATCGAGGTTGGAAAAAAATTTAGTGTAACATTTTTTCGTTACGCGTCACATTTTTCGGTTACGCGCCATGTTGCTTTTTGAAGTCAAACTGCTTTATTGGCGTTGGAATGAAACTTCTTTATCGACGTATGGGAGAAATTTTGTAGCAAATCGTCACGTTTTTCAATGATTGTAATAATTCTATTACAATTAATGAAATTCTATAATAATCTTCGTAGTAATAAGGTAAAATGAAATATGTGTATTCATGTCTATGATAATAAAAGCCTTTTGTTAAACTTTATCTAATTTAACGAATTTCTGTAAAGTTGCATATAGTAGATCATTTTTCGAAAAATAAGATCATAAAGAAGTTTCACTTCTTACGTGTGTACACCTAGTACACGCACAATTTATTTAAATATCACATTCAAAAAATTTTAATGTTAAAAAACAGCATCCATTACTGTGTGCCATGCCACTTATTCGCAAAAAATATATAAGTACTTTATTTTTTGATATTCATTAAGTATCAAAATTACTGTCGAACTATAATGACGTAACAGTGTTGTCAACAACAAAAATATAAAATCCACTGCAGCGAACTCAAATACCACGAATCTTTCCACAGACTATACTAGTCTTTGATTCTAAACCCTTTTCTATATCCTCCAAGACGATGTTCATGTGTGTGTGTTTGCGTGTGTGTGTATAAAAACTACCCACCATAGACGGTATCGCATATTGAATCCAAATAGCCATCAACCTCCCCCAAGCGGCACCAGTCAGTAAATTCGGTATAAAAAGACCACTGGGGACGGCTAAACCAAAAGTCCAGGTGGAAAGTAGGAAGTACGAGACCACGAAGATCACTAGGGATCCTGGTTTGTAGGAACCCATGGGATCGTGAAGGAAGGACCTAACGGACGCCTCTGGGGTTTGGAACCATACCGCAGCCATTGCGTTGTATTCACCGTCCGCACAGAATAACTGAAACAACCATACATTAAGCTAAAAAATTAACGACCGAGACATAATAATAACAGAGTACCGATTTAGTGTCGTATAAGGGAGCGTTCAAGTATTACGTCACGCAATTTTTGGAGATTATTGACCCCCGCCCCCCGTTTAACGCGCTGTAACGTTTTTCTGTACCCAAGTACAGTAGGGGAGGGCGGGGCTGGTTTTAACGGAGGTAAGAATTAACAAGCTTATACCCGCCAAACGTGAAGTGATAAAAAAATGAGGCTCGGTTTAGAATAACTAGAATACACGGCCGAACGTGTCCTAACTTGTCAGTTATCGATCGGCCGTCGCTAGTGATAGTTGTGCGTAATAACTTTGAATTGACAGGTAAACACTTTTTGTACTTCGTAATAAATTGATTTAAGATTTATTTTTACGCTAAATTTAATCAAAGTTAATCCTAAATGGAATTGTATTTTATTGATTTTAAAACTATTATACTTGTTTCTAATTATTTTGATTAGTTTATTTTCTATAATTGATAAAATATAAAAAGTGACCTTGGGGCTAAAATTAACAAATTGGGTGGGGTCAGTATTAACATGTGTTATTAAACGACTGTTTTTTGCAAAAGTACGTTTTTTTATAGAATGAGAAATTACAAAAGGAAGAGTACAAGGGGGTCTTCGTCTCAAAAAGTATTTGAGCTGGCAGCTGAAGAAGTTCTGGTAAAAATAGAGATGTTGCTACTGAATACGATATTTGTCACGTAACGCTATTTAAACTTGTTACTGATCGTCCCGATCCAAATACTGCTTCGATGGGCAACCAGGGATCACTTCAGCCTGGAGATATTTCTGTCAACCCAGAAGAAGTATCACTACATTTAGACTCTTCAATCCAAAATGAAATTTTACATAGCATGCCTGATATTGACATAAGTATTTCAGAGGTTATTGATAAACTATCACACGTACCATCAAATAAACAGCGACCGTCTCATGAACCAGGACCATCAAATACAAAGCCAACAGAATGTTTTAACGTAGAAACAATAAGACCGCTTCCAAAAGCACCTCCACGTGTCGAATCCAAACGAAAGCGTTCAAGGAAATCAACGATTCTCACTGATACTCCCGAAAAATTGGCCTTAGAGGAGGAAGCAAAATTAAAATCATCAAAAAAGATAAAAACTAGTCTGACTGAAACTAAAAATAAGGGTAAAGGCAAAGGGAAAAGTAAAGGAACCCGGAGAGAAGAAGTAGAAAAGGTTAAGAAGCATATTCTGCAGGACGTTAGTGAAGAAGATACCTGCTTTTGTTTGGTTTGTGCCGAGTCTTATAATGAAGACACATCTGGACTTGACTGGATACAATGTATTTTATGCAAAGGATGGGCTCATATCACCTGTATTAGAGGTGATACCAGAAAATACATATGCCTCAACTGTTTCTCAGATGAAGAGAAATCGTATTCTGATTAATTATTGCCTGATTTGAAGTACTTATTTCCTGTCTAAGTTTAAGTACAAATTAGATTAAGACTGATTTAACTAGTTACCTTATTAATATACCTAAAGACTAAAAACTTGTCTCATACTAAAAAGTATTAACACTGTGACATTTGTTGATGAATATCAAGTAGATTTAAAATACTGTATTGCTTAAGGTAACTCATAGAGGTTTTTTAAGACTGATACTAAAATGTTTATGTGACTTTTATTTAATTATTATGTTTAAACTATTTAAAAAAATGTTCGTAACAGATTTATAAGATAATACTATTTTTTCTACTCCATTAAGAAACTTAAAGACTGTTGAACCTAAAAAGTTTAAGTTTAAGTAAGTAACTTTAAAAGATTAAGTTTAAACTATGTGTTTAATTTTTTTTAGGCTTAAAACTATTCAAACTGTAGCAATGATTATTATTATTAAGTGTAGATTTAAAAGAATTTGTTATATTCTTTCAGTTCCTATCATAAAAGTACTAATTAGTTTAACATTGAAGGCAATAAAACTTTTTCATTAATTTCAGTGACATTTTATTTGAGTATTTGATATAATTCAAGTATCTGTTATTAATTGCCCCTTACGTTAATACTTATCCCAGCTTCGTTAATATTCGCCCCACATGCGGGGTATATATTAACAAATGACTTTTTTGGTTTTCATGGCTCTCTTTCTGGAAGCACTTACATACCTGATGATTTTTGTTATTAATATCATAGCTGAATAACCAAAGCATGTTTTCAATAAAAAATGAAACGAAAAAGTCTATTATCAACGAAAATATAAATCATAATACAGAATTTGTTAGTACCAGCCCCGCCCTCCCCTACTGTAACCAAGTATAGTAAAACGTTTCGTGACCACCTAGTGACTCTTTATACCTAAGAGTTACCATTTTGTGGTGTAAAGCACTGGAAAGTCGAAAATAATATTAACAACGCATAATTCAATCCCCGCCCCGCATCGTAACGTTTTACAAAAAGACCCCCCCCTCCAAAATTCGTTACATAATACTTGAACGCTGCCTAACCTACAGTTCAGTTTGAACAATTACTGACCTGCAGAGGCACCTTAGTGGGATCCTCTCCCAAAGGCCGACAGTCATTTAGAAGGAACATCATGAGGAAGCCGCAGGTGGCACTGACAGCTGCCACCAGACAAGCTTCGACTACGCGTAACCATGGCTCACCTACATACCTTCAAAGTTATTGCTTAATATCACAAAACAATTCTAAAACAGCTTTAATTTTTGAAGTGAACTTCTTTAAGCGAATGATGGTAAACATTTTACAGATACGTCACGAAGATGTGCAGCGTTTTTGTCGAAGAAAAGGGAGAGAGCCGATCGATTTAGAGAGAGAGTGAACCTTATAGAAATTCTATTTTTAAAATTAAAATTTCGTAAAGAGAATTCATGAAATATTAGTATTTTATGCAAAATAATTTATTGAAATCTCAAATGACGAATTGTAAATTAAAATGCCACGTGTTTTTATTATCGTATTATTTGTATTAATTTTCGACAATTTTTACGACAGTTAAATTCATTAAATTCCTAAAATATCTTCCATTTTCCCTCCCTCTAAGTCTCGGAATTTTTTAGATTTGTATAAATAGTAGATTGCCAAAGAAGTTTCACTTCTGACATCTGTATCTACTTTGTACGCACGCACTTTTTTTATAGGACTGGAAAACGAGAGGTATAGGCGTATCAATTTGAATTGTGTAACCTGCAACGCCGGTGGCTAGTGGTGCCGACTTTTTTGGGGAATGTTACGCTCTTTTATTGCATTAATTTAAACAACATTGATTGGTTAGTCAACAAATTACAATAACCGATATTTTTTTCTTTAACAACAAAAAAATTTCCTTGTGTGTATCTTTAAGTCATCTGCGCAAAAAGAGAGACTTCGGAAAAAAAATGTTTTAAATTCCGACTAATAAACAACTTTTCTTTTGATATATTATTATGTTTGTCAAATACTAAAATAATCTACTTGAATACACAATAAATTATTGATTGAAATACTCGACTGAAAAGAATTGTTCATTTATTTTGGAAAATAATTTGGGACAGGCTTCCACTCCTTTGTTGCCCCTAGGCCCCCAGACCTCTAAATCCGGCCGTGCATCCGCGGTAATAATCTGGGCCACAATTAAGGTCTTTAGAAATGTATGTGAATATTTAATTATCCTTTGATTACAAGAAATATCGAAACAACAAAGCAACAAGCTCCTAAATTGGGTGATTCATGAGGAAGGTTTAGCTAAATAATTTTCAAGGTTACCGGTGCGAGTATATAATTAATTACCTTAATCTAAAAACAGCCAATTTGAAGTTAATATAATTCCAGAGGGCGCCCAATAAACCTCCGATTACACCAAATATTATAAACACTGGCAATTCGTAGATTTGAAATGGAAAAGGCTCCATTTTTCCGAGATTCAGGAGACCTAAAAATTATTAATATTATATTATTTAAATAAGACATGAGTACCTGCGGTACATGAATGAACTATAAAGGTGGGCAAGGATTATTTTTGGACTATCCTGCCAAACCTTTTTATGTGGTAATTTTTATTACAAAAAAATTGTTTTTCTATCACCCTATAATTGAACACTTTATTTGAGGGCGTTTCCCAAACCTAAAAAAATATATTTAAAATAACTTCAAATAAGAAAAAAGATTTAGTTAAATCTAAGTTATAGAAAACTTACGCATTACAAAGTTACAAAATAAAATCCAAAATATGATAAAAAAACAAGAAAACAATGTATAAATCAAGAACGTAGAATACACGGCAATCACCGTCTACGTCCATTTTTTTCCACTACACTCAATCTATAATAATAATAAAACATATATAAAGTTTTTAAGAATTTGAAACTACTGAGCAGTAACTAGACTTTTATTATATATATATACATACGACATATGTATATATAAATAAAAATCTAAAAGTTTAATTACTGCTCAGTAGTTTCATATTCTAAAGAACTTTATTCATATAGGTAACCAAGTTCACTTATGAACGTCAACAGAAAAGATGTTAAATTGATTCAAAATTTACATTTAGTACCAGTTCGCAAGTCAAGGGCGTAGAGCGGGCAAGAAACTTTCCGCCACTTAACTCGTTTTAATCGCCAAGTTTTGTGCGTTGTTCTCAAGCGTGAGTTCGTGCGTTCGAACCCTGGCTATGCACAGCTGTCTATCACCACGTAAGGATGGCAGACAGAAAGCTAAACACTTACCCTTAAAAAAACACATGCAAGACCAGAGCCAGGACATTTAATATTAATTAATATAAATTGAAATTATTAAAATTATAAATACCTGGATAACTCAAGTCTCCGGGATGACCATGATAGGCAGATAGCGCAAAATTGAGAGTAAACGTAGACACTACTGTGCCAAAAAATGTCCGCCATGTTAGGGCCTGGTTCCAAAAACTGGTGCCTTCTTCGAGGGAAAATAGTACGCCACCTGGTGATTGTGAAAACGGTGATTGGTTTGTATTTGTGTATTTAAAAAAATGCTGTAGTTTCTGAATTATATTTTATATCTTACTAGCAGACCGGTCAAGCGTTGCTGTGGCTAAGGTTTTAGTTATATTACATAGTAGTAACCTATTCAAGGGAAACGGTAGGAGAACACCAGTCATAGGGACCACCATGCTTTTTTGGTGGTAATGCCAGTAAATTGTAGCTTAAGTGAAACGTTGGTACTTTCAACACAGCGCCATCTATTAGATTTGTGACTATCAAATAATAAACAAATATTTTGCAATAAAATAATATTGCGGGTATAAATTGAGATGAAAGCTATCATATCTTTTAAGTTAGATCAAACTGCACACGGTGTGCAAAATTGATTGAAATCGCTTCGGTAGTTTAGGAGTCCATAGCGGACAAACAACGTGACACTTAATTTATATATATTAAGATTTATAAAATTTTATTCAACTGCCAAGTAACAATATTATTCTTGTGAATTTTTTTTGAAGGCTTTAGGCCTAGCATAGGCTAAAAAAAATTGTGAGCAGTCGGTTGTCATTTTGACAATTTACCTTTGTAAATAATTATAGAATGATTGACTATATATGCTGAAATAAATCTGAATAAAATGAAACTGTATGATAGTCATAAAATAAAATTTTTTTTACCTTTCTACCACCAAAACTTTTATAAAACCGATAATAATTCTGAAGTAATCTATGGCAGAACACTGTTTGCCGGGGCAGCTAAATCTATATATTACCAATAGGTGCTCCAAACGCAGCGGAGACCCCAGCCGCAGCGCCTCCAGACACAAAATCTCGTTTTTCGTGATCCTCACGAAAATACTGAAATACCTTGAAGTCCTTATTGAATGTTGTACTCTTGCCCTGAGAGATACCTGCTGCCACGACTGCTCCACAGTGAATCATAGGACCTTCCTGAAAAAAAAACAATTACTTTTTGAAGTGAAACTTCTTTATCAATGATTGGGAGAAATTTATGTAAAAATTCGTCACGTTTTTCGGATACGCGCCATGTTGCTTTTTTTAATACCAACTACAAATTGCTTGATCCATCGCAGGTTGAATCCGATATTTTATTGAAAGTTTTGAAATGGAATATTTTGTCCATTGGCCAACAAAATATCGGCGGCAAATCTTGCGAGAAAACCTTGAAATTAGTCGGATTACTTCAAGTAAATGCAATTAATGAAATTCTGTAATAATCTTAGTAGTAATAACATAAAATGTAATAATTGCATTATTTGAATTCATGTCTATGATAATAAAAGCCTTTTGTTAAACTTTATCTAATTTATCTTTATTTAACCAATTTCTGTAAAGTTGCATATAGTGTAGGATAATTTTTCGAAAAATAAGGTCAGAAAGAAGTTTCACTTCTTACGTTTTTACGCACAATTTTTGTATTTCTATGCTCTTACATCATTAGTTAGTATGTAACTAGCCGTTTTTTGTAGTATTATGTTCATACATATATACATTATCACGTAGCTGCTTTATAGAATTGATGAAATGGTTGACCATATCGTGAAGTGGCTAAACCAAGATTGAAATAACGATAAAACGTTAGAATATTCAACAATTCAAGCATTTCATGAAATGATCGGTTCTACGACAAATAACAGCGTTTTGTGAATAAGATATCTAATTGAAAGGGGAAAATGTTGTTACCAAAAAACAGGAAAAAATCTCTATGCGCCATAACTGATAACATATTTAATTAATTCACTTTGCTACATAAGGATACAACACAACCAGGAAACTTTATTTACTGCTTACAAGCTCCAGGCATTTTTAAAGAAAATATGGCAAAGTATATGAAGTGTAATGTTGCCAATATAATATTACAAATAATAGATAATAATAACTATAATAATTGAACAACAACTAAAAACTTAATAAAATACAGAAGAGAATTACAATCATTGCAAGGGAAGGTTGGCAGTATAAGATGGACAAGACTAGGCATTTATAGAATAGCAGTGTGTCATCAGGATTTTGGCAAACATTCTATACTCATATTTTTAATTCCGTAGAATTCTGACAGCTATCATTTTTTGACATGTCAGTGATGGCAAACCTTTTTAGCCGGGCACATTTTTCAATTTCAATACGAGTCTGAACATCTGAGTCTATACAGACATTTTATTGTTAGTTAATGTATCCATTTTATTAAGTGCGGTGCTCCACATTAAAAATGGTTTAACGGCGAGTGGTAATTACGTTCCTTTTCATCACAAACAGTAAAAAACGCTTTTTTTTAAAGGTTTACTAAACCTGGAATTAGTAAGCAGTGATGCCAGCTAAAGAATAAAATAAAGTAATTAAAGTTTATTCGATATATTGTTCGTGATATTGAAATATTTGTTATTTTTGTATTAGGTTACTTGAGTAAGTAAATATTTAGATTTACCTTTTTCTAGCTAAAACATAAAAAATACGTAGTTTTTTTTTAAATTATTGCCCTCAAATAAGTCAAATTTGTCCATTTTTCGGTGGAGAACTTTCTTAGTAGCAACACTAATGAAATGTCAGAATTCTACGGAATTAAAAATCACAGTATACTTAATTCAAAAATTGTAATAAAATTTCATTCACCTTTCCTCCAGCTAGTCCACCCACAACAGCACATATAACCCCAACAGCTTTAACAAATAGAGTTTTGATTCTGACAACCCTTGGGATTTTAACTCCATTGAGATAACACTTCACTTGAGGTATACCACTGCCTCCTGCGACAGGCTGAAATATGAAATGATTTTGATTCTAGAAATACAAGGGCTTATTACCTGTGTGCCGGCCACTTTGTATAAGCGTCTGGAAGCCAGTGATAAGAAATAGTGGCAGAGGGAACACTGCTATAGGAAAACCCAAGGTGTGTGCATACGGTATCTTGTAATTCAAACAGCTTCTTACTTAGGGAGCGTTGAAGTATTACGTCACGCCCCGTTGACCCCCCTTCCCCCCTTCCCCGTGTAACACGCCGTAACGTTTTTCTATACCCAAGTACAGTACTGTACCCAAGTATAGTAAAACGTTTCGTGACCACCTAGTGACTCTTTATACCTAAAAGTTACCATTATGTGGTGTAAAGTACTGGAAAGTTGCAAATAATATTAACAACACCGCGTAATTCAATCCCCGCCCCGCATCGTAACGTTTTACAAAGGGACCCCCCAAATACGTTACGTAATACTCGAACGCTCCCTTATACAAACTTAGTTTTTTTGTTTGTATAATCTTGGCTATATTTGTATAAAATCTAGGGGTTATATTTTTATAGAACTAAATAAAAGTACTTACCTCAATATAAGCAACAAGCATAGATCCAACAAACACAATAGAGATATTAGACAAAACCCACAACAAATATGGAATATACAGTTCATCTAGCAGTACATATTTATCTACAGCTGTGTGTTACTAAGGAAAATTATGTAGTTTATTATTAAAATTATATATCATTTAAAAAATGTCAAAGTAAAAACCCACAATGAGTCAGTAATAATAAATAAGCAAGCAGTATTTTTATCATAGACGAAATAAAAACCAACGTAATATTAATTATTAATTAATTTTCTGAATATTGAGAAATGTAATGTAAAAAAAAGTAACTTTAAAATCTTCTTGCCTATCAAATGTATAAGTGAAATTGAAACAGAAAAATACAGAATTAACATGATACACCTGAGACTTCATACATATTAGTACTACTTTAATATATAAAGATATCAAAAGGATACACTTCTTAAGTTGTTCATATTTAATATTTGAGAATTCTTCAATGCAAATGTCAATTATGAATGCAATAAGGGCTGTTATTACTCCTATTAGTAACACTATAAACCATCTTGCTATGTCCTTCCATACAACAAATGCATATCCTCGTTTTCTCTCTTCATCAAGAAGCAAATGATTTTCACAGGTATCATAATCTAAACTCTGAAACAGAAGATATGTTTGAAAGAATATTCAAAAAAATATTAACCTATTATTTATCAGTAAAATATGTAATTTAACATTTTATACTATAATTTACCATTAAGTATATAAGTAACAATTATATACTTAATGGTAAATGGTATTTAATACCTGTATACTGCCCTGTGTTACATACGGATGTGAGACTTGGTCCCTTACACAGTTACACAGGAAAAAACTGTCAACATTCCAGCATGCAGTTGAAAGAAGTATGCTCGGCATCAAGAGGAAAGATAAAATTCGAAACACCGACATACGGCGTAGGACAAAACTAACCGACATACTGATCAGAATAGACCAACAAAAATGGAGGTGGACAGGACACTTGATGCGTTCTTCTTCTTCTTCAAAGAACAAATGGAGCAACATCGTCACACAGTGGTATCCACGTAACGGCAAGAGAAGTAGAGGACGTCAGTACAGACGATGGGAGGACGAGCTAAAACTGACAGCAGGTCCAAACTGGAGGAGAGTCGCCTTGGACAGAACACAGTGGAAAGAATTGGAGGAGGCCTTTGCCGAAAGGCACACTGTAATTAGGGATATTTTATAATTTTAATTTATATATACTAACTTTAAAACTTACAGTAATAAAGGCTATTTTATTTTATTTATATAAGTAACAATACAAAGCTAGGTAGGTACAAACCTCATATTTTGCAGATAAAATATTCATTGACCCAGGTTCAATTTTTTGTATAGGCTGTCTGCGTCTAACTCCGTGACTGCCTTGTAAGTCATCTTCCTCAGATTCCTGTTGCATAAAACAAATTATATAATAATATATACGAAAGTAGAAGAAATGCTTACTATAAGGTCATAGAACCATAAGTAATTAAATTATAAAAAAATAAATTATAACTTGCCTGGATATCTGTCGTCTGGTTCAACTGTGCACAATTTGAAGTACTAGCCTCATCATTACTGATTAGTTGGGCAGTATCAGATGTACACTCGCTTGTAATCTCAGTGCTCGAATTACTCATTTTGGCATCAATAAATTTATACAATTATGCCTTTTATAGATAGTAAATTACATTTTCAACAAATGTGTACACATGTTTAAACTAAAACATACTGTTACTTATTAAACATTATGTAAAAGTTCAACATAAAATATGAAAACGACCTAAATAAAACAATTATTATTTTTGGTTTAAAGTAGATATGTGGTATATGAAATGATTTAATTAACACACAACATTAAAATATTTAATAGCATTTCAAAATGTATTCAACCCACTAAAAAAATGCACAAGCACAATTTATAGTATTAGGTATTTAGAATCGTCGCAAAATTTATAAACAATGAACTCATAGAATTGAAGAGAAAGAATAAATAAACTGGAGAATATCTCGATTTTTTGACTCAAAACTTGACAGCAGACGTTTACTTGGTTTGTCACTTGACTTCCGTTCTGTGATGACGGATTACGGTAGAGTAAGATCGTTAACAGATTTTAACTAAAAACTTATGTTAGAAGCTAAAATAAATGCCACTGTCAGTTCTTGGCCACCACAAATTAACAATTTTCATTTTAACAACTACAATAAATTTAATGCATACATTTTCAAAATATATTATTATAATCTTATTACTTTTAATATGTCTCGGATATTGTTTTTTTATCATAATTAAAATTAAATACAGATTATTATCTAGTATAGCGAAGAAAGGAGGAGCTGCAGAAAAGCACCTAATACGCATGCGCAGATTAAAAACGTTGTCTTTATCTTAATAATTATATCAATTATAAAATTTCAGAAATGAGATGTGCATAAAAGTTGTTTCGTAATATAACTTATCAGATTTTAATAATATTTTAAATATAAGGAAAGTATGCTTCCATTATCAGTTTTATTAGAACATAGAAAATAGAATTGTCAATTTTACGATACTAGCGACACGACGGCGCGCAGCGCAATAGTCAGCGTACCGTAAACAATGGTGTATTTCTGTGCATGTGTGTGTGTGTATGTGTGTAGCTTGCTCGTTTGGTTGACAATCGCGATGTGATGTATATCCTACATCATCGCACGCTGAGATATATTTTCAAGAAGTATTTTTAATTTATAAATTTATTAGGCGATTTGTTTCTAAATGTTTTCTTATGTTGTGAAAACTTTTCTCTGTTTTGATTTCTAAATATGTGTAACTTGCCGCCGAAGTTCCATTCAGTGTGTCGCCTTTGTTTATCATTCTGTGGCGATAATTGCAGTGATGTTAAACTTCCAATATTCGACCGTGATAAGGATAAATCACGACTTTCCGAGATGATAATGGCTTATCTATCGATAATGGTAAATATTTATACCTCAATTAGGTGTTCGGAATGCGAAAAGCAAAGTTTTTCTCATGTGAAAGTTTAGCATTAGCGTACAAGATTGTGGATACTGATAAGCGCCATTAACTTTCTCGCGGGTGTTGGGTATTTTCGCATTGTGATATCATGTTACGGCCCACGCGTCGAGTACTCGGGTGTATGACTAATGTCGTTCTTGGAAGTGATAGGCAAGGCGTGTGGCTGTGCGCTATATCAGTGACCGCGCGGTGATAACAAAGGAGCGCACGGAGATCATTGTATGAGATCGCTAGAGCGCTCCCCCTCGCACCCTTCACACCTACGTTTCTAATCACAGCTACAAGGATGCACTCTCACTCCTTCCCTCTCACTAACTGCCTTCTATTTTCAGAGCTTATATTAACTAAATATAGAAACAAGTCCTATGGGGGACTGTTATTTATATATTGACATTTTTAGTTATTTCACAATTTTATTATTACCAGATTTTTTAATCTATAATAAAATTCATTGCTTAATTCAACTCATAACAGATTATTTGGCTTCTGTAAGAGGATAATAATAATATTATAATTTTAGGTTTCTCCAGAAGACATGTTGCCACAGGTTGTATGTGGAAGTTGTGCAAGCAAACTTGATGAGTTTCATACATTCAGGGAACTATCACATAAATCTGAAAGATTATTGGAACAGTTTCTCCACTATGCTAACTCACTATCAGGTCCTATAGAGGTATGTAAACACAATATTGATAAAAAAAAGGTTTAATTCTAAAATATTTTTAATGCTAGTATAATATTGCACATAGTCTATACATTTTTTAATTTACAACTAATATTTTTACATAGCTTCAATTTTACACTCTAAAACTTTAACTTTTATTTGTTCTTAGATTAAACAGTACGTAAAATATAAATGATTGTTAATGTATTAGTAAACATCAGACTTAATAATCAAGCAAAGCTTGATTCAGAATTATTAATGTTTACATAGCGAATAGGCTGACTTAATTTCTTCTTGTAGAATGCTTTAGCAGCGTTTACAATGATCCCACAAATCATTCCTATTCCAACTACTGCTGCCACTCCTAAAATACTCCACAGAACATGTTTTGGTCTTAAATCAGTAATGGAGAATTGTTTCTTTGGTGCAAAGGTTGTGTCAAATGTAGGGCAAAATGATATAGTGATATTTGTTATATAGGCCCCATTCAGTCTCATAGGTGCTGCACAGCTGAAAAAGTAAAAGAATATGTAAAAAATGCTCTAGTTACTAGTACATAAAATAACTTTCTTATGTGTATCCTCTTACTAATATTGCTCTTAAAATTCAAAAGCTTAAAATTCTTTACATAGGATACAGCAAATAATATATATGCAATAAATTATTTTCAATAAAGAAGATAAAATCAGTGACTAGCTTTAGGGTTTTTTTGAAAAAACCTTGTTTTTATTAATAATATATTATATGTCATTACACATTATTAATTTGGTATAACTTTTATAAATACTGAGAAAAATACTTGCTTTGCTTTTAATTTAACTGTTAAATAGATGAGCATTTTTTAGAAATGAATTGCTTTGCATTCATTAAAATAACTTTATTCAAATTCTAGATGATAACAAGTTACTACGTAAATGGCTGTATAGGATTTAACATTATAAATTACACCTTGAATCATTAGTTAGTACTTAGTACCAAGAGATGGTCATTAGTAGCCAGAGGTTATTTATACAATATAAATTTATTATGAGCCGTCATAGATTGTAATTTATTTTATTATTCATTCATTCATCAGCAATTCCTGTGTTAAACACATTTCACACATAAATTATGATCAAATATAGGCTCAGTTTTTAACCAACTTCAATTAATATGTTTATATAAAATTGATAAATTCTGTGAATTCAATGCATAGAACTCATTCTAGTTTCTAATTATAAACAAACGTTTTTTTGCTTGAATCATAGTGCATAATGTCTTATTAAATTATAGAATATGATTTTTAAGCTATAATAAATTTATTAGCTGTTAGTATTTATTCTTATAGTGATCATTGAATTGAGTACTTACAATGGAACTTTTCCTGGCTTGAACTTAGTACTTGCCTCCTGTTTCGTCACAATATTGGCCAAGTCACAGTTGCAAAGCCAGTTATTGCCAGTCATACCTAACACCTCCAACTCGTTCCATGGCATAAGATCAGTTGATAGTTCGCTCAAGTTGTTGTCATCGAGGTATACCTGGAAAATTTATTAAGTTCTACGGACAATTTGTGACTGTTGAGACTTAAGTGTGTTTGTACTTATATAATACAGATAGAAGTTTTGTAGGGTATTTTTAAAGACTCCTCGGAGTTTAGATTATGGATTTTTTTTTCGATTTTTCACTTTCCCTTGTATTTGTATAGGTTAACATATTGATATTTCGATGCGTCATTATTCTACGTTACGTATATATACAAAAGTGACATTTAATTTTGAAAGATTTTCTAAAAGCAGTTGGCTTAGTGGTTAAACGAGCGATTCTAAACCGAAGTTGCGCGTTCGATCGATGAAGAAAAATGTTGTAGGTTAACCATAAACCGGCGATATTTATCGGGCCCGGTCTATAATTAAAACATAAAAAAACAGATTCCGTCTGTTCCATAGTTATATCGTTTACGAAACTTCATACAAAATATTGTGATTTTTTAATGATTTAGTTCTAACCCATTTTTTCATCGTTGCTATAATATTAAGTCAATGTACTTAGACGTTATGAAATATATTTTGGCAATATTATAATTCCGAGACTTAGCAATCAACTGTTATCAAAACAAATATAAATGATTTATCAGCTAACCTAGTTTATTTGATGTTAAAGATTCACGAACTGGGCCAAACCGCGTTATTTGCATGCGCAATATTTTATCTAAAAATATTTTAAACAAAACTGGTATTTTCAAATACAAATTAGGATTATGCTTATAAAAGCGACATTTTTAAAATACGAATGATGAAATTTGGAATTGCATTATCTTAACGTTTCACAACTAAAGTCATTTTGAATATTGTGTAGATTAGCTATTGCCCGCGAGACTTTTGCGTGGAAACAAAATAAAAGACAGAACATATATTTCCTCTGGTGAATCTTTTTTCACTTAGGGTCTGTTTCACAATGTATGGATAAAGCACCAAATAGCTATGCAAAACACATACATTATTTGGAAGATAAATTGTGCTAATTGACACTTCATCGGACTCCTAACTTATGATGGACTTTATGTGACGAATAGCGCTATCTGACAGTCGTGAAACGCAACAATAGTGTTTATCCTACCAATAAGTAATAAATAGCTAATTTGGAACTTATGTAGAACTTATCCGTACATATGAAACAGACCCTTAATAATTTTTGAGATTCCTTTTTAATTTTTCTTTAGTGTCGGGATATTTATGTATTATTATTTACTAGTGAAAAGTGATGACTAATCAAATTTAAAATGTTGTAATAAGCGAGTATTCTTGTGGATAATCTAGAAAGTATAAGGTCGGAGTAACGTGATTGGATATTATAATACGTCCGTCTTGTTAGATTGCTTGATTACGCTACACCGGCGCTTAAAGATGAAAGTGTTATGGGATTTACCGAAGCTTAGTCGAATATGTTAAAATCTAACGTAACTTTCAAAACAAATACTATTTTTCCCTAAGGTAATGAAGTAATTTAAATGATTGTAAAAAAATCCGTAAATATTCTTAAATTAGAAAAGAAAACGGTTCCTTTTTTGAAAATTTACAATCTTATATATAAAATTCTCGTGTCACAATGTTCGTTCCCATAATCCGTAACGGCTCGATTATACCGATTCTTATGAAATTTTTTATGCATATTCAGTAAGTCTGAGAATCGGCTACTATCTATCTTTCAAACCACTAAATGTTAAGGGTGGTACACCCCTAAATTTTTTTATGATACAACATATAAAACTACATACAACCCTTAATTTTCTCCTCTCTACGATGAACCCTTATTTGTTAATTAAATACTTAGGACTTAACTATGAGGTTTATATAGAGAAAAATTCACAGGAAAACCTAAGTTTTCATTCCGGAAAACCGACAGTCTCTGGGGTAGCATAGCAAAATGTTCCATGTTGGTATGTACTAAAAGCGTAGGCTAAGTAAAATCACATTAAGGAGAAATGAAGTTCGCGGGGGCAGCTAGTTAAATAAAATAATTTGGAATAGTGTTCTTAACTCTACATTCATGACTTGAGCTTCTTTAAAACAAGAAAATACAATAGCACGATTAATTACTTCTTTAGTCTATATGCTTATTACCAAAATTTTTATTGTCTATAGCTTACCTCTTTCAACGCCCATCTATCTTTAAGTCCCCTGAAAGCATTGTGACTAATGTACCGTAAATTCTTGTTATGACAAAGATGTAGAACTCTGAGATTTTTTAACGGCGAGAATGTGCTGCGTTTGACTTCCTCCAAGTATTGGTTTTCGCCTACTTCCAGTTCTAGCAAACTTGTCAATCCTGAAACATCCATTAACAAATGTTTATTGTAAAATAGGGCTTTGGTCACATTTGAATTGATAAAAAACTCGTTTGAACGGATTTCGAATTAAGAATATTATGATAACGGAGGCTCAGAAATCGTGATGTCTTGCTAGCGTCTAAAATTAAGATGTGTTAACAAGTTTCCATATTAGCCACGTATACGTAATTGTATGATATATAATTTAATTTTTGTACAAATAAGATTATTTGTACGTCGGAGTGGTAATATTCCGCCCCCTTGCCCCGCACTACTTGAGAGTCGATCTACTTCAGATTTCTTGCTTTAAAGTCTGGTGGATTATGCTCACTAAAACCACCTCGGGTAAAACTCATCGCATATTAAAGGCCCTCGGCTCCTTATCATTTGAACAGTAGTTATTACAACAACAAATTGGTTAATGGCTGGTCATAGAAGAAGAATCAATAGAAAAAAAAACGAATATGGTTTATGAACGGAGTTTGTATTATATAAAAAACAATAGACAATCGATTTCCATAGCAAAATAAAAATAAATTCTTTATTATCTACGAGAAATGAATACTTAAAATGATGTTCATAGATTAAATCTAATTCCACGCATCGAACCGACAAACGATGACTAGTCGGAGAAGCATTCCGGATATATTGTGAACTTGACGAAATCTTGGCGATTCTATCGCTACTCACGTATCTATTGATAATAATAGTTATATTATTAAGTATTATGTTTGTATAAGCCGGTGTTCGCGACAGTATTCAAAAGGATGTTTCTTTGCAAGGTTTATGTAGGTATTAGTACCAATATCAAATAAGATTATATTGATTGCCAATAAAGACTATCAGAAAAGTGACATATCGAATTATTATATTTTTAATAGTTGTATTGAGATACGGAGTGTCGTCATAATCGTACTCTCAAATACAAAAATCTTGTCTCGATTATTTTTAAAGAGGATTGGCAGTAGGGGAAACTATTCAATAGCTATTTTCCGTCTTAACTAGCTGTTTTAAAATATTAAATTATTGTATATATTATATATATATATATATAGTATATCATATATAATATATATAGTATATAAATATATGCCCGATTAGTTATCGATTGATAAATGAGAAATATTTTTTTAGATGGGAATCAAACTGAGGTCTGTTACATAGACTTTCTTATATGTGTACTCTCTTAAATGTTTTAAGATTACTAGAATCTAACTGTGTTAATGTCTGATATTATACTTTCGTTTCGTAAGTGCTGACTTGTAGATAACTAATAGAAAGTTTGTCGATCTTCATTCAATTAGAATTTGCTTACGTAAAAGATGATTCGATTACAGATTATGCAAAATCAATACTATTTCTGGGCTTTGGAGCGAAAGTTATTTATGGTATGATGAATGAAGAATTCACGTCAAATATATCTATAATTAATTTGGAAGTTTCCATCATTTAGCTACATCAAAGTTTTGGTATCTTATCACATGCAATTTTCCTTATATATTTTGTAATAAATGTTAAAAATCTTAATATTTAATTTTCATTGATAAAGGAAAAGGCCAACTCAGCCTTTGTCCCAATATGGTGGAAAAATAATATGTAGTTTATAACTTAGCTAAAAGCTTAATAAAGAACCTTATATATAATACTATAATAAAGTTACAAGCAAACATTTATAAGCCTAATGTTTTTTTTTAAATAGTTACATTTCGGCATCTTCTTATTAAAATACCAAATGGAGTTTTATATAGCTATTGCTAAAGAGCCTTTTCTCGAACTTTTAGAACCAGAATTTTGATGGTTTTTCCTCACCATTTTATTTAAACAACATACAAAATCTATGACTACATACCAATAAAACTGTCGTCGTTCAACTCAACAAGTGGGTTGTTGTTGAATGTGAGATATTGCAAGGTATTGCCAAGTAAACTTAGACTCTCTGGAACGTTTAGGAAATGGTTTCCAGACAGGTCGATTTGTCTCAGATTAACCAGACCTTTAAAGGCGTCCAATGGTATACTGTCAATGTCCGTCTTTGATAAGTCTAGGACCTGGAAGGAAATATAGGAATTTTTATCACAATTATTTTTAATTCAATTTTTTTATTATTAGTATGGAACATAAGATACAGGTATCACTTATTCCACATCATTAAATTTAAATCGGTAGACATACAGAAAAAGAAAAAGCCGGCGTAAAAACTCTCGGTAGGTACTTTACAGAGGTACAAAATCACTATGGCAAACAACACTTATTTTAAAACAAATATCGCAAATTAATTTAATATGCTTCCGCTTAACACCATGATCATCATTACAATCAATAGCTAGCTATAATAATCAATGTCTATGTTATGTCTATGTCTATGTCTACAGCCCCTTCCTAGCTTCCTCAAGTATAGTTAGTCATAACAATATATCTCGTGCTTTGTGCGTCCAACTTCTAACACCTATTGTTTCGATGTCCTTGACAACTCCATCCCACCAATGCAGCCTCGGTTGACCGGGTTTTCTCTTGCCACCAGGTTATGAGTTCACTAAGGACTTTGGGGTTCTATCGTCCGCCATTCGGTGCACATGTCCCAACATGTATTTGTAATATAACGAAGTTTTAATAAATGAACTCGTAAATAGCTATTAGGTAGGAATATATAAGTGATAGAAAAATAATAATGACGTTAACGTTTTTAGAATCAAAACATCAAGGTGCGGTGCATGTGATAAGTAATCGTCGGAGAATGTGCGGCTTTTAACTCAATCAAAATAAAATGCACTGATAAAGAAGCACTGGCTTATTGCCAATGTTTATAAAATAGTGGCCGAGTTTTGTGATAAAATTTTGTAACGCCTGCGATGTGAAATTTCAAAGGCACATTATTATATCAAACACAAACTCAAAATAACTTTATTCATATAGGTAACTAAGTACACTTATGAACGTCAACAGAAAAGATGTTAAATTGATTCTAAATTTAGATTTACTACCAGTTCGCAAGTCAAGGGTGTAGAGCGGGCGAGAAGAACTGGCAAGAAACTCTCCGCTACTCTTTTTAATCGCCAAGTTTTGAGTCTTACAAATTGTTCAAACTGGTGCAAATCAATCCATAGGATTAGGATCATTTTTAATAATCGTAAAATTTATAAAAAGCTGTATTGATTAATTAACATTTAACAATAACATTTATATATTTTTTGACATGATTTATGGAATTCTATTTAAATAAATTAAATTACCTCGAGTTTAATGGCACTTGACAACGCTGACACGGTCACGTGATCGAGAATCTCAATTGGATTGTTGTTAAGATATAGTCGTGTTAGATTCGGCGTGTGCTGAAACAGGTATTTGTCCAATGAGTGGATCTCGTTGAAGCCCAGGTTTAGGGTCTCGAGGGCTATGTCGCTGTAGATTCCGTTATTATAAGGGCCCTGGAAGATCTCGCTTCTTAACACTTCGCCTGGAATTATTTTTAAGTCTTTAAAATACTAAAAACTAACTGAAATTGAAATGCGTTTGCGCATCAATATAATTTATGGAGATCGCTTAAGGTTTAATTTGTAGAACGTCCAGCGATGGTACATTGTAACTTCAAATAGCAGCCGACATTTTCGGATGCGATTTCAACCTCAATAATCTTCATATATTCGTGGATCGTACCGGAGCTGATCTGACTAGGCTAAGAAACTCGGCTATAGTTTTTTTCGGTAGCTTAGGGATATATTTCTTAAAACCTTGCCATAGTTTCAAAGTATCACATCATCTGGATCACACTTCACATACGCACCGTCACTCACTTTCACATCATCACACAATACAGCCGAATTAGGTATTACTTAGTAAAATGTATTTAATAATTTTTACTGATTTTTTTCCTTTTGTAAATGTTTGTACCTTTTTGTATATTTAAAATGTTATGTAAAATCAAACAATTACACTCAAATTATAGCCAAAGTGTATGTATTCCATCATAATATTACTAAGTAATATCTAATTTGGCTGTGTTGTGTGATGGTGTAAAAGTGAGGGTATGAATGTGAAAGTCTGTATGTGGGGTATGCTCATGATGCAGGTGATTTTGCGCTATGGATATTCTTAATATTCCTTTTAACCATATTCCGCGATAGCTTCAAGTCAAGGCTTAAATATTGGTCGTTGTATGTCCGGGCTGCGCGATACAAAACTAAAATATTATGTATTTCATCTTTAGCATATATTTTTTATAAGATACATATTTCTTTAATTTGGTTCAGGATCGTGAGTGAATAAATAAAAATATCAATATACTTTACCTGAAATTTGGTTGTTGCTAAGATCTAAATAGACCATACGGTAGATATTTCTAAATGCGTCGTCCTCTATTTCAACAATTTTGTTTCCCTTGAAGCTGATTGCTATTCTATTACCCGGCACCGGGGCTAGGTGGGTCACATTTGTTATACTATTGTTGAAGAACGTTATTAATACATGGCTCTCTGAAATGGATAGGTATTACCCAAGTAACACAAAACAACATTATAAGAAGCGTACAACAGCATGGACTTACGTGCAAAACAGTATATGAGCAGCATATGTAGCACTATATCAGCCGTTTATAAGTTTATAAGTGTCATATAAGCTCAATTTGGGCCCCAAATAATACGGCTTTGAGCATTTTTAAATATTATTAGTGCTGCTAACCAGCGCTTATAATGTTATTGAAGACAGACATTAGTAAAGTTGTGAGACAGCATATTCTAATGTAAAAAGCATTTTTTTAGATGTTAGTACAGCTTTTATACAGCTTTTTGAATTACAATGCCAAAGTTACGTTTTATTCTAAGGCTGAACGTTTTATTTTCTTTGTATAAAAATATTTGAAAAAACTTATCGAAACTTATATGTCCGAATTGATTATATATATTTCGTTTAGTGTATTGCAGTGCATTGGTGTTGTGCGGAGACGTTTTAATGTGTCTTCATTGAAAATAATTTATCATAAGGTAAGACAAACATCAATTTTATTTTGTTTTGAATGCAAATGAGTTGGGGGTATTAGTCTTATGTGAAAATATATATATGTTTGTGGCTTATAATTCACGCGCCGTCACAGAAATGCTTTTTAATAAAAAATAGGGACAAATTTAGAATCGACATCAGCTGACCTTTTGTAATTTTTTAACGATTTCATTAATTTTAACGTATAAAATTGTTTCTATCGATACTTCGCTTATAAGAAAAACATAATAAGTAGTATTTCATTCATATGTGTGTTATAATTTTATTTTTTATGTTCGAGAAAACAGAAAGCAAATGGCGTCATGTAATATTAATGTTCTAAACTTTCAACTAGTGTCTTTTAAAGTTGTCAGTCTTATTATAGTATAAAAAAATAGCTTAAGTCATTCAACCTACATAAAAAATATCTAAGTGATATCTTTAGCATTATAGTAACACTTTTTAGGCATGTTATAATGTTTATTACCCTTATACGTCATAAAAATGGATTGCTATAGTGTTAATCAGGGTACCGAAATAATAATTTAGAATCCCTTAATTACATGATACCCTACTCCACGTCTTTCATATTTTATCTGTCTCCAGTTAGATAATTTGCCAAGTGTAAGTATAAAATCATTATCACAATAAATGAGTTGGGGAATTCCCTGAATCATGTGCCCGAATAGAACGAACGGGACGTGCGACTTAAAGTCGATAAAACAACAATCCCTACAAAACGTGACGTCACTTGCACCAAGAGAACGACCTCTATTCATTAGTAGTACTTGATTTCTGTCCCTGTGACGACGACGCGCGCTCATTTGCTAAATATTGTGTATTTTATTTTTGAATTAATTTAAACACCGGCGTGATCACGATCCCTTACAGGTACCAATTTAGTTGTAGTGTGTATAGGAAAGGAATAATAAGGTAGATTACCTACTAAGGTAGGTATACTCCTACGCTAAGCGTGCCACTACATAAAAGTACCTAGTGAATTGAAACACGATATTATAATCTTATTTTTCGCACATTGTAATTAAAGGAACTTTTTGTAAATACGTTTTAAGGGCACGCGTTATACGGGTACTTATTTAGTTTTAAGGTAAAGTACCTTCTCTATTAAGTCCTAAATAAGCTCAATTGTTTTTTTCAGATGCCTTTTAAAATAGATTGATAGATCTATTATTCACAAGAGAATTTTTATGCAAATGTTCGTGGTCTGGAGGCAGCAGGGGAAGCACAATCAAACTACCTTTGAAAAAATATAAAAATATTTTAAATTTCTGTTTCAAATTGATATATTCCTGGGACAAATCCTATACCCTTGAAGACAATGAAAATTTTTTTAAATTAGTTTTACGAAATGCTGTGCAAAGGAAAAATTTTAAAAACTTGCGAAAACCATCAAAGAGGAATCGCTCAAGCAAGAAACAAACCGGAAAAATTACACAGGCCAAGAGAGTAGAAACTAATGCAACAGTATCAGAAAACGCAGGCAGTAAAACGGAAGATGGAACGAGTATGGGAGCAGAATTGGAAGAAGAAATAGTGAAAGAAATAGACATGGAAGAAGAGGTAGAAGAAGAGACAGTGAATGAGAACGGTTTAGAAGAAGAAACGGAAGAAGAATCAACAAATAAGACCGATACGGAAGAAGAAATAACAAATGAGACAGATATGGAAGAAGAAATAATAAAAGAGATAGATATGGAAGAAGTGGAAGATGATAATGTAATGGAAAAAGACTCTACAGATGTCTCCGAAAACGTGGATGAAAACGTAGTTAAAGAGGTAAAAGTGACTAAAGAAGTTGAGAAAGATGAAGTGAAAGTGAAAGATACCGAGACACAGGCTGACAAAGAAGTGACGAAATATATAGATGTTAAAGAAGACATGGAAAAAGAAATGAAGATGCGATCGTATATTGAAAAAGAAATGGAAAACGGTACTACGGAACCACTTGCTAGAACTTCTTGAACGGTGCTTGGCTCATACACAACTACCGATTGTTCTGTATTTTGTGTATCAAGAGTATCATTGTTTGGAACACGTTTTTCATTACTTAAACCAGATATAAAATTTGAGTATTCCATTTTTATCTTTCTCTTTACTCCACCTGTTCTCTTAGTCTTTTTCCACTGTTTATTCATGACAACAACGTGACACGTGCGACATAAAATTACTAATGAGTATATATATATACTAACGCACAAATGAAAATAATCATACTACTCATGGTTTTATGGCCAAATTATGACCTATAGTAATAAAATTAAATTTTTATTTATCTAAATAGTGCTGAAAGCTTTAAAGTAACAATAAAGTAAGAAGATAACAGAGCTAAAACTTTAGTAAATGTTTGGCTAATGCTTAGCTGTAAATAAGCATAAGAAAAGATTATAACAATGCGTTTAATCTTAAAAATGTGTTAATAAATCTAAGTTCACTATAAAGTATTTCGACAACGTTTATTTAATGTATTAGGTTTTCTTATTTACTAATATAAGGTCTTAACCTTTGTGTTAGTGTAAATGCTGTTTAAGGTGCTGTATATTAAAAGTAATTAATGTTTTAGTATGATTATAAGCCAATTAACCATATTTTTTAGACCATACAATAGCTTCATGCATTATAAATTTTACCACATTCTACTGAAAAGCATTTAAACTAAGTCAAAACTGATTTAAAGTGATAGTCTGACTTTAAAACGTAAATCAGTCTTTACTTCAGTGAATATACAGATTACGTGTTACTTGGGTAGTTATTTTTGGTTACATAGTAATCGAGGAGTGCGAGCTGTTTTTATTTAAGCCCCAGTTACAAGCAATGTTGGACTAGTGGGTTCAGCGTGCGACTCTCAACCCTGAGGTCGTAGGTTCGATCCCCGTTTGTGCATTTGACTTTCTTTCCATGTGCGCATTTGATATTCGCTCGAACGGTGAATGAAAACATCGTGAGGGAACCGGCTTGCCTTAGTCACAAAAAGTTGACGGCGTGTGTCAGCACAGGAGGCTGATCATCTACTTGCCTATTAGATTGACAGATGATCATGAAACAGATACAGAAATCTGACCTTAAAAGATTATAGCGCCACTGATTTATTTATTTATTTAAACATACTACGTCTTAAATATATTAAAAAAAGGCATAACAGCATGATTATAATAAAAACATATCAATTTTTTATCATAATCAATGCAGTTTAGTTAATGGGCCATAACGTCCTATCTTTCGCCAACGCAATCTGTCTCGTCCTTGCGCCCTATTTTAATTCTGTTGTTTAGAGGTCCAGCCCTGCGATTCTGTAACTCACTTTTCGAACTCACACAGCGGTTTTCGGATCGCCGGTCGCTCTCAAATCAGTCGTGAAGCAGTCATTTTATGATTTGGCATTCTGAAAAGGTGGAAGCTTGTAGTTTATTGTTTATTAGAATGCCAAATCATAAAATGACTGCTTCACGACTGATTTCAGAGCGACCGCCGATGCGAAAACCGCTGAGTGAGTTCGAAAAGTGAGTTACAGAATCGCAGGGCTGTACTCCAGCTTTATTGACGACGACAAGGATATATATAGTTCTTTATAAAAGGGAATAAACGTCGTCGTAAACAGGGCCAAAAGTTCTAAGAATCTGCGGTAATTAGTTGTACAATCGTCCAAATTACACAAGCCATTAAGATAAAATATAATTGAAATTGTTAATCTTCTATTATATAGAATCTTATGCAGTGTTAAAAGAAAAAACATAACATAACTATCAATTACTAACACATACATGTAGTTTGTTTCTTTTTAAAAACTTCTTACTAAAATTCTTAAGTAATAAGGAAAGTAAGAGGAGAAATTCTTAGGAAATACTTCAGGGTGCAGAGGGTCCACATAGTGGTGGTGCGCGGCAAAAAAATGCCTTGAAAAACGCTCAGTTGTGGAACGGCAGGTAATACGGGTGGAACGCCTCGACGTCCGATGATGAAACTCAGTTGTTTTATTAATTCTCATTTATACTGAAGTCATTTTTCAGTATAATGAGATCAGAGCAATGAATCTTGTAATGTTTAATAGTAAAAAAAATAGTTTTTTTTAAATGTGTATTGCGTTTTTAGCTTTTATGTATTTTGTAATTATGGTAAATTTGTCGAATCACGGCTCCATCTTAAAACAGCTCCAAATTTTTATCTACATATCTTCATCCCTCGGCAATGGTGTATCATGCAATAATGTAGACCCCATAGAAATTAATTAAAACATCATGATTTGTGAAATGAATGAAAGAAAGTACAAATTTTTGCATTTAACCTAACCTAACTTGATCCCACACGCCATTTAGAACAATAAAAAATTAAAAAAAAAACTTAACCCAACCTAATTTACTGGGACCTACTGAGACAATATTATTAACATCATCCATGTAATATTATCAGTTTTTAATTTTTTTTTAAGGGGTCCAAAGCCATGCGCCTCCTTAATATTACTTGGTGTACTACATACAAGTCGTAAAAAGCGATAGAAAGAATACCTTGTGTATAAGAATACCTTGTGTATTTAAGAAATTAAATAAATAAATAACGCGAGCGTAATAGAACTCGTGGATACTAAAACTAGCGGCTATAACAATGTGCAATATTTTAAATTGCAAGTAGTAGACGTAATACGGAAATAATTAAAGTCCTTCAAATCCGTAATTAGTTTTATCTTAGTATTGAATAGAATTTGTTCTAATATCTAACTGCTGACACTGCTAGAAAGTGTTTATAAGAAAGCCCGAAATATTTTAATAGACATAATTTATGATAATTCACGTGATATAGAAAAAAAACCGAGAAAAATAACATCAGATAACTTCTATTCGACTAATAAATATATTAAAATTAGTTTAGTTCTTTACACGTGCATTTATAAAATCAATACCTAATGTTAGAAATTAGTAATCACTATAATTAGACAATTGCAATCGCAGTATTAAGTTCTTTATCAATTAACGCATAGATTATTTTACTGTGTCGTGTTATCAAACCCGATTTTCAATAGAAATACGTCAGTGCTATGCCGTAAAATCTAGGAAAAGAAATGATTTAATATGGTGCCTTATACGATAAAATAAACAAAGGAATACTTTAGTCTAAAGATTTCACTTCAAATGTATGTGCTTATTAATGTGAAGATTGTATGGGCGGATCTTTATTAGTTTTTCGCGTCTATGTTTACGCATAACAACAAACAAAAGATTATGATATAGAGAAATTGTGGAGCTATTTCTAATTATTTGTATCAAATTTAGAGCAGAATTTATCTATAATACGCCCTTTTATCTTCGTAAAAGCTAGAATAAGTTTTTTAGGGGTTTAGAAACAATATAGTACAGTACCTTTGTCACCAAGGCTCTGGAGGTTCTCAGGCCATTTGGGTACGCTGTCGATATCCCTCCGTGAGCAGTTTAACGTTAGATTGTTGCCATCTTGAAGAAAAACATCACAAGGACTCTTTCGGTCATTTGAGTCACTCTGCGCGTGAGCTGCGTAAACTAGGACACTTAATATCACTGACACCTACAACGAATTAATGCGTTAAATACAAATCATGAACAATTATGTCCTTAACAACGAATTGATATTTACTCACTCTAAATATATTACGTAGAAAGTACATTTTCATTGAATTTAGGAAAGACACTGTTCGCGCCCCATACAAAGATTTTATCTTATCACCTAGAGCCGAGTGATATCATGAGATATCAAAAAGCCGCTACCCCATTGGTTAAACGTTTATTTGTGTTATCGTGTTTACATAAAGCATTATACAAACATTGTTCTTTATTTTTAGGAGGTCCTGAGTATAACGGCCGACAAACTGGAGGAGATAATCAAACCGTTGAACGATAATGAGTATGATCTGTCAAAAAGTAAATACGCAGAAATCGGCTCGCCTGACTCAACCGAAGAGATGAAAAACCTCGAGAGCCGACAGGCGGCGGTTACACTGCTACAAATAAAAAACTACGACCCAACGAAATACGTTGTCAAACCCGAGACGGAAGAGAACTCGAATATAATGTTCAAAACAGTGAGCCTACCGCCCTCCGATAGAGCGAGAGAGGTTATGCACTGTACAACAGTGATAGATATAATTAGCAAGGCTGTCGCGGTAGCTCAGCGTGAAAACGAGGAATCTCAGTATCCGACAAATTATGCGGGCGTTACTGACAATACGCACACGGCGTCCGAATATACTCAAGAATATGTGGACGAACAGTATGCCCAGAATACGCCGCAGAGCGTCACGAATCTACCCAATAACGAGGAGCACAGAGAGATGGATCTCTCACTATACTCCTGTAAGACGGAGTATGAGAGCGAACAGGCCAGAGAGACTAATGCCTACACACATAGAACCAGTGATATGTCACATAAGGACAAAATGCAGCATTTCTATGCCAGAGCGTGCGTGAGGACAAAGCCGGCGAAGGAGAGTTCGGTGTATGAGGATTGTAGTCAAAGCAGTAGCGGCTCAGATCCGGACAGACTTCAAATGGACATATCGGAGGTGTCGCAGGTAAATACAGTATATTATTAACTTTTAATACTTAAAATATTACTATGATTTGTAGTACATACAAAAATATCAACGGTGCCTACAACATGTAGACACAAGCGCAAAAAAACTATTAAAACACTAATAATAAAAATAATGTATAACACACACATACACTAGATTTCGCTTTGTCGAAGCCTGAATCTCACTTATAAGCTGCACTTGTATTCATTTAAGCTTTCAAAATATGGAGACAATGAAAATCACGTGAATACTATTTGTGGTCGGTTTACTGAATACTCGAGGAAATAATTATTAACATTTTGTACGTAGATGGTAATGACCTTAGTAAATATTACCACGTGATTCCTATATAAGTTATCTTTTTGTTATTTAAGTATTATGTTAGGTAACATTTTATTATTTGCTATTGCGAGTTACTTTGGTATGTGTGAGGTAATTTGTGGATTATATTTAAAGTCGAGTTTGCCTTGTCTTCCAACGCAAAACAATTATTTCGTTGGGACTTATATACAAGAAGAATGGACCTGGGCCAATATGGTTTATTTGATGCTATAGAAAGAATGTCTGCTTTTATAAGTCGATTAATCAAATCAAATCAACTTTAAATGTAAATTTTATATATAGAGTAGACCCCTGTCGGCCTAGTGGCTTCAGCGTGCGATTCTCATCCCTGAGGTCGTTTGATCCCGGCTGTACACCAATTGAATTTATTTCTATATGCGCATTTAACATTCGCTCGAACCGTGAGGAAAAACTTCGTGCTGAAACCGGCTTTAGACCCAAAAAGTGGTGGAGTGTGTCAGGCACAGAAGGTGGATCTTGCCTATTAGATTGACAAATAATCATGAAACAGATATAGAGGCCCAGACCTAAAAAGATTGTAAATTATTATTATTATACAGTAGATCATTCCTAATGATATGATTGATTGGTTTAGCTTTAAAAGTCATATCAATTTTGGCATTTAATTGAAGTGATTCTCGGAAACGATTAAATAAATTATTGTGTAATTATTAGTTAATGAAGCGACTAATAAAGCTCGTTTATTTCCAATTTCAAATGTTGAATATAGTTTAGATTTGTTATATACATTTCTTTCTTGTTATCCTAACTTCCTTCACTAACTATTGATTCCCTTCACGGGTATAGGCCTCCTCCAGATTTTTCCAAATACATATCTATCCATTTTCTTTCTCCATTCGCTTCTTCCTAATGCTTATATATCTTCTATTCACTTTTTTATAGGTAAATGTGACGTGATTTGTATAATTGATGGTAATTGTCCAAATAACGATAAAACTAGTTACGAAATGGACTACTAATTACATTAATAAGTATAATGATATACTAATTATCTGAATACAAGCAATTATGTTTACTAAAGGATTTTTATATAATCTTGTATAAAGCGTCTTGAATATATTAAGTCATGTGACCGTAGTCTAAATTCGGATTAAGAAACAGTTATTATTTATTTTTTATTTATAAGGCCATGAATCACCAAAATTGCTAAATCAATATGAATCGTTTATTATCTTTAATATAGATTCCGTAAATTAGATAATGGAAATTAGTTAAGTTCCCTAGATTGTTTTGTGTTTACAAGAGATGGCCTGGTTATGTCAAGGATATTTAAAAGCCTACAATATTTGATAGTGTGGGATACACGGAAAGCTGTCCGAACGCGACAGTACTTTTCAAATGTTTACAAGCAAGAGGTACCCCGTTTTCTGCGGCTCTCACTTAACCCTCCTTCCTACTTAACAATTGTTTCGCAGAAAACTTCCAGGTGTTTCTTACGTTTACTAAATGCTCCAGAGTTGTGTTTGTATTAATTTGTTGCTACTACTTTTAAATATACGATAAAAACTATTTGTGTTTTATATTAAATTTCAGTTTTTTATATAAAAATCTGTCATAGATATATTCTCCCTATTTTGAGATTTACACATTTATGATCATCAAAGCTACGCCTGAAATAGCTAACATTATTAAATTTGAATTTATAGCGATTTACGTCTCTCTTAAAGATTCATCTAAAGGTAGTATTTGCAAGGACTCGTTTTGTTTTCCCAGGACGATCCAGAAGAAACACAATCTGTGCCGTCTGCGCAGTCATCGCCAAAACCACCACACGAAACGGAAGAAAAGGATTCATTATGGCATGCTCTACATAAACAAAACGGTAACAAAAGTATAGAGAACATGGAGAATGTTAAATTGAATACGAAAACGTGCGTTTGATGGACAAACACATATATCATGACGTATAGTGAGACTAGAGACAGCCCTGCGATTCTGTAACTCACTTTTCGAACTCACACAGCGGTTTTCGAAAAGTGAGATACAGAATCGCAGGGCTGTTGACCAATCACAATCAAACGAACGCGTTCGTTTTCATTTTACATCCCCACTCCGATTACTGGATATAACTATATATATTTAACTGAATTGCTCTCCGTTCGTCTCGCTAAAACTGGAGAATGGCAAGATCGATTTGGCTATTTATGATCTTGAAATATTTCTGGAAATTCAGGGAAGGTTTAACTTTGTCACTTGGTTGCTTATATTTATGCCTTCGGAAATTTGTATTTCATAGCTGTATGAAGTCCGATCTCTCTGGTCTGTTTTAAATGATATGTATTAAGTTTTGACACAAATATATTTAGGTGATAGGAAATTCACCGGGTCATCTAGTAATTATGACAGTTCTTCCTATAGTATTTTTGTTCATCTCTATGGTACGATGGATGGATGCTTGCATGTCACAACCGACCACCAAAAAAAAAATGGTACACTGATCAGCTTATACTGGTAGTACGCTCAATATAAAACATATTTAATAAAAAATAATAAAAACTTTATTCATGACAGAAATATGATTGTGATAAAACTCATTATCTATGACTAGGGACTTAGGGAGCCCTGTGGATAGATAGATTCCAATTACTAATGCACTTAGCATTTTGTTTAAAATTTCTGTAGCTAACAATCTGTAAATAGTTATACACAATATAAAAACTACTTATGAATCAATAAAGTTCACAGATTTCGTCAAAATTAATAAAAGTTTTATGCGTAAATCTGTGACTTGAGGTCATTGACCTTGCAAAGGTCACGAACTCAATCAGCTGTTCATTAGTAACAATTAACGTATCGGCGTTACAACCGGGGATCTTTGTTACTACTATATAAAAATGCAATGGTATTTATGTTTTATCTTAAAAATATTACTTTAGGTCGTGGTGGTGAAACAACCCAGCTTCTAAGGCGACTGATAAACAGTAAACATACGGGGATGACGGTGTCACCTTTGAGGGGACTCGCTGTACCACTTACTCAAACATCCAACGGTACCGTTTCACCGGTGAGTATTTAATTTTATATTAAAAACTATACTATTGATTCCGCTTTGCCACAAATCTTTGATCTAGTTGAAATATACTAGAACTTTCTTTCTTTTGATAGCAGTGATAGCTTCCCACACGCTCCTCAACTCTGGAGGCCATGCGTACCAATTTTTCCTTCTATGTGCGCATTTAAAACTAGCTCGTCGTTGTCTTAGAGTAACATTTGGAGTAGCTTCCCATATGTCAAAATCCAATGCGTTTTTGACGAATGTTCGTTCCCGATGTTAATCCTCCGAAACGGCTCGACCGATTCTTATGAAATTTTATATTCATATTCAGTAAGTCTGAGAATCGGCTACTATATTATTTCAAACCCCTAAGTGATAAGGGGTATCCACCCCAAAAATTTATTGTTTATTTTTTAGACGATTTTTTTTATTTAGAGTTTTTTATGATACAACATACAAATATTTTTGTACATACAACCCTTAATTTTTATCTACCCTCTACGATCAACCCCTATTTTTTATTTGAACTCTGAGGTTTAAATATAGAGAAAAATCACAGAAAAACCTAAAAAGTTTTCATTCCGGGAAACCGAACAGTCTCTGGGGTAGCATAGCAAAATGTTCCATGTTGTTATGTACTAAAAAGGTAGGCTAAGTAAAATCACATTAAGGAGAAACGAAGTTTGCGGGGGCAGCTAGTTGTTTATAAAAACGAAATCAGTGTTAATATAATATTTTTCGTCTTTTTCTGATCTATTACTCTTATACTTTGCTGAAGTGAGATAGAATTCGTTTTATAATGTTTGGTAAACTTACGTAATTGTTAAATTCATGTGGTAAATTCATGTTCGATTACAAAACTAGAAATACACTCGGATTATCACAAAAACTGCCTTTTCACACAACCGTTGTAAACAAAATCTCAAGACATAGTAAGGATGCATACTACGTGTCGTTGGAAAACAGATTTTCCTTGAGATGAAATATCTTATTTGTTTAAAGGTTTATTGTTTAAGCATTGATTGTTTAGACAAGGCCGCTTGCATGTTTCACTATATCTGTTGCGATGATTTTATTCAATTTTTATAATAGTAAAATGGGCATAAATTATGCTATACAATCCCAAAAAGAAACAAAATGCGTTAGACGCGGTTAGATGTGTATGTAGTTTTATATTGTAAGCTAAACTAAACTATTTTCTTTGTTTTTGTACGAGTTTAACAATAAACAATTGTTATAAAAGTGCTGTGTTGGCCTAGAAGCGTCCGCGTACAACTCTCATCCTTGAGGTCATTTCGATCCCCGACTGTGCACCATTGTACTTCCTGTATATGCGCATTTAATACTCTCTCATGGTGAAGGAAAACATCGTGAGGAAACTGGCCTTATACCTAAAAAGTCGGGCAATGATTCCCTACTTGTCTATTAGAAAAAAACAATTGATTACGAAACAGATACAGAAATTTGAGACTATAAAATTTGTTCTAACCTTGAAAGATTATGACGGTGAATTCTCTTTTTTATATTCTATGTATTATCCTTATTGTAACATTGAGAATAAATATTCTTATGTGTTCTTAAAGTTATAACTAGTCGATGTTCGTTTGGTGTTTTTGCAATTTCTATTTTTTGATAGAGTAAGCCCTGGAAGCATTGATATAAGGAAACTATGGTGGTAGTCAACCATATTAAACTTACGTAACCTAAAATTTTGACTTTATTGATATATATCTGGATAGATATATATAACATACCAGTTATATTGACCAAAATCAAAGGTCCCGGCTGAATTCTATTGGATTAGGTTAATAACAACGTCATCGGCTGTTACGACTATCGGTTTTACGACCAAATATGAGTAGTCCCTTCGATGTCGTTATAACAGATTTTGACTGTATTCGCATTTTACAAGCAGATTAGTGTAGGTTACAAATTTGTATTAATAAATCGTTTGTCATAAATGTTTATATTCAATTGAAATTCAGGACGCAGTGTCAACTTCCGAGTAATCGTAAGATTGCAAAAGATAAGGAAATGTATTTTATCAAGTCAGTGTGAATATGAAGTTTGGTAATAAATCTAAAGGCTGAGTCAAACGGACTTTATCACTTACTAGCGATCTTTTACACACAAACCATGATTTAGGAGTTAAGGATTACGGGACATATATTTTTTTATGTAATAGGAGGCAAACGGGCAGGAGGCTCACCTGATGTTAAGTGATACCGCCTCCCATGGACATTCACATTGCCAGAAGGCTCGAAAGTGCGTTGCCGGTCTTTCAAGAATTGGTACGACCTGGTTTCTTGAAGCATCCTAAGTCGAATTGGTTCGGAAATACTTCAGTGGGCAGCTGGTTCCACATAGCGCCTTCACGATTTACGTGGTTTTTTAATTTGGTTACTTAATTACTGAAAATATAAGATGCGTAAATGTTTAATATATAAGAAAAAAAAATTGTTTAAGTACTTAGGTTTTTATCAGGAAAAGCGAAATCTCTATGAGGCATAACAAAATGTTACATATGTTGTAATGTACTAAAAAGGTAGGCGAAGTAAAAAATCGTAGCGAAAATAAGTTCGCAGGGAAGCTAGTCGTTCGATAAAATTTGAAAATCGTTTAAAGATAAATAAATTATTCCTAACTATATACTGGGTGTCAATTGGAGTTACTCGATCAATTAAAGGGTCGAAGTCGCCTAGTCAAAGGTTATAAGCATTAAGAAAATGAATTTTCATATATAAGTCTTCTTGTATATAAAGTTTCCTCTTAGTTTCTCTGTTTCAAATAAAACAATCTTTTTCAGGAAATTTAACTCTAGATTATATCATATTACAGTAAAAACCGTTTACGACATCATTTAGTAGGTACAACATACCGGGTATATTGACCAAAAACAAAGGTCCCAGCTGAATTCTATTGTATTAGGTACTTAATAACAACGTCATCGGCTGTTACGACTATCGGGTTTTACGACAAAATACGAGTAGTCCCTTCGATCTCGTTATAACAGATTTTGACTTTATAACATAATGCATGTATGTAGTAACGGTAAAGACAGTACGTTGCTTCACAAATATATTTTTTTAAATCTTTTTAATAATGACAAAACTGTATAGCTCCCTGTTCAAGTATTACGTAACGCAATTTGGGGGGAGGGGGGAGTCTTTTGAAACGTTACAGTGCGGTACATTGGCGGGAGGGGGGTTATTTAAACAACGCGTTACGTAACATTTATTATTTTAATAAAAAAACTGGGGGATTAATGGCAACCCTTTTCGTTTATGTTTATGCTGTACGGAAAAACGTTATGGTGCGTTACATGGGGGAGAGAGCTTCTAAAATCTTTAAAAATTGCGTTACGTAATACTTGAACGCTCCCACAGACTCTTGGGACATCCCTGTGTCGTGGGTGTCCAGATACTGTTCCGTGGTTCAATATACGAGAAACAATACAAAACAGTTAATGACTGTTGTAAAAAATAATTCATAATATTTATACTTACAGAAAAGACTTTAAAACTATACAAAATCTAATTAAACTCTTATTAATACATAAATAAGTACCTAAAAATATAATACTGTATGGGTGTGTGTGATTTTGTGTATTGTTGTTTGGTCGATGGCTGACCATGCGTCATACTCGTGAACGGGTGCTACTTGTGGTGACTGGTCGTATTTGAATTCGTGTATGCGGTGATGTTAGTTATTTCGAATATGTATTGTGGACATATTTGTAATATGTCCACTTGTGTTGCTTAATCTGGTGCTAATAGCAACATATAATTAATTTCTTTTAATATTTCAGAACGGTGAATGGTCGAGTACTGGTCGTGGTAACATGGGCGCAGGTGGAACAGCGAGAAGGAAACAGAGTTGTCCAGCTCGAGCTCAGCCCTTGCAGGATCAACATCCCACTTGGCCCACTAACACTGATAATGTAAGAACTTCTACGAACATTTATGAATTACTTAATTGTAAATAAAATATTATGAATATAAGTGCCTATAAACACTAGCAGTGTTGGCCTAGGGGATTCAGCGTGCGTCTCTCATCCCTAAGATCGTAGGTTCGATCCCCGGCTGTGCACCAATGGACTTTCTTTCTATGTGCGCATTTAACAATCGCTCGAACGGTGAGGGAAAATATCGTGAAGAAACAGGCTTGCCTTAGACCCAAAAAGTCGAAGCGTGTCAGTCACAGGAGCCTGATAACCTGCTTGCCTATTAGATTGACAAATGATCATGAAACAAATACAGAAATCTGAGGCCCAGGCCTAAAAAGGCCACTGATTTATTTTATGTGGCTCTGCGCCTGCGTCTCTCTACTCTGCGTCTGTGCGTACTTTCAATACCGATATGGATGCCGATATTTTTTTATGTAATTTTCATGTATGTCTCAATGTAAGAAAAAAACTATATTCAAGGGGTTAAGTTTACTATTGGGAGTAACAGAGTTTCAGTGCTATTGGCAAAAGTAATATTTCAATCTAAACTAGTGTTTCTAAACCTTTTTTGTGCCATGCACCACCTTTCTAAAATTTTTATTAAAATATAACATTTTTAATAATCAAGAAGAAATCAATAGGGAATTATAAAAATTAAGTAAATTATATAATTCTTTCCTTTTTTGTGTTGCCTTGTTGGTGCGGCTATATATAAGTAAATTTCGAACCTAGTTTAAAGTAACCTTTAGAAACTCTGGAATATAATATCTAATACTCGAAAAATTTATCTACCTTACAGGAAACAACAGACACGTCAAACTCAAATCGCAACCCATCACAACGCTTTGAGCTCTCCTGCACCAATTGTGGTACACACACGACCACCATCTGGCGTCGCGATGCCAGAGGCGAAATGGTGTGTAACGCGTGCGGGTTGTATTACAAACTCCATGGAGTGCCGCGACCTACCGCAATGCGACGAGACACCATACATACTAGACGCCGTCGTCCCAGACATGAAGCAAAGTCTTCTCGATCTAGTGAGTATATTGTTTACAAAAAGTATTTAAAAATAGAACGCTAATTTAATACAGATAATTGGTTAATTTAAAAATAGAAGGCTAATTTAATAGAGATTATTTTTTAATTTAAAAAAGGAATCTACATCTACAAGGAGTCTACTTTGAGTGATTTGGCTGAAAGGTCTCGTTTCCAGGCCACAAAATTAAAAAAAAAATTGAGTGATTTTTTGATTTAAAATAAGAATGTGATAGAGATATTAGGAAAACAAAAATGGAACGGAAAAATTTATTTCTTTTATTTAGTTTATCAGAATGAATTAAGTCACATCGCATCAGATTATCTAGTCAAGTGCGATGTAGTGTATCTAGTGGGTTGAGGAACAAAATAAAATTTAATTTACAAATTTCAGGGCGACGAGGAGTCACCGGCGCCAGTACCGAGGTCCCTGAGAGTAGTGAACCAGCTGGTGCGGCACCAGGGGCTCCACCATCAGAAGGGGCAGAAGAGGCCGTATTGGCAGCGCTTCGTAGGCAATTGCAGCCGCACCTCTTAGCCGCCTTGCATGCGCGCACTCGACCAGCACAGGTAATTAATATTTTACAAAAAAAAATTGACTTAATTGTAACAATAAAGTCAATTGCACTATATTGACTAAAGTACGTATGAGTCTTTTTTCATGACAGTTTACACCCAATTTGACAAAAAGAGACGAAAGAGAGAGAAAATATTTTTGAGTATAATCATATCCAATCAATTACTACAACAAAGTTTACATAAATATTATAATATGATTAAAATGATTTCAAACATGCATTTATTTTTTAAACTTTCGTGTTTACATCTTACTGTATAAAAAATATATCATAAAAATGTAACAATTTTTTGATAATACACCAAAACTAAAGTATTAAAAGAAATTTGGTGTTTTTAAACTGATAGTGTTATTTTCAGATGGGCCGCGGTATGCCAGAGTATGACGAGGCGCCACTAAACCTAGTGGCGAATCACGTGGCCGAAGAAACGCATTGACCGCTCACGTAATCTTTCCGCACCCGTGTACAAACGGCCAGTTACTCATACCATAGACTGTTTATAATTGGAACCTTTTTAAAGGGCCGTACTTTTTTTTCTTTACGGCCAGGGATTTAAGAAAAAATCTATATGACATTTCGTTTTTAAAAGCTGTTATCTGTGGTCCATCCCGCCTTTTCATAGCCAATAGTGTTTTTATGTATAAGCATAGAATATATACAATCGAAATGATATTCTGTGGCCGAGAATATTCTAAATTCGAACGCCCTTTAAAAATAGTCCAAGTATAAACAAGATTATTTTAGTAGATCTGATATAAAATCTTTTTTGTTTTATAACCTTTTTAATGAGGTATATATTTTTATGAATGTTCCCATTCGTTTTATACCAGTAGTGAGTTAAGGCCAGTGTAAGACTATGAACATCTAGAAGTACTTAAATTTGAAATTATTCCTACATCAAAGTAATAGTATTCTGGTTAAATATATACTAAATATTTTTGTACATAAGGAGTATTATCTATAGTTATTTTTTACCAAAATTCAAATTTAGGTACTAATTGATGATGACTATCTGAAAATTATGACAATGAAGTATTAATGAAACAGGGCATTATTAAAGGCAAATTAAATTGCCTTTTATATGGGCAGTTAAAAGTATTGTGAAAATACGACACTATTTGAACCTGGATAAGAGGGTACACTGTCAAATCCCTTATAAGCTTTATAGCCGAATTTTATTCGATACGGTCACAAATAAACATTGTGGGGTTACTATAAAGACAAATAAATGAAATGGCTTGGTTGTACTCGCTTGTTCAGGCTGATTCGTAAAAAGGTCAATGACCTTTTGCATATTGAGAATTTATTGCATTTGCAATGAACATTATTTTTCCGAATTCCTCATGTGATGAGTGAGAATGAATTTTGAGATTATTTGATTGGTGAAATCGGTTCGGGCCGAAGTCCGCGCCTTGCCTTTGCTCTCTTTTCCTTTGAAATTATTACGGTTACCTATTGCAGGAAGCAAGTATTCATATAGATCTAAGTTGTATTGTATATTGTTTCTTACCTAGAGTAGTGTTTTTTTTATATATAATTTATTTTTGCCCCGATTTTGGTCAGTATTCGAATCTCGATTGAGAATGTGGTTTTTAAAGCAATAAACTTTTCGAATATAAATATTTAGATATAGAATCTCTTTGGAGCAATATTACCATAATTTGTGTAGAATAGGGTTAAATATTCCGTGTTAAAATTGAATTTAGAAATAATCTGGTTGAAACCAAATCGTGGCATTATAACCTCATGGTCAGTTTTGAGCATTTAAAGAGATTTCCGTTGTGGGCTGTTTTTTGTATTCACCGTCCTATACTTAACGCCTCTACTTAATTTAGTTAATAATTTATTTTACGATCACCCCACGGGCCAGTAGAACAGTCTTTGAGACATTGTGATATAGCTTTGTGCTTTTCTATACGTAATTTCTTTGCAGAATCGTCTATCGTATTTAAAAAGCTTTAAAAATTTTGAGATTATCTACCCTCGGATTGGGATATTCGTAGTACTTAGAATTGTTTTATACTTTGACAATAAATATGCTCTCTTTGACGCTCTCTTGATTCCGAGTTATATTGAAATTATTATAATTAGTGTTTAGGGAACGAAAGCAACATTTTCACTAACATTACTGCTCGCAGTAGTGATACAGTATTATTTTATTCATTATTCTGTACATTTTTTAATATAAGTCCTATCTAGAACTCACTAGATCAAATTCCGTTCGTGCAGCTATTTTCGATCTTCCAATTGGTTATTTATTATTATTTAGGTTAATTTATTACGGTGTATTGGTTTAATGTGTTAAGTTACTAACGTACCGGTTGTGTAGTGTGCGCTTTCGAACTAACAAACGTGTGTTTGAGAGAATGGAGCTTCGTCTTATAATTTATGCTGAAATATTGTGATGCAGTGCCGTGGCAATCATATACTTGGTTTGTCTGTTTGGGTGTTGAAGGATGATTCTTGCCCTCTACAAAAATTCAAAAGAAACTATGTTTGATCTGTGTTTATAAGTTTTTTTTGTTATTACTGTAACTGTTTTCTGTTTGTCAATGTTACGTCACTGCATATGATGAATTCGATGTTAAATTCCATTTAACGTTTACAGCTATTAAGACTGAAAGCAAAAGTCTCTGAATTTTTTCCATTCAATGTGAATCGTAAAAGTATTGTAACCGAAATGTGATATGTGTTGTAGAATGTATTTCCCGAAAAGCAATAAATTTGTGATAATATGTAGAGATGGGCATTTTTGTACGCCTCCTTTGAGAGTACACTGCATAATATGAGATGTCAATTAATGATTTACTGCGCGGTCGGTTACAACTGAGGTATATGAAAACTTGTCGACCCTAAGTTAATATTAATAACAACCCATACATTTATTGTTTTTGAATGAATTTTTGTGTTATGAAGTAAGATTTCTATAATATTGGACATTTAAAGTATATAGGAGCTCAGTTGTGCGTCGGTTGTGCGCAGTAAGAATCAATTCCAAGTCAATTTAAATTATAAGAATTTTTCGTTGTAGATTTCTCACCTTTACTGTTACTAACATTAACGTCTCAAATTACGTATTAAGAGGTATTATTATTGTATAAATACTCTTTAATTAAGCTTATGGACCATTTGTTGTTTGAATATAAAGTTTCAGCATAAATTATCGGTATAATATTATACCAGAAACATTTTCGTCGGAATACTCATGAGACATTATTATTGTTGTATAGATGATAAATAATGTGACTTACGCAGGGATGGATACTTAAATTATTAAAAATTTAACTGATATATTGGCTATGTAGTGAGTAGAATATTTTTTTACAAATAAATTATAGCAGCTATGTGTGGTGTTTTTTATTTCTTACCTTGAAACTATAGTTCCTTACAAGTACAAACTAAGTCTCAATGTTTTGTAAATGACGTTTCGACATACTTTGACTACGCCATTGTCTGTGTGACAGCGTGAAGGATGTGTAGCATCTTTATTAATGATGGCTGTCACGCTTATTGCTGCTTTTGAAAGGTATGCAAAAATACTGGCGAAATTGTATTAGTTCGGTTCAAAGATACTTTATTTCTCAATGAATTACATTCACTTAGTGAGAAAATTTAGGGTAAGTTAGTTATGTACATCGTGTTATGAAATTATTTGAAAATAAACTATATAAAATAAAATATTAGTTTCTAATAATATGCGCAATATTTTTTACAAAAGTGCAGGTAGGTCGCATCGATGTTATGGCGCTTCTAAACGGGCCATGTTTTGCTGCAACACTGTGGCCGGCAACATTGCAAACAATAGCAGCCACACTATGCAATATTGCAGTAATGTCCCGGCCATATAGCCAAACTTGTTTTGTATAGCCACATATGGCCGATGTTCCCCGATGGGTGGCCGGACGATCGCTAGGCTATCGCATTCAACTGCAATATTGCACAGCCAGTTCTCTTGTTGTTTCAGTCACTCTCTTTGTTATGGCACAGTGTATCCTTTTCTACGCGACATGACGTTTGCTATGAGTGAAGTGTGCCTGTTGCTATATTCTGTGTTTTGCGATCAGCTGTATTTGACGTTAGATTACTACGTAAAAATGACTGCTTTTGACATTCTAGTTCTTGAATAATTTATTATCAAGACTTATTTCTAGACTCAAATTGTCTACAGTTTCACACCTATTTAAGTAAGGTTGAATCCACAATCTCTTCTTTTTCTGTTTCTACAATATGCTAAGCTGTTACGACAAGTGTGATTTCGTCAGCCATTATTGCCGGTTTGTGTAGCCCGTTTAGGAGTCTGCATCATAGGCCATACTATTGCAGACATATTGCAACACATTGCCCAGCCATAGATTGTTCGACCATCAGCTGCATTAAAATATTTTTGTAATGGCCGGGCAATTAGTGGCCAACAGTGCAGCCATCAATTGCAGCAAAACATGGCCCGTTTAGACGCGCCATTACTACAGGCATTATGTGACTAATGAATAGTAATATTTTCTTCGTTCACAGACATAAACAAATGCTAGAAGAGCCTTTTTGATGTTTTGAAAATGATTCGTCATATGTTTGTCTTCAACGCTCTTAGACGAGATTCTAAGAATGGTCATTAAACAAAACGTTATGAATAACTGGTTCATATTTGTGGTAAGAGTGCTAATGGAGTATTACAATATTGTGCTTGATACGTGCAATGACACGTGTGAACATAGGATAAAAGACTTTGAATATTTCCTTTTCCTCTTTCGGGTCTGACTTATTTAATGATCCATATAATTCTTAATTAATTGATTATTAAAGTATATACAATCTAATGATCAACATGAACCCAATAGCAAATAAGCATGAAAACATATTAATAAAACTATTTTAGCAAAGTTGTTTATTTCATAAAATGTTTGTGTCTGACACACGTCGGTGATGTGCAAGTGTAAAAAATCGGGAACAAAAATTCATTGCTACCCAACTAGGGTCCAAATTCATGGTCATCATCAAGATTAAGAAATCGATATTCTTACACTGGGATATTATTTAAATATCAAAGATTGGTTAAAACAATGTCTACTACGAATAAAAACACATGTAGTTTTTATAATTTTAATTAATTTTATTGTAAATCACGTGACCGTAACAATAGGCCGTTTAAGCGCTCGTTTCCTGCGCGTGCGTTTCTCATTGGCTCGTCGTTCATTCGTTGCTTCGCGGAACAATTGTTCATTCTCGTTGGCTTCGACGTCTCGTTGTAACCATTGTATAGCGTGTAGATTGTAACCAACCATGTCCTGAAAAATTAAAATTGTATAAATTGAGATAATAAAGACGCGGGCAACTTGACATGTAGCTTATACATATTAAACATAATTAAAACCCTGATGACGAGGTTATTATAAAATGAAACAAATGAGTAAATATTTATATAAAGAACTTCTTAGAAGAAGAAATCATAACATTAACTTAAATGGATTTTTGGATTATCCTACCATCTTTTTATGTGGTAATTTTCACTACATAGATTGGTTTTCTATTACCATATATAGTAGTGTGTTTCCCCCCCAGATGGGCAATTTGAGCCCCACGTTAAGCCCCATTGTTAAGGGGGGCAATTCGAAAATGGACTTGACGTTTTCCATTTGGTTTTGAAAATTTACTTAGTGTTTGGTTAACAATTTTCTAGTGAGCCCCCCAAATTGTTAAAAAAATATCAAAAATTTGATAAAATTTCACAAGCAAACAATATATAATCAAGAAAAAAAGAGTTTTAGTAAAATATTTTCACACATTTGCATGGTATTTCTAACGAGTAATACACACCCTAAGCTCCGTGAGCCTCATATTAGCCTTCGCCTGGATCTGTATGAGATATTTCAGCAAATGCCGGTTGGCCACGAGCGGAGCGTGATGCACTCGGACGAGGAAGAACGCTAAGCGACATAACAGTTCCGTACTGTCTCCGCGTTCTAGGAGAGTTGGAAGAAGCTTCACAATCTCACACGCAGAATTAAACGGGAGGAGGAGGAGCGATTCTTCAAGGTCACTGGAAGGATACATTATTTTCCCACATTAGTTAAGTGAATTAATGAATGTTTTTAGAATATTATAAATATATGAATTAGAACATTTTTATTTAACAAAATGTTTCACGCTTTTCCGGGTCAAGCCGCATTTTGAGTGTCATACAGACGATTCAGTGTGTTTTTATTTATTTTACCAAAAAATGCCATTACTGGTCACCCCAAAGCTGCAAATATTTACACATATATTACATACAATAATACACACGTACACCCAGAAGAAGTAACTACAAAAATATGACATTTAACAATAAAATATTAAAATATTTACAAAATACCTATTTCTACCGCTATAGAAACTGTCATAAAACAAACTTTTTGTCAGTTTTCTCAAAGGACAATTATTTATGTATGACGTTTGTTAAGTACATATTTCAATGTATTGTCATGTGTGCCCTTTTAAAACTTTTTGAAGGTTTAATAAAGCAATGTTATCTCTTTTCATAAGAGAAAAACACAAAGAAGGAGACGACTGAGTGCAAGTGACAAAACATTCAACGGCAAATTCCATTCCGTACGTTAATAAGTACGTACAAATATTTACGTACACCAATGTAGATACTTAATTTTATTAAATTAGCTCACAGTTCTTGGACGAATTAGATTTATATAATCAATAATTGAATTATTTGTTTTATAAATATTTGAGCGTATTGTGTAAACTGAAAAATGCAATAAATTTGTTCTAAATTAATTCTTAATTAGAATGTTCTTCCTACTTCTACTTATATCTAGAAAACGTATTTTAACCGACTTCAAGTAAATTTTTCATACAAAAATTGTGCCTCACCTGGAGCGTATCTTCCGAACAGTCGCAAGTAAGAAGTCCTCGGCAGTAGAGCAATTGTAAGCTGCCATCAATACGGGAGGCTGTACGGGCGCGCCTTTCGCCTCTGCCACTTGAGATGCGTACTCCGCTCCCACTGACAGGCACTCGAGTATTGAATCCGCCTGAAAATTATTAACATTGACAAGTTTAAAGGGGTTTGGTCAAGTTTCATAAGAAATGCCTTTATTTAAAAAAAAATATGACATCTGTCAAGCATGGTTGGTTGATGGAATAAGACCTCGAATTATTAATGTATTATAACGTAGACTAGACATTGCTTTCCTTATACAGAGGATACCATTTATTTCGACCTTGCTTGTAGCGACCATTGAGCTTTAACGACGTTAAATTTTATATAACTCTCTCCATAGTAGCTTATCATTAAAAAAAATCAAATACACCACTACACGAAATACTCGTCGAGCGAGTTTGCTTTTTTGCCGAAGCCGCGCACAAATTATTTAAAGAAGTCTATTGAGTATGAGAGTGTGCAATTATTGAAGCAATTACCCTCAAAAATCCGTAATATTAGGGTGTTTAATCAATTGAAAAGGGCATTAAAGATACATATTAGAATGAGCCTAATAGACTAAAATTGGGATAGCTGATAGCGACGCGTATCTCGTTCGTATATTTATATTAAATTTTTTGTTTCTCCTGTAAATAAAAATATTTTTTTTTGTAATGAGAAATAAAGTTCTTTAAACAAAAATTAAATCTAAGTCCCTTGAATTTAAAGCATAGTTCGGTTGAAAGACACTTTATTTCTCAAAGAATTACATTCACTTAGCGAGAAAATTAAGAGTAAGTTTAAGATGTTACAACAGGCATTATGTGACTAATGTTTGATTAGTACAAAATTCAAGTATCAGGTGTAGCGACTGTTTTTAATAAATCATTTGTAACAAATCATAAAAATCCCATGCAGATATTGCGACCGGAGGCAGCCGCCAAAGACACAAAGATTTATTTCTTTTACAAACATTTATTATCTTTTGTTTACATTCACACAGATGGTCAGCAACCGTGGAGACGTTTACCTTTTCTTTATAGATATCAAGTAGGTAAGGGTTTACGTTTCGGAGTTAAATTTATGGGTCAGTTTCAAAGTGAGATTTTGAGCTATTTTTAAATGGACCAGTGGACTGGCAAATGTTCTCAATAATAAAATAATATAAACTATACGTGTTCTTATCCCAACCATTGTAACGACTTCCGGACGACGAAATTAAATTCATCGTCGTTATACGCGATCTACTTTACTAATTTCTTTTAAGTGGCGGAGTACGTATATATTTCTTTCGTCCCAAAGACACTGACTTATAAAAGAGTTTAATAATTTATGACAAGTCCAAAAGAAAAAAACAATTGACTAATACTTACAGCTTTCTCAGCACCAATTGTTTTCTTTGTGGGCATTGTTAAACCTGGTAATCCAGGTACAGGGGCCTGTAAAATAATAACATTTTAGAAATAAATTGCGTACCCTAGGAGATTTTTAGATAACAAATATTATTATAATGTTTCAGATGAACACGCTAAATTTAAACTCTTATAACCGTAAAAAAAATATTAACTAGGAAAAATCAATATATAAAAGAGTCAAATAAAATATTGTATAATTCTAAAACAGTTTCACAGATAACGTAAATCCGTTATTATTATAAAAGAAGTTATATTTGATTCACAAGTTACACTTTAAATTACTAATAATTAAATAAATGCATACATGTTGATCTCCCGTGGCCAGTCCTTCTTCCTCCTCGTCTTGGTCTCCAAGTACCAGGGGCTCATCAGTGCGAGAGTATAGTCTTAAAGCGCGATCAGAACCACATGAAGCTACATGTAGACCTCCTGCGCCTACTGACAACCCATAACACTCCCCTGCGTGACCCTACAAACATTATTTATTATTGTAAGCGGAAAGAACTATATCCAAGGTAAAGTAGTTTATATTGATACATTCCGAACCGAAGGACCATTTTATATTTTTTAAATAGACTTATTTTTAATTTTTGTAAATGCGAATTGTCTCCTTCAAATGATAATTCAATTGAAAGATTTTAGAAATGTTACAGTGATAACATGTGATGTAGCATGATGAACAAACATCAAGTTAAAAAAAAACCTTGGCGATTTAAGAATACCGGAAAGTTTATTGTCAGTTCTCTTCGTCCGTTCTACGTTCGATTTGACAACTGGCAGTAAATACAATAGCCAAAAAAGACATCAATTAGTGATATTTTGATTTTCGCAATGTTAATCATATGAAGTAATGGTAATAATAAATATAAAATGTATTAAAAGGATCGCCGAGGAGAGAAATAAATAAATAATCATTCCATTGATGCAATGCATTTTATATATGCTCGCACTAAGCCTCTGAGACGGTCTTTTGTATGAAAAAAAAAACAGAAAAATCAATTTTTTAGATGTGCTTTTTAAGGTTCCCAGTTATAAAACGAATATAAGCTATTTATTATACTTTAATTAAGTTGTTACTAATAAATTGTATTATTATTAATCCACTCAGTAGACATTATCTGTAGAAATAAAATTTAAAAAATGACTTACATTAAGGATGATAATATTATCATATGAATCTCCATCCCATTGCTTGACTTTTCCATCTTTAGAGGCCGTGAAGAAATAATGTGTACTGGGAACGAATTGGAGGGCTGTCACCGAGTCGTTATGTGCGAAAATTGACTTGTGACAATCACCAAAGTCCATGCCCCATATTTTGACGTTTCGATCTGCTGAACCGGTTGCTATGAGGTTTGAGTCGTAGCTTATATCCAAGGATAAAACGGGCAGCTTGTGACCATATAGAGACAAGTAGAACTGTAAAACCATACGTTTTTTTGTTTAAAATAAAAATTAAATATTTAAAAATTATTTCCGCACGAAAGAGTAATAACAATTTTAACGATTAACGAAATTGTGAGACAATCTATAGATTTTGGATGTGGTTTGTACGTTTGTATGTTTATGACAAATAAAGTGCAAAATTCTACGTTATCCCTGACATAGACTATATTTATTTCCAAAATATTTATATGTATAAGCCGGGGCGGGCTTCCATTTCACGAAATGATTATTTCTACTGTTAGGCTACGACATACGCTACGCAAGCGTGTGCCGTAAGTATAATAATAAATGCTACATATTAATATTAATCATGTTTTACAATCAAATACTTTGACAAAATTCGGCATTGGACCTTTCTAGGCGTAGGTATCTACTTGTTGGAACAAATGTTTATACATAATATATAGAAATTCAAAGTGGCAATAATTAAATATTAACTTTTTTAGTAAAATAATAGTAAGTAATAAGAATTACTTTCTAAATAAATAAAGCGTTCATATATTTTATCGTAACTCACTTTAAAGGTATCCAAAAAGAATATCTTGACAGTAGAGTCCAATAATGCGACTGCAATGAATTTACTGTTCGGACTGATTTTGACAGCTGTCACCGTCTCCTCTAGCTCCAATGTTCTCGTGTGTAGGAGGGATAGCACCTGAATAAAAGAAAACACAAAAATAAAGACCCTAATCATTATTAAAATGGATTTTGATTTATTTATTTACACTTTGTTGCATATTGTATAGAAATTTAACATAATTAAATGTAAAGGAGGGCAACTGGTGGCCTTATCGCTTTCGAGCGATCTCTTCTAGGCAACCACTGTGAGAAAAAAAAAGGTATTAAATTAGATAAGGTAGGCAAGAAGTGCAAACGATTTACCCCGATGTAATAAACGAATATGACTTTTATTTCCGAATTACAAGTTTAACATAATATGTATCTCGTTATTACAAAATATCTAGCAATTTGGTCTGTCTTTTGGCATAGGCCTCGTCCAGTTCTCTCCAATGAGTTCTATCATGATGATGACTAATGTCATCTTGCCATCAAGTATTTGGGGGCCTCTGTCTTCCCTCATCTCTTGATACAAGAGAGTTACTTGTTTGCTCCTTATCAACTTTGCATTTCATCAACCTTTCCATCTCCATTTTAAGTGGTCTATACGAGCTAGTATATCCGTAACTTTTGTTTTTCTGTTAGGGCCTTATTATACTAGCGGTTTGCGAGCGGCTTCGGGGCGGAGAGGGCACGCAGCGAAAACGTCGCGAACGCGTGGCGGATATGAAACGTTTTCGTCGCGTTTGCAGCGAAGTAACGACGTGCAATACACTCAGTTACAAAATGGATTTTCAACAATACAAAAAATTGTTCGTGAGACATGTCAAGCTATTATTAAAACCTTGTTTCATATTTGTATGCCACCCAAGAAAACAGAAGACTGGGAAATCATATTAGGATGATAAAGCCGTGCCATAGCGGCTCTCTTTAAACTACAAAAAGTGTAGGGCGAGTGTACTCCTCCCTCAAAGGCCCACTAAAAATGTGTCTATGGGCTGCGAAGACTGCCCTTTTGGTCGTCCCGCAAGCTCGTTTGCCCCCCTATTATATATAAAAAAAAAAGTATTTCTCTATGAATTTGCTAGACACCTGTGACTCCAACTACACGTAAAAAGTTCAGATTCAACTATATTTGACAAAAACCAATCTTAATATATATAAATTACGTGTCACGTTGTTTGTCCGCTATGGACTCCTAAACTACTTAACCGATTTCAATCAAATTAGCACACCGTGTGCAGTTTGATCTAACTTAAAAGATAGGATAGCTTATATCTTAATTTATACCCGCAATATTATTTTATTGCAAATTATTTGTTTATTATTTGACACAATTCTAACAGCCATCTGTGTTGAAAGTACCAACGTTTCACATAAGCTATAATTTAATGGCATATCCACCAAAAAAGCATGGTGGTCCCCATGACTGGTGTTCTGCTACCTTTACCCTTCAATAGTTTCCTACTATGCAATATAACAAAAAACTTAGCCACTGCAACGCTTGGCCGAGTCTGCTAGTTGAGAATTAATATAGAATCAAATCGTTTAAATATCCCACAATCGAAACAAAAAAAAAACAATCTCGCATACGTGTCTCGTTACGAACTGAAATTAGACATAGATAATAAATACACAAAGAATTATTTTATATAGATAAATACCTTTGCTTTAGATTCGCCAGTGGGATCGTCAATGAGCTCGAATTGCCACAGCTTCACAGTTTTATCGCCTCCACCCGAATAACATCCCCGCTGAAAAAAAAATACTCATAATATTAGAACAAGGTCATAGGTTCGATCCCCGGCTGTGCACCAATGGACTTTCTTTCTATGTGCGCATTTAACATTCGCGCGAACGCTGAAGGAAAACATCGTGAGGAAACCGGCTTGCCTTAGACCCAAAAAGTCGACGACGTGCATCAGGCACAGAAGGCTGATCACATACTCTTGCTGAGTTGCCCGTTCTTTTCAGAACAAGGCCTCCTGGTAGTTTTGCGAACGGATGGAGTAGTCTTGCTCTTTCGCGAATTTTGTAAACGTTTTTAACATTCATAAGCATGCCCTAAGACGCATCTAAATTGAATAAACGTATTTTGATTTTGATTGACTCGTCTATTAGATTAACAAATGATCATGAAACAGTTACAGAAATCTGAGGCCAAGACCTAAAAAGTTTGTAGCGCCATTGATTTATTTATTTTTTACTTGAATCCTTCTATCGTTGTTTTTTTTAATAGCTATATTATTAATAACCAACTCTCATGACTTACCAAATCTGGTGTTAGTCCGACAACAGCGCAATTAGTGGTATGAGCTGGTACGGATTCCAAAATGGTACCAGCGGCTACGTCAATTAGCAGTAGCTGTCCGTCCACACATCCCACCAGTGCGTGTCTGTCCCCTGGAGCAAAGCACGCACTGACTGGCCTACCGCAGGGTACCGGAATCGTACGTAGGCATGATTGGCTATTTCTGTAAATAATAATTAAAATAATTAATCTAAAATTTTATATTTTTTCGGGTATTCTCTACAATTTAAATGTCTTGAGACACAAACACTTAAAAAATACCTCACAGTTATATATAAATTTTTTTATTGATAAAAAGCTTGCCAACGCTCGGCACACTGATACATTGGTAAAACAGACACAAAATAAAAATTTTAATGTGACAAGCACTTAAAGGCAAACGTGACAAACATGTAGAGATCATACAAATATCAATAAAAACAATTATTAAACAAAAAAAACATTAAAAAAAAAAATTATTCAAAAAAATTAAAATTACAAAAATCTAAACAAAAATCGATTTTATAGTGTAAGGGGAGCAACTATGGATATCCAGACCTAGCTCGTTTATCAGAATGCTCAATCTGGACATCGGTGAGCTTTTTGACTAAAACGCGTTCTACGGAAAGGAGGGACAAATGGAATAATGGGAAGCCTGGGGTATCGAGAGGGTACACGAAACTTAAATTTGGATAGAAGGTACATTCACGAATATAGTCTATTCAATTGCACTGTATCAACTAAATGGTTCGTTCTCTTTCTGTTAGAGCGCGTTAACGTTGTGATAGAAAGAGACAAATATGTTTATCGAGATACGTACAATTGTAAATTATGGATGATTTATGTTTCCAGCTAAGTTTTGCCCGTCTTGAAAACTAATTATTTCAATAAAAAATACTTATAATACCTGTTCCATATCTTGATTGAGTCCACAGACGCCGACAGTATGGCGAGATTGTCAGAACTGAATGTCACACATCTTGGCTCTTTCTGATGCCCTGGTATAGTTATCTGCTTCAGACATTTCACTGCAAGAGATGCACAAATTAGAACCCATTTTCATCCTCGGCTTCATTTAAAGATACTATAAAATTACTTGATATAGCTTCGCTATATGTCTAAGCTATATTATTAAACCATTAAAAAAGAAGTTCCTGTCAAATGATTAATTAAATACTAAATACACACGATGAGTACCTGTTAACAATTATTTTTTTAAAGAAACGGTTCGCTCTTTGAACGCAAGTTTACGAAATCTAACTAAATTGGACGGTGACGTTTTCTTCTGCATGATATTTCAAGCGATTACGATATTAAACAAAGTATGAAAGTACCGACTGCAGCGCCATCTACCGGGCTAATTTGTGAATCTGAACCATCCAGGATACCACTCAAACGCATACAAAAAATTCAAATCGGTCCAGCCGTTTAAGAGGAGTGACATACACACGTACAGTAGAATTAAATATATAAAGATAAACATCCTACCAACTACGCATCGTAATGATTTAACAAAAAAGAATATTTAAATTTAAATTAAAATCACAATATTAAACAATAATTAATAATGCCATTAAAATTATATTAATCAGTACACCAATACGGACATCCTGTATTCAACTACTTTATTGCCAGTTCTTCTCTTCCGTTCTACGCTCTTGATTGGAGAACTGGCAGTAAATGTTAAATTAGAAGCATTTAATGCATATTTCTTTTTGACGTTCATAAGTGTACATTGTGTTACCTATATGAATAAATGATTTTTGACTTTGACTTTTGACTAGGACTTGTCGAAAACAGGTTCCTTGCTTTGGCTACCTTTAATCAATTCTTAGTTATAAACATATATATCTATAGTCGAATTTTTAATTAGACGAAGCTATCTGACAGTAGCTAATGTCACTTAGTAAAATAATGTTGCCACATTTAAAGTAATAGTGATACATTCAGTTCTTGTTCAATCAGATGAATGAACAATGAGTGAGTGTAAATAGTTAATCATTTCAAACTATAAAATAATATTATTAGTATTTTAAAATTGTATAAAAGATTTCTGATATAAGTTAGGTACTAGTAGTATGTAACTACAATCAGTTTTTTGACGGCTGTAATACAAAGCGCGGCATGGATTGACCAGACAGTGTTATCGACTCGCCAGGCCTTCCTAGATAGCCTGACTACTGGCTTAAAACAGCCTTCAGGAAAGGGCAAACGATTAATTATCGGCCACATAGGTGGGGAAGAAGGATTCGTAGAAGACAGCTTACTAATATTTGAAGCCAAAAAAAGTAAAGAAGATTATCATCAAGAAATGAATGCCGATTCCTTTGAGAAGTGGTTTAGTGGGGTCTTGCCAAAACTAAAACCAAATTCCGTAGTAGTGCTAGATAATGCCCCCTACCACTCCAGGAAACTAGAATCGCTGCCTAAAATGTCTTGGACTAAACCTAAAATACAAGAGTGGCTAACGAGCAAAAATATTTCATTCGAAGCAACAATGGTTAAAGCTACTCTTATAGACATTGTACGGCAGCACAAACAAGAACATTTCGAAAAGTATGTTGTGGACGAGATAGCAGCGCAGCTTGAGATAATTGTTTTACGTCTGCCCCCATACCACTGTGAGCTTAATCCCATTGAGTTGGTATGGGCGCAGGCTAAAGGATATGTTGCAAAAAATAATAACACCTTCAAAATGACAGAAGTAAAAAAACTTTTTGAAGAAGGACTTAAACTAATCACACCTGATAAATGGCGTAGCTGCGTGTCTCACATAATTAAAGAAGAAGATAAAATGTATGGTCTCGACGACATGATCGACAATGTTTCAGACAGATTTATTATTAATGTCACCGAAAGCGATAGTGATGATTTTTTATCTGATGATGAATAAAAACAAATTATGTAATAAGCGATGTTTATTATTTTCATTACCAACCTATAATTGTTATATTATTAAACATCTATAGTATAAACTACATGATATATTGAGAATAGGACAGTCTTACAAGTTTCCTCGCAATGATTTCCTTAATGTTAAAAACAATTGGTATTTAGTACTAAACTCGTTGGTATGTTCAAAGCACGACTAAAATTCGAACCCGTATCCGATATCGGCAGTACGCAACATTAACTATTCACTAGGCAATCGAGGCAATTTTATTAATTCAGGAGTTTTTTCAATCATTCACAAATCATGTGACAAACACAACACTATTTTTATTTCATTAAAAACTGACAACACCGTAAACGTCATCTGACTTCGTCTAATTAAAAATTCGACTATAGTTCATGTTTTCACCACAATATTGTAATTATGTATACAATAATAATATATTATTTAAATTGGTAGTACCGATGACCCCAGAGCTAAGGCTTTCGATCAACGAATAAGAATTGCAAAGGCGGAGAAATTCTGACAGCATTAAAGGGACAAATTTTTCAAATTTGTATTAGATTTCTTTTTCAGTCTCTTTTTTTGGTCCGTTTCTGGACATAGGCCTCTTTCATCTTCCTCCAGTACGTGCACTGGCTTAGAGAAGCCAGGAGAAGGAGTGTGGATTACCCAGGAATTAGTTGTCCTACCCTCAACTGCTCGAAATGGAGAGTGAGAAGGCGCTGGGTACTCAGGGTCGATATTAAATTTGTACTATCATAGTTGATGGAGGGGAAGAAAGAGTAATTGTCACGCCAGCATTAAATTTCTATGTATAAATTTTTAATCGATTATTATTTTATATTTACCTTCACTCGACTCGGAAATATTCAAACTATGCATCTCAACTGTATTACTAGCAAGGGACACACCAACTCTCAATTCCCCAGACATTCCCAATAGGAGAGTTGTAGATTTCATTTTCCCGCTTAGTTTCATTGACGTCAATCTTCGCACTTCGTCGGATAACGTTAGGATTTCGGATACGTCCAGATTTTCATTTGCATTATCGGACTCTTCTGCCAGTTTCCTGTAAAATTATATATTTAGTAGTAATATTAATCTGTAAGTCATTATTCATTATGTACTCTGATAAACGAGCTAAGTCTGGATATCCGTGGTTGCCCTCACACTTTGAAATCGATTTTCTTTCATTTTTATAGTTCAATTTTTTGAAGTTCTTTAGACGCGTTATGAAAGATTGATGAGAGTGAAATTTTACGATGCGCGCTCACCGTGACACAAAATTAACAGAATGAAGTTGCCCACTGAAGATGCTACGGCATTGGACATAATTTAAAAACAACATTCGAATAATAATAGAATTTATGTTACACTTAATGTAGGAGAATAATAATAAATATTATTATTTAATTTTTCAAATGTAAACTGAACTTTATTGACTATAATGACTCCTTTTCCAGTCTTTGATTATTTAATTGTAATTAATTATTTGCTTGCAATCAAAAAACTATTTTTAATAATGCCAAAGAAGTATAACTTCTTACGCGCGTACATAAGTACACGCACTCTTTTTTATCTCTCCGTGTATTTTATGTTTGCCTATAAGTGCTTGTCACATTAAATATTGTACTTTATTTTTCTTGTACATATGTATCAATTTGCCGAGCGTTGGCAAGCTTTTATAAACTTTAATATACATTGTAGATAAAATTGCGATGCTAGTAATATAGAGAATAAATAAAGCAAGCTCTAATTAATTTTAGTAAAGGTCGAGTTGTTTGTTTGTGAATCTCTGAAAATTCTGACCTGATTTTGTAAATTCTTTTACTAATAGAAAACTACATTTGAGTAATATCTTAATATATATAAATTACGTGTCACGATGTTTGTCCGCTATGGACTCCTAAACTACCGAACCGATATCAATCAAATTTGCACAACGTGTGTAGTTTGATCCAACTTAAAAGATAGGATAGCTTACATCTCAATTTATACCCGCAATATTATTTTATAGCAAAATATTTGTTTATTATTTGATAGTCACAATTCTAACCGATGGCGCTGTGTTGAAAGTACCAACGTTTCACATAAGCTACAATTTAATGGCATAACCACCAAAAAAGCATGGTGGTCCCCATGACTGGGTTCTCCTACGGTTTCCCTTGAATAGTTTGCTACTATGTAATATAACAAAAACCTTAGCCACAGCAACGCTTGGCCGGTCTGCTAGTATATTATATAAATGAGTCCCATTTCATGCAAAAAAAATATATACACCACAGGACGGAGTCCAAAAAAATGATTGAAATTCTTATTTAAGTGTTATAGGTGATAATTTGAATTAGGTTTAGAGTTAAGACACAAAAATCGTTTTTTCTCATAAAACTTATAATTACTCAAGAACTTGACTTTTAACCTGAGATTTTGTTAATTAAAGCTAAATTTATTTAAGTACAGGGTAACATATTGGTGTGAATTCTAATTTAAATGTAGAAAGTGAAAACCTATATAAGCAATTTTTTTGTATTCAAAATTTCTAATAGAACTAGAAATTCCCATCTGAAATACCATGTCTTTAGATTAGTAGGTTAATTATAATAATTTTTATCTATAGACCATTATTCAGTTTCATTATAAACATATTACTTACGCAAGCCTCTTACGTTGCTTCTTGATCCTTTTGTTCATCCTAAGTTTTGCATCTTCATCTGAACAGAAGGCGAATAGTTCTAATAATGAGTCAGTGCCATAACAAGCCAATACTTTTTGCCCTGGGTCTGTGGCCATTCCCACTACACGACCTTTGCCACCCCGTACGAGTGTACCAACTTGGTGACACTGCAGTACCTGAAAAATTTATGAATATCTAAAATTATATAAGAAGACGAAGTTTCAAGGTAAAGTATCTATTTTTCGAGATCAGGACAGGTTTTGTTTTTTTTTATAAAAAAAAGGGGGGCAATGTAGGCTATGGGACGGCCATAAAAGGCATGCTGCAGCCCATAATTACCCATTTTATTGTAGAGTGAATGGAGAGTACTTAAAACAATTTAAATAAAATTATGTTTTCAAATTTTTTTCAAATATCAATTTAATTAATTAGCAAATTACTTTAACATATTTTGCTTTATATAAACATTACAGTGATTTGGTGTAAAAAATAATGCACTTAGCAAGCCCAGTCATTTGTATTAATAGAATAACAAATTTATATAAAAAGGGATATATTTATACTTGTTTTTATTTCCAATATAATCTTAATAAAACTTACAGAACTTTCTTCAGAATCTCCGTCTTCCAGTTTAACAATTTCTAGTTGTTGTGTAATTTTGTCTTCATCTTTTATCTTATCAGTCCATACCAGCTTCCATACTCTTAGTTCTTGATCTGTACTACCTGTTACTAAATATCTTTCCTCTTTTAATAAAATGGATGACCACACCTGATAAGAAACAATTGTTGTAATTAAATATCAATATTTTTATATTTTAGTATGTAATTTCTTAAATAGAGCAATATATGTTGCCTAGTTTAGGTACTTTGCGTAAACATATTTAATAAAATGTAATTATAAGTCCAAAGATAGTAGAGTCAACTAAAGCTAGGAAAACATGAAATAAATATACAAAATAATATATAATATTAGTAACTCTAGAACAGTGTTTTCCAACACATGCAACCCCACGAAAAAATATTATATGATCCTCAGACCCTTTCATTTTTTACCATTATTTTCCTATAATTAAAAAACCTCTGTTCTAAAAACATTCAACTTCGTTGATTTACTCTGATTATTATACCTCTGTTTGATGTCCACCCAGTGTTTTAAAGCAGTGTTTAGTTTCAATGTCCCAAAACTTCACAAATGTGTCTTTAGATGAGCTAACCACACAATTTTTGCCATTTATGAAAAGTACACTGGTGATTATTCCTTTATGTCCACTAAACCTGGCAATACCAGTTTCTGAGACAACATCCCATAATATCACCTCAGTATCCTGAAAGTTGTTTTAAAATATTATGAAGCAATTATTTATCTCAAGGGAAAGAAAGAGTTAGAATATATACACAACTTTGGTATTGTAAGGCACCCATCCCTTCATCCACCCATATAAATCACAAATTTTTGTATCTTATATTATATAAATATTTGTGATTTAATAAATAATTATTTATTATATATTTATTATCTTAAATCACAAATGATGTTATTTATAAAACATGGGCATTATTTTTAATATTTAAATTTATCATAATAGATTCTTTTCATTATTAATAAATTAGCTTTTTTGTAGATTTCTACAATTTCATGTTTAGGATATCTAGGTCATCTTAAGTTTAGAATACAGGAATGCACAAGAGCTAGCGAGTTTAATAATATATCAATAAGTTGTCAAATGTTTTTAGGTGCTATGTAAGAAACTATGTTTTTCGCTTTCAGTAATTGAACTATTAAAGATAGTGACTAATATGGCCCATGCCTAATTATTCTTTCAAATTTTACACAGAAATAAAAAATATAAATATTCTAAAATTAAACAATGATAGCCAGAATTTCCAGAAATAACATACCTTTGATCCTGATACAATTCTGTGCCCTTGTTCGTCATACTGTAAGCAAGTAATAGCTGACTTGTGCCCAGCAAAAACACATATAACTTCATTACTATGTAGGTCATATACATTGATATTACCATCAACATAGCCTACAGCCATATGATTCCCTGTGGGGCTACATGCTATTTGGGAAACCGCCGCTTTCTCTCCAGTAATGACTTGTGCCTTTAAAATTAAAATAATTAAGATATTATGTAATATTGTAAAATATTTGGACTAGTATATGTAAACAAATTCCTTAATTTTTATTTGTCCTCCTCAACTATTACCTTTAAAGATCAAAAAGCAGACAAAGCAAATAGCAAGGTATGTTTTTAATTTTTATTTTAGCCTTAGGATGTCTTTACAGTCTTTTTGTTCTGTGGTACTCACAGTAACATATAGAACTTAAGTTAGTAGAGTATCAAATCATCTGTTTATCAGAGGTACGTAACTATTTGATGCTGTGAGTTCAGAATTGATTTATTGCAATCTAGAAAATTTTAGGAACATAGGACACGAACACTCGACAGAAAAGGAGGAACTTATATATAAATCTACGCACACGAAATACGGGGTTAGGTACTCAACTTGACTTTTATCTTTTTTTTGGTTTCTTTTGCAAGTGCGAAAACAAAATAAAATGTCGTTGAGGTATATACGTTGTAAAAATGTGGTATTCACAACATCTTGTTATAATATGTCAAGTGCAATATCTGTGTAGCGCAGTGCTTTACAATTTTATTAATATCAAACCATTACCTTTTCTCCCAATCGCATGTCCCAAATAATAACATGCTCACATGCTCCTACTGCTATGTATCTTCCAGATATGCCATTAAGTGTTACATGGCTGATGTTACAATCTGAGCTAGCAACGACGTTAAAAATTCCACTTGGTGCATATCGAAGATATTGCTTAGTTAGACCCATAACTAATAATTATAATTTTATAACCAAATTTAACACAAAATCCACATTGTTTTGTTATGACTTTTAAACCACAGACTACGAATTAAATTAAATTAGGAACAACACAATTTCAACTTCGGAGAAAATGCCAAAGTTCAACTGACAGTTGCATGTAAATTGTCATAAATTTCACTGTGATATATCAGAACCGGAAATATACTTAACAGCGAGATATTATATTATTTTAAGGAAAATCTATATAGGCATGCTTGAACTGACCTAACTCCAACTCAGCAAACAGTTATAAACTCATAATGCAACCTTCACTACATTCATATTCATATCAATTTTATACATACTTTAAATATTGTTTACAGTTGATAAACTATTTCACCAATATTACATACATGATCAAACTAGTTTATATAATATTTTTCGGAATTGGAATTACCACCTGTAAATAGCTGCATAAATCTATATACATATTACACATTTAGGCCAAAGATCCCAAAATGTTCAACGTCGCTGCTTTTATTTTTGACAAAAGCAGAACACTCCTTCCAGGATACCCACGGTCTCTGCGACTAACAGATGAATTACCATCAATGACTTCAGGGTCAATTGGATATCTTATCGATATCCAATTTAGTATATTCGTTCCGAGGTCATTACCTCTTTATTTTCTTAATTAATTTATTAGTTTGTCACGAAAGTTACTTCTCCAAGGCTTGACGCATAATTTATCTGGCTAGTTCTCTCCGCCATGACTAGGTTGCCAAACTTGCCAAGAACTTCCATTTTAAATTATGCATAGGGCTTAAGAGTTTCTACAGAGATGTTTTTGGTAGTACTGACGTATTCTAGGTTTTTTATTTGTATAAGGATATATAGATAATAATTTTGCATTACAATAAACTGAGTTCGTAAATCTTCGGTAAGATTGCAAAAGGTCAATCAATAAATATATCTTATATTTCGGACAGGCTAGTGTTACTGGTTATCCTTTTTTTTTCCTCAATTAAGTCTCGCAATCTGTAGGCACAAATAATGATGATGACACATACCGCCACTTTTATAATGTTTCAGCGTGTTTATGACGTATACAGTAACAATGAAACAGATAGATTTTCGATTGCTGATCAGATAAAAAAAAATAATTAAAACCTACCACCAGTGGCGCTATAACCTTTCAAGGGCTGGGCCTCACATTTCGATATCTGTTTCGTGATAAAAAAATCTTGTTGAACTAACATTAAAATCCCCGCCTTTCCATAGTTGTTCACTCTTAGTATTACGTATACATATACTTTTTAAATATATTCTCTATGATTCTGTGGTATAACGAGTGTTATAATTATTTCAATTCCTTTATTTAATAATAAAGTCATCAAATCTAATAAGGAAGTGAATGATTAGTTTTCTGTGCCAACTTTGAGTCTTAAAGCATGCCGGTATCCTCACGTTTTTCTTCAACGTACGAGCGAGTGTAAAATACGCACACATAAAGTCCATTGGTGTACAGCCAAGGTTTCACCTACGACCTCAGGAACCGCCTTTTTTTTAGTTGGTTTTAACTTAAGTATTTAAATAAGCTCTAATTTATACTTAATGGCTGTCAATCACTACGTGAGAAATGTACGAAGATATCAATCAGTTGGATGATAAATAAGGAAAAAATTTTTTTATCCTACTGTGTAACAGTGGAAAATAAATAACAGCGTCTTTATTTCTTATGTTTTATTTTCGTGTAAGAATTGGATACAAAGAGCATGTTTCGTATCAAATTTAAAAATACTACAATAGCACAAGGATAATTGTACAATAATAAAACTGAAGCATTCTGGACGAAAAATGCCAATTTAAGAGGCATTTAGGCACATACAACTTATAGTTAAAATAAAATATAAAACTAAAAACAATAATCATTCCCTTAAAACATTGTGATGTAAAATGCAAAATCAAGTGTTGCCATAATTAAATACTGAAATAATCATGTAATTATTTACATCAAATTCAAAACTTTGTTGATAAAGCTGCCAATTGTAAATCGATTAACTAAAATTATGAATTAAAAATTGGTAAAAATAAATTGATTATTAATAAAATGCGGTCTTAAATTAATTTCTATTTTGTAAATAGAACTTAATTGTCACTTAAATAATAACTTAAATACTCAAACAAGCTGGTACATAAAAAATATTGCAACTAAACTAATTGTATGAAAAATTTCCACTTGAATAGTACAAGTGCTATGGCCATTAAACTTTTGTACTAACATTATGGTAAAATATAAGTAATACAAAAAGTCGTACAATTTAAGTACTGCAATTACAACATTGTCAAACTTAATATAATTGCCAAACATTCGTATTAAAATTGTAAAGGCAAAATATAAATCTTACGTAAATATAAAATGCAATAATTACTTATAAAATACGCTTACAAGAAAGAATAAAATTTACAAAATATAATAAATTAATCCTATACGATATATTAGTACAAATTGAAGTCGGGGCTAGTAATTAAAAAAAATTGTCACATACAACATAATTGTACAATGACAGCGCATACAATGCTTTCAAATGTCCTTGACAGTTGACATTGGTCAAATGTTATTGACAGCTGACATTGGACATTCAAAGTCACATGCCCCAAAACATATCGGATATAAGTAAAAAACAATTGATCCAATTGTTAAGGTATGTATTAATCGGTCGACAAAAATATAATTCGATTTGAACATCTGATTTCGGGTGAATGTCCAATACTACATTGAAAGGTGGTTCGTAAATAATTAGTTTTAGGATTCGGTGGGCGTAGCGGCGGGCGGAACTGGCACGGCTAGTGGGGACCTTTGCCGGTCAAACATTTCGAGGATCAGCTTCGGGTCTGTTCCGGCTGGGACCGTCACGGTTCCCGTCTGTCAGACAACCATCATTCAGAATACCACGTCACGCTCTTCTCGACAACGCGTGGCGCTCGCAAGTGTCTGAGCTCTGAACAAATTTCGACTCTTTATAGGGAATATGCATGTTTATATCAAATCGTTACAATATTATTGCATGATTACTTTGATATCTATTTACTAAATAACCAATATTTAATTTAAAATACTAGAATAGCTCTACAATCGTAAATCATAGAAACGCTTTATATGTTTCGAAAAAAATATTTGTAATAACAACACTGCCCTTCGGTCTCATAGAAACGTAATAATAACTTATTTATTAATCATAAATAATCTAAAATACACGCATATTCCATATTTTAAGAACTTTCGGATTTTTATCTTCTATGTATTAACTAAATGAAAATGATTCGACATTGGACACTAGCGGACGCCACATGAAGGTTAGTTAATGTTTCAAAAATGGTTAGAATTTGTTAATTACAAGGATTACGTGCAATTCTAGACATACTTCCTTCCAATAGAATTTTTGTATAGGTCATTGAATAATGTTACAAAAATATTTTGTACATAAACCACTGATTTGATTTTATGTAACTATTTGAGTAAGTTAATCATTTATTGACGTACGTCTTTGACATAGTTAATAATTTAATGGCTAGGCAAGCTAGTTCAAAGAATAAAGAATTTAGTTATTTTTGAAAAATCTTACCACGATTATATTAAAACTAAAGTTCGCTTCAGTAATGTTTGTGTCAAACTCGCTTATAGCCGATATATTAACTATGCTTATATGTTTTATGTAAAGATATATAAAGTATTAAAAATTTAGGTAGTAATGTGTAAATTTGGCTAAAAATAATGCTTTACCTCTATATTAAATTCTATTGTTATAGAGTATATGTGACAATACAAGAGCTAGTACATTAATATAGTTAAAAGAAATGTATAAAATCATCACGTGCAATAATATTATACTATGTTAGAAATAGAAAGAATTTGTCAACAATTACAATATTTTAAAAGGGTTTTTATATAAGCTTTGAAAGACCTGTACACATCAAACTAAGCTCATAGAACACTTGTACGAAAAAAAAATTATGCGTCTAATATTAATTAATTATTAATAATTTAATGAAATTAGTTTGATAATACAGTTTAGTTAATAATTTGTTTGTCAAATCCACCTTAGCACCAATTTAAAGTGGGTCTAAAAACACAAAAGTTTCTCACTGATTATGTTTAAATTGTTTTAAATTTTCTAAGGACCCAGTATATCGTCGTAAGTACAAAGCTATTGAGCTGCAAGGACCCCTGCCACATTCAACCGCAAAATAATTAATATTACAAATGTGTGCCCAATTAATCTGTCATAAAAGGGTGTGGTTGGTTAGTTTATAAAGCGTGTAAAAGTGGTTTTGTCAAACAATGGGAATATTAAAGCAAAGTGTGGGATACCTCAATGCGCGTGATGACTCCTTCCTCGCGATTGTGCTCTAGGACTACAAACAAAACATAAAGCGCCAGTCAACAACAAACAAACGTATAATGGTATATGAAGCGACAAATTAATACTATCTATACTCTGATTTTTAATTCCGAAGAATTCTGACATTTCATAAGCGTTGCTACTAAAAAAGTTCTCCACGGATAAAGGGACAAATTTGCCTTATTTGAGGGCAATAAAAAATATAATGGGACGTATTTTTCACGTTCTATCTACAAAAAGGCAAATCTAAATATATACTTAGTCAAGTGACCTAATACAGAAATAACAAATATGTCGAACTATATATCGAATTAACTTTAATTACTTTATTTTATTCTTTAGCTGGTATCACTGTCTACTAATCTATATATAAGTCTACTAATTAAGTAACCCTTTTTTAAAAATAAAATGTTATCATTACGTTTGATTTTTTTAGTGTTAGTGATGAAAAGGGACGTAATTATCACTCGTCGTAAACACACTTTTAATGTGGACCACCACACTTAATAAAATGGATGAATAGACTAGATGTTCAGACTCGTATTGAAATTGAAAAATGTGCCTGGCCAAAAGGTTTGTCATCTCTGACATGCCAAAAATGATAGCTGTCAGAATTCTACGAAATTAAAAATCAGATCATAAACGACTTTAATATACAAAATATTATTAATTTATTCTTCAATCTTTCTGCGGTCTGTTTGTATAAATAATGCCGTCTCTGTTTATAGACTGTGTAATGAAGGAGACATGTATATTTTGTACATACAATCATTTAAGTGAGCAAATTCTATTTGATTTGGAATCGTAAACGGGTAAAAGCGATACTATGTACTTTAAAGCTAATTATCACTAAGTAAATGTCCAAATCTACATTAAAAAATACATATTATTATAATTTTTTTTGCCTCCAAACCGAATCTTCTACATAGCAAATAATAGCATAGCTATTCATGCACATTTCTTAAGGAATAATATACTTGAATTTGTTGCATACGTATATTATGTTATTAAATGTATCATACATTTTTTATTTAATTAAAATCAATTAGTGACGGATATTAAAAACGCAGGAGAAACGATGTTTGTAACGAAAAATGTCAGAAACTACTGTACGAATTTTTACATTAAATTGCTTGATACCCCTCAGGCTTCATTTATTTCTAAAATATTGTATAGCTAGTAAGCAAAATCGGGAAAAATACTACTCAGACAGCATTATTATATAAAGTATTGCTAATATGAGTATGTAAAATAGTATAAAATATTAAAAGCAAAAGAGCTGGGCTAAATATGGTTCTGGTATCTATCTATGAAGTCTAATACTAAAATGTCTAAGAGTAACGTTCAATCAAAACTCAGCACTAAGTATCACTTGTTGTCAAATTCAATACATTTGTGACATACGGAAGTCATACTTAATTACTTAATCGCTATGTCTCGACTATCTTACTTAGGTAAGTCACTTTAATAATTTTTAATATTTTGTAAATCTTTAGAAAGATTATTTATTATTAATAAATTATTTAAGATGATTTATTAGAAGTTGCAGTCGTTACTCGACAATACATTTAATTTAACAATAAATTACTATGGAAAAAATTTGCTCTGTGGGAATATTTTGAACTAGCCAGATTTAAGATGTTGGAACATAATTTGCGTTAAGCGAAATTTGTCCTAAGGCAATTGTTTGTATACTCACTGTTTTCTGAAGTGGTGTTAGTGGTGGTGGTGGCGCCATCAACATTGTTTTCGTTGACAGTCGTCCGAGTCGTCGTCTTAACCACCATGGAACTTGTGTTCACTTGCGAATTCTACAAATGTAATATGAACGTCAAACATACGTAATATATATGGGACAAAGATATAAAAAAATGCATAACAATAATATATAATTTATATAATAAAAACATGGGTGTAAAATATCTAGGTAATAAAATAAAACCTTTTTAATTATATTTTTCGACGTATTTTTATTACACAATTAAAGAAGAAGTAGCTTACCAATTTCACCGATACGTATATGATATTGTTGTATTTAACTAACATTTAAATATGATTATTATATTCCAACTTAGGGAACAGTAAGTAATAATAGTTCATCAAAATCAGCTTAGCAATTTATGAAATATATCCACGCATTTCTGGTTATACGTATAATCTTCACAGATATTTGAAGTCTAAATAACTTCTGGGAAATTTGAAATACCTGCAAATTAATATTCAGTTCCGGTGGTACGTCGGAGGTGGGTTGGGTGTGGTCCCTCACTGAGTCAACAGTGATGTCGGCTGAAGCTGCCGTCACGTCGTGAGCCGTTTCTGCTGCTTCTTCCTGCATACATATATAGTTAACTAGTTGTACAGGTTTATACGAAAGCGCACAAAATTCCTAGGCCAGGCCAGGAAAAAAATATATTTATTATTATACATTTCTTAGTAGCTTTAGTAGTAGACATATATGAAATACATGGAGCACCGCAGACGAAGAGAAAGGTCACCAATATTTGTGATGAAGTCATCTCTGGTGAAATTATCCAAAGGGGCTTCAGGCTTTGGTGTATTTTCTATGTAAGACACTAGGCACTGACATGTCTATTAGAAACAAATGCAAAATCCGAAGCCCGAAATCCGGTCTTTTATTAGATAGTGTTAGTCTGTGTTTATATTCAGTACCGAACTATAATGAATAGACTTAACATAACAAATAAATTACAATAATGAGTTTTTGTGATACGAAATATATTATAATAAGGTTTATAATAGCTATCGCTTGGAAATAAAAAAGTAAATGCGCTGGAACCCACGATAAGATTACTAAGCAATACATATATAAATATATATTGTCAATTTTTTTTATTTTCACTCATATTTATTATCATATTATTTATCTCTTTATTTATTATCATATTATATATTCATAATATTTATTAACATCCATAACTCAATCATACATACAAGTAGATGATCAGTACAACCTAATACACCGTTTTGCTGGAAATCAAAACTAGGAATTCCGGGCACCCCATGAGTATTTAAAAAAACCAGTGGAGCTATAACTTTTTAGGTTTGGGCCTCAGATTTCTGTTTCGTAATCATCTTTCTAATAGGCAAGTACAGATACCGGCAAACATCTTAAGCAAATGTCCTTGCCTTAGAAGCGATTTTTAGGTATAGGTAGGTACATTGTTCTGCCATTGGATATTAATGAATTTTAAACCATACCTTGTGTTCTCCATTAGTGAGTGGGGTCTCTTCGGCCGCACTTTTTAACGCTAAAGCCCAAGGTGAAAGGGCCACGTGGCATTGTGCTATCGTCACCTAAAATAATTCAAATGTCTAATTCTTCAAACTTTTTTAAAAATAAATTCTACATAACTCTTAGGCTATATGGTATTCTATAGGGATGCATCCGATACCGATGCCGATACCGATATCGGCGATATTTTCATTGCCGATTCACCGATACTTTTCAAATTTCACGCTTTAAAAAAATAATGTAAACGCGCATTTGTATGATCTAGTTTGTTGCAAACGAGCCATGGACTATTGTTGCCCGAGAAATCCCCGCGTTTTATTCAGTTTGTTGTCTCTATCATTCGCTTGGGGACAAAGCATTATTATTTATGTATATTATATGTATTTAAACCTTTAAAATTATTCAAAGTTTGTGACTATTTTTTGTATATAGTATATATACAAAAAATAAAAATTATAAACTTTAACTTAACTTGATATATTTTACCTTAATTTAATTTTAATTCAATAAACGTTGGTATCGGTATCGAGGATATTCCAATAAGTGTATCGGCATCGGTATCGTATCGGCAAAAAACCGTATCGATGCATCCCTAGTATTCTATTTATTTCGTAATCTACAAATTTTCGTAAAATACAGCTAAGATAAACAATTATACGAAAGATAAAGTAAAATATACATAATATATACAAAAAAGTTCAAACATTTACAAAAGGAAAATTAATACAAATTATTAATTACAATATAACGAAGTCGTGTTGTGTGATGGTGAGAAAGTGAGTGTACATGTAAAGCAGTTTAAATAGAATATAAATACCTTAGTAGCTGACAATGTTATTCTCTGAAGTTCAGACGATGAATGCAAATAGAGAGCTTCGCCACGTTTTGAGAAACATAAGGTTGAAATACCACTGAAACAATTAATATATAAGGGTCAATAAAACTGCTTTATTAAAAAAAAATAGACCCTAGATCAGTTTCCCAAACTTTTTTGTGCCACCCTAGCCTTTCTAAAATTATTATGCCCCTCCCTCCTATGTAAAATACACAACTTTGAAGTGAAACTTCTGTATAGACGTATGGGAGAAATTTTGTACAAAATCGTCACGTTTTTCGGTTACGCGCCATATTGCTTTTTTTAAATATCTGCCATCGTATAAAAACTCTAACATGCTGTATACATGTTGTACACAAATTGATTTGCTTGTTTTTTGAGTGTTGCTTTTTTTATAAAATATTTTTGAAGTTATACTTCTTTTGACGCGTTAGGGAAAAATTATGAGAGTAAATTTTTACGCGCACACCGTCACAAAAAACCAACTCTGAAGATAGCTGTACGATAATTATTCGTGCCTTTTGTGCTCGCACTTTACCCACATGGCGCCCACTAAACCCGCAAAAAGCAATAAAAGAAGATGCCAATATATTTGATATATTTCTTATGAACTCACTTGATATCCTCCTTCCTGACGGCGGCAGCGTTAACTTGTCTCCTCAGATCGGTGGCGAGGAGCAGACAATCTCCCAAATTGGTGAGGCACATCAGGCACCACTCGCGATGTCTTTCGGAACCGCTTGCGCATTCAAACCAAGCGAATGATGTACGTCGGACCTATTGCGGTAGAATAGAAACTTGTAACGGAAAAAAAGTAGAGCTGAGAGCCTACGGGACGCCCAAAAAGGGCAGTCATCCCAGCCCATGAACACAGTGGGTGCGTTGCCGGCCTTTGAGGGAGAAGAAATTAATTGCAAGTCGTATCTCCCAGGGAAGACCCCCACCGGGAATACATTCCACAGTTCGCAAAAGAACGTGTCTTGTGAAGTGGACCGTGGAATATTTCCAGCCATCAAGGTGATGCGAATTCTACTCTCCTATAAATAATAAATCAGTCTACTTGGAAGGTTTTTAACTAAAGTTGCCATCTGTCTTTTTTCATCACTGAGGAAATACAATTTGAGAGAAAGAGACGTTCAATTGGAGTTATTTAATTTTTATAATTGAAAAATCTACCAATGCGTATATGATTTTGACGAAAAACTAATTACAAAAATATTACCCCATAAAACGTCGAATAAAGTAAGAACTTTATTCGTTACCATGGTAACCATTCTTTTGTATGAAAAAAATATCCTAACTAGCAAACACGGTTTCATCCATGTTATATTGTAAAGTTAAAATAATAAATTATATTTTTTTTTAATAAACTTACCCGTGCCCCTTCATGCGCTGTGAGCTTGTATTTGTTGTGAGGCTTGAGTGAGGGCAACGTGAATACTTTGAACTGCTCTTCAGAGACGATCAGCACTCGGTGGGTTCCGCTTTCGGGCAGTGGGGCCACACCTCTTTCGACCTGCATTGTAAACATACTTGTAAGTAAGCATTATTACTGATAGACCTGTTTAAAAAATTAATGGCAGTTTAACAGCTTTTAACTTAAAAATGCTGAAAAATACAATTTGGCTTTGTAGACTCATCTACATTCAAAATCTGTTATAACGACATCGAAGGGACTACTCATATTTGATCGTAAAAACCGATAGTCGTAACAGCCGATGACGTTGTTATTAAGTACCTAATACTCGACTCCATTTCTCCCTTTTAAAATATACTCACTTCTAACGGGTCCGGTAAAGGTACACTCGCACCATCAAGTACTGTGATACTTATCACGGGCGCTCTATGTTTTAATTGTATTTCTTTCGCTAGTTGACATGTTACCTGAAAACATAACACGTAATTTAAAAAAAAGGTCGATAATACGATAAGGATGATAATATTTGGAACGTCAATTTCATTAAAGTACGGAATAAAAATCCTGGGAATAGGCAGCAAATGTTATTTTTTTAATAAATAATTAATGTGTAATTTAACACATTTTACATTCAAACATATTCCAGTATGTGAAAACCTTTTGCAGTTTTAAGGATCTTATAGAACTTACTGGATCTTCTTTCCGTTTATTCGCTCCGGGTACGTTAATAGTGAACGCGTATACGGTCCCGTTGTTCGTGCCCGCCCATAGTGTTGGTACTGAATGTTGGGCTGGAATTAAATAACGGTTTTTTAGGTGGTTTAGTCATGTCATGTCATTCTCAAAGAAAATCATCACAATTTTCTTTGATAATGAAGCTGTACAGACATCAATGCCGTCGCTGAGAGTGGGCTACACAGTTGTAGACAAATTCATTTCTTACTGTCTGAGCGGGTTAGACGACAAAAAAGTTTTTTTATAGAACAGGGGTAAACGGGCAGAAGGCTGACCTGATGTTAAGTGATACCGCCACCCAAAGGCACTCACATTGCCAGACGGCTCACAAATGCGTTGCCGGCCTTTTAAGAATTGGTACGCTCTTTTCAATTATCATCTCCTAATGCCCAATGACACTAGATGGATACTAGACTGTTACTTCTTTAGAATTAAAAAAAATTACGAATGAAAATACAGTGTAAACTCTTTATAATTACATTGCATTAACACGTGTGCCATTATTCTTAGCTTACATTGCCTGTAGGAATGTTTTTTCGTCTCAGTTACTAAACGCACCATTGTCACCTATCTATTATATATATAAATTATTGTAATTAACCGATTTGGTGTTTTTTCACTTCCCTCCGTATCACGAAAACTCAACGAAGAAAAATGCTCGTTTTCTTAAAATTCGTAATAAATAGTTTACACTGTAATTACGTTTTATTTTTATATATTATATATAAATTTCATTTATATTTTCCTTGTATAAAGCACCATGTTTGACTCGGAAAAGTGATCACTTTCCTCCTAAATGAATTATTGCATTTAAATAGTATAATAATATAGATTAACCATTAATAATTAACAACCTATTATTTGCGTGAGAACATTTAATATGCGTTTCAATACTTTTGTACTCACTGTTAATAAGGAAAGTGCGTGCGAAGTAGAGACATCGGACCATAGAGCCAAAAGCGTCATCATTAGACCTGGCTTCAACGGCACGCTCAATGGGCTTCACTGCCTCGTCGTTCTCTGCTATTTTTTCAACAACCTTTTTGGCGGGCTATAAATATATATAATTATTAAGATAATCATTTATTAAAAATAACCATATTTCATTTTTCAAAAATTCATTGTTTAATAGATAGTTAAAATATACTGTTAAATATATTGTAAATATGTTGAGCAGCGTTGGTTTAGCGTGCGACTCTCATCCCTGAGGTCGTAGGTTCGATCCTCGGCTCAGCCCCAATGGACTTTTCTATGTTCGCATTGCTCGACAGTGAAGGAAAACATGGTGAGGAAACCATCTTGCCTTAGACCCAATAAGTCAACGGCGTGTGTCAGGCACAGGAGGCTGATCACCTACTTGCCTATTAGATTGACGAATGATCATGAAACAGATACAGAAATCTGGGACCCAGACCTGAAAGGTTGTTGCGCCACTGATTTATTTTTCTTTTAAAATGTACTATATAAAGATATACCTAAAAAAAAGGCGATTCTTCTACGAAAAAATCTATACATGTACCTGTGCCGGCGATGTGGGACTAGCTGCAGTCGTCTGCCGTCTTTGTGAACGTCCTTTCCGAAGTCTTCTAAACGATTCCCTCAACGATTTCTTGAAGGATTTTCTTCTAGATATAGGCGTATCACCCGCTCCAGAGTGGTCTGAAGGATCATTACATTTATTGTAAAAATATTAACACCTATATTTATATTAGTTAACAAAAAAATCACACATATGGGACCCGTGGCAAATTCTTTTGATGGGGCCCTATCAGTAAAAATAGTCACGTCAGTTTAATATGAATAAACTCGATTTTCAGCGTTGTATATGTCCCACTAATGGCCATAGGCCTCCTCTCTTAGGCGAGAGGGAATGGTCTGTAGTCCCCACGGTAGCCCAATGCGTATTGGAGACTTCACATGCATCCATAGAACATATCTCTTGGGCAGGGGCCCGTGGCATTTTGCCAGCCCTGCCACCCTATTGTTACGCCACTGCATATGAATATAGCGGCCTAAAAACGTGGACTAACGATAGTTCCGTGTTTATTACCATTTATTTTCATAAACTATGATAGTAAGCAATGTACTTTCTGTTCATTTCATATTGAGACCAATTCTGTTTAACGTAATAAATATCTGCAATCTGATATAAAAACTCTAGCTTTCTGTTTTGTTTGCTTGTTTTTTGTGTGGCTTTTTTTATAAACTATTTTTTTTGCATAGTGAACGTTCAAGTAATGAATTTTTTCAGTCCTTTTGTAAAACGTTACGATGCGGGGCGGGGATTCAATTACGCGTTATTGTTAATTTTATTTTCGACTTTTCACACCACATAATGGTAAGTTTTAGTTATAAAGAGCCAAGAGTGGTCACGAAATGTAATATTGGGTACAGAAAAACGTTACGTCCAAAAGTTTCGTGACGTAATACTTGAACGCTCCCATATTTAATTTATGTATATTGGTTAGTATGTACATAATCAGATCAAAACCTTATATTCATGTACGTAATTAATTATGTGTATGTACACTTAGCTTAAAAAAAATAACGTTAGTAAAATTTATACGTATAATTCTAAATTTACATTTACTAAGACGAGAGTTGACAAATGAAAGGCGTAAATGTAGAGAAGCATTGGCAAGAAATTCTCCGCTGCTTTTTTTTTTGTTTGTCATAAAATATAGTATATTTTAAAATGCCAGAAAACGATAACATATAAACAAATGAATAAATAACTAACATAAAACATAAAAAATAAATAACACAAAATATATAATTTAAGATAAATTAATAGTGATTATATAGAAAAAGTATTTAAAAAATAAAATCTTACCATGTGGATTTAGCGTGCACTTGTGTATTAGAGGCGTAGAGGTAAACGCATCGATAAGGGCGAGACCGTGGGCGGTGCCCGCACAAACCACGCCCCACTCCCAATGCGCAGCCAACGATGTTATGGCCGCTGGGGGAGATATTTGGGCCACAGCACTTGCCTTAAAAATATGAAATAAAATCTGTACATCGAGAGCAATAAAAATCAAGTAACAGTCCAGTTTTAGATTGTTTTTTGGGCTTCTTGAATTTAAAGTACTAAAAAAAGTAAATCGTAAATAAGTAGAATTTGTACGGAAATAAATAATCGTTACAGCGTAGAGCCAATTTAATTTAAATCCTCACCCACAACATAATTGAGATAAAATCCAATTCTTTTTTTGAAGGTCAATGTGCCCAGTTCTATAAATCAAGGGCCCATTATTCAAAACATAGAAGAATAGAGGCTCAAAACGTTACCGAATACCAAGCAAATGAAATTGATTTAATTAATAATTTGACGGCCGATAGAGTGATTTTTACCTGATATCCTTGAGGGAAAGAAAGCGCACCCGAACGTAATGTGAGTTGATCGTGTCCCTTCCATACAAAGCCATCCCGATCTGACACTATGTTCACAGATAATGACTGAAAATAAAAAAAATACTATATTTTTCTATCAATGCTGAGCAAATAATAAATTTAATGTATATTAAAAACCAGTGGTTCTACAACCTTTTAGGTCTGGCCTAATAAATATTAAAAATATACTTTCATACCTTAACTTCAGCGGTGGAAGGATTATTTTTCAAACTAGCCATAACTATATGTCCCGCTGCGCCACCAATTGTCAGCATACCGGATAATGGGCAAAGTATGACCTGTAATTTATTAATATAATTCGTTAATAAAAATGTATTCACTACTGGATTTCCTAGTAATTTATGATATTATTTCCTAAACATTGACATTTTTAATAAAGAAAATTCTTTCACAATATAAATTACAATTTATCTCTGAGCTGTTTATATAGTTGATGCGAAGAGACGAGCCGCTTAGGGCCGTTTAAGACTAGTCGTTTCAGCATACGCGCTTACACGCGCGCTTAAAAAAACCGGACGCGCGTGGCAGATTGGCCAGCGCTGTGGAACATTCTGCTCCTCAGCATAATGCTGATCCAGGGCCAATTACAGCCACAGCACACACGCATTACACACTTGATGCGAACCGAATGAGAAATGCCGAACAAAAACACACAAAATAACAATAATCAAAGAAAAAATTAAATGAGACATATCAAAAACAATAAAAAAAAATATATTTTTGTGTGTGTTTTTTTGTTTGTAATATTATTTCTATTATAAATTATGTCTATGTCTAATCTGGCATATTTCGGCGTGTTCGCTTGAACCGGTAGTCGTGTCGTGTCAGTATCAACATGGATTCTGACTAAAAAACTGACTATTTCCGTTACTTATTCGCCTTTGACTGAGAATAAAAAAGATGCTGGGTGTCACTTTAATACACTCTACCCAGAACTGCGAACTTATACGAGCTAAGAAGCGCGTTAACGCTCGTTCAATTTGCGCGTGGGCCAAAAGGCGCGTCTATACGTGCCTACATGCGCATCCAAAGACGTGCTTATATGCGAGTAATAAACAATAGTCTGGAACCGTTATTTTTAGATAAAATCATAAATTTTTTGAAGAATCCTTCGCCAATTCAAGAGAATATCAATTCTATACTCAGACTACGACATGTTAATTCGACGTAGAACTCACCCGTTTGACTGCGAGTCGCGGGTCATCGCTGTAGGGGTCGAAAGTACCGACGCGTCTGAAGGGAGGCCATTCTTCCTCTTCGTTTTGACTGTCATTATTCTCGCCGATTTCTTCACCACTGTAATGTTTATATATTTACTAAGTATAACCTCTAAATGGTTGTCTGTAAAGTCGGTTTACGGACGACAGTTTAACGTGACAACGTCATAACAAAACTATTAATGCATACTTTTATGAATAAATTGAATCATTTTTATGGAATTATCACTATTTTGTAGATGCAAAGAACGAGTGAAATGAAATCTAGACTTTAATTGATAAATTTTAACCTTTATTTCCGCAATTGTAATAAATAATGAGAACCACATTAACTTTTCAATTCACTTTATAAACAGCCGACGAAACAGTTGACGTGAAGATGTAAGTTGTGTGTTGCCGCTGTCTTTCTCCTCCTGGGACCCATAGGCCAATCAAGTGGAAGATAGATAGACGCGGCGCAAGGTAACGCACTGAGTCATGATTTGTCGTGCGTGCAGTTCGTTTAAATAAAGGTACTAAATCGACAATATTCAGATAATGGCGTGTTTTAGATTTTAGAAAAAGGATTGACTATATATTGTTTGTGAAAAATTCATGCGATCAGACGCTTATCATCTGTTGTGTTAATTTCTTAATAAAGTAATGAAAAGTTGTTTAATTAATTTCAGCTAACACGGTACGAATTTCGCCGGGTCAGTTCCCCTTTAAATACGTAAACTATAACTACTAACAAGATTTTACAGATTTAGCACTTCAGTAGTCAAAATCTATGATTTTAGATGCAAAAAACGCACGAAAACATGGAAAAAGCAAAGTGAAATCTACATTAGCCCGACATATTAAGCTAAATTACCTTGCGCTCGATCTTTTCAGTCCACTTGAAGCAAGCATCAAAAAGCATAATAAATTTAGCTACATTATACGCAAATTCATGGATATGGATGCAAATAATCATATCTAGCCATCAAATACGTAAATATATTTAAATATCGTTATTTTAACTACAATTTAACATTTATCAAAAGGGGCCGTTCAAGTATTACGTAATCAGATTTACTGCAACCCCTCCCCCCCATACTCTTGTCAGCAAAAGTAAGCAAAGCTCTCAAAAATAATAATACATAAACATATTAATTTTTTGTAGGAATCCTCGAAAATGCATTTCATTTTCAAGCATAGACAATGTTTGGGTAATCACCAAATAAGAAAATCAAAGACCTCCCCCCGCCCATAGTGCTTACGTAATACTTGAACGGCCTCAAAGATATGAATAATACTTTTTTTTTAAATAGCTTCACGCAGAGCGTATTGCCACAGACAAAGTGAATAATACTTAAAAACATAGATTAATTTAATACTGTGATCTTACATGCCGTTTCTTTAATTTAATTAATTTTGTTTATATTACAAACAATTATAATTCCAAATACCAAAATTGATTATTGAAATAGCAAAATTTACTTTGAAAAGTCCCTTATAGTTATAATATAAACTCGAACTGACCTAAAGAGATGCGAAGTGGTATATTTGTACAAGGGCGTCATAACCACGCTGCTAACATCCCAGAAGCGGATGGAGCCATCTTCGTGGCCAGTTAGGAGGATTTGACGATCGGCCGATTCGCTTGGCTCCACGTCACCACCGGATATGGGCCAAGGACTGTCCGAGTATACATCCTCGATTTGCTTCTCACCTGGTACATTAAAATAAGATCTTAAATTTTATGTAATACTATTTTAACGGCCTGTAAACTAAGGCTACTAAGTCACGGTTATAAGAAATCGTATCTGCAATTATAAAAATTAGTACAAATGATTACGGACTTATGGCAGTCTGTAAATGAATATTAATTATTTAAATAAATTCATTGATTGAAAATAAAACTTATAAATACCAAGATCTGTAAATATTAATTATTACAGATCGCGCGGTATTACACATATAGTAGTATACGTTTTTTTATTCTATGATAAAATACTCTTATTGTTAAGTTTCATACATTCCTATCTCAACATTTACGAGGTATTCTTTTTTCTAGAAATCAAATTTAAAGGCACTTTTTAATCGACATTTCGAATATTAAGAATCCGGACGTAAAATAATCTTGTGCTTGTAATACAAGTAAATTAATTTAAGTTAGGGAGTGTTCAAGTATTACGTCACGCAATTTTTGGAGATTCTAGACCCCCCCCATGTAACGTGCAGTAACGTTTTTCTGTACCTAATAGTAAAACGTTTCGTGACCACCCAGTGACACTTTATACCTTAAAGTTACCATTATATGGTGTAAAGTACCGGAAAGTCGAAAATATTATTAACAATAACGCGTAATTCAATCCCCGCCCCGCATCGTAACGTTTTACGAAACAACAAATTCGTTACGTAATACTTGAACGCTCCCTTATTGAAAAGTAGATTTGTTTTGCCCTGTTTATTTACCAGCAAAATTACATACCAGTGATAAGGACAAAGCTTTGTGAAGTTAAAGATACTCACCGGCAGCCACAATATTATCGTAAACTGTATCAGCCACATTGTCCACAAGGTACGCGGTAGTGATAGCACTGGCGTGTATGGACACGAGGTAGGGCAGGCGCAAAGGCCGCCATTTTGCATCGCATAGATCTATCACCACTAATTCTTCTTCTACTAGGACCACCTGTGAATAAAACATTTTACTAAATAATATTTTATTGATATTTCTTTATACTTTTCGTTTATTTATTGAAGTGAAACTTCTTTATCGGGGTTAGAAAAAAATTTAGTGTAACATTTTTGCGTTACGCGTCACATTTTTCCGTTACGCGCCATGTTGCTTTTTGAAGTCAAACTTCTTTATCGGCTTTAAAATATGACATATAGTATGTTTTTGACTTTGACGTTTGACAACGGATTACATTTTCGAAGTCAAACTTCTTTATCGGCGTTAAAATATGACATATAGTATGTTTTTGACTTTGAAGTTTGACAAAGGATTACATTTTCGACTTGAAATTTGCTAATTAATAATTAATTTGTAAATTGTATGCTAGGCAGTGTATCAAAATTTACTGTGTTTAAAGAAATAGTTTCTAATAAGGTCATAAAGAAGTTTCACTTCTTACGTGTGTACACCTAGTACACGCACACATTTTTTTTTATTTAAACTTCGTTACATTAAAAAAAAAACATTACATATTAGGAATGCAACGGGCGGCCTTATACAAGCGATCTCTTCTAGACAACCCTTGTAAGAAAAACGATAAAAAAGAAATATTAAGTGTAAAGTGCAAGAAGTGCATATCGTCCTTGTAGAATGATAACCTCAAGAAAAAACTGTTTCATGTCGTCAATGTTCGTTTAAATTTTAATGTGTTATTGTTCATCGTTTTAGATGGTAAAAGGACGTATTTATTAATAACATAAATAAGTCCTTACTTCATGATTATACCAGTATAATGACATAAGAGTTTAAAAATAAAAATAAATGATTTTGACATACGAGGTTATCATTCTACAGTAACAACCAAATCAACAAAAATAAAATTACAAGTAACACTGAAAAATTATAAAAGAATTAGGGGTGGTTTAGGTATGGGCAAAAAAGTGCTTTACCCACCCGTACAATATCTCTGGTATAGCATTACAAGGGTCCCCAATATACATAGGACACATGCATTTAAGAAAAATAGTCTTTTGTGTTTTTTGAAACTCACCAAGGCAGCGGCAACTTGATTTACAGATTGCACTTGAATCTGCGTGGGAGTCTGTGGACGATCTTCTTGCAAGGGTGTTCCATCTGGTGGTACCGAGGTGGTTGTGAAGAAGTCAATGACCTGAAAGTATTTTTTGACTAGTTACTAATCGCTTCAAAAATATTTTTATGACAAGATTGGCATTATCTCTGCGTGTCTTAACCGAAGAACAAAAAAATCGTTTATTAAAACTGTTTTACATATTTTTTTAAAATAATAAACCGATGTGATATGCGCATGGACACTCTTAATGCCGGAGGGCTCTCGAGTGCGTTGCCGGCCTTTTATATATATCAAAAGAGATTAATATTCAACGCTAACTTTCAGTTGTTCATAAGCATGAACGTGTATAAATATATTAATTATTGCAATCAATCTGTTGAGAAAATATAGCCTGTAACAAGGATTATTTTTGAGAATAATAATAACTTACCCGACTTGTAAAGTCAAATGCGACATGTTTCTCGCCTTGTTGTACTGTCACAGTGTATTTATCTGAATACGATGCTCGGGGCATACCACCTGAAAGTTTAAAAATGTAATTTATTTAGTTAAAATACAAATCCCACATTATTGAGTATAAATGTTATACAATATGAATTCAAATATAAATTATAATTAAATATAACTGTTTGGGTTAACAACTTAACATCAAACTCATACTCATGACCCGACAAACGTTGTTTTGCCATGTATATTATTTCTAGGAAAAAAATTTTTTAGTTCAATAAAAATAACTATCTACAATGATAAAAAATTTGGGGTTAATCGTAGAGGGGTGAAAATTAGGGGTTGTATGTATTTTTGCATGCTGTATCATAAAATATAAAAACCAAAAAGTTTTGGGGTGGATACCCCTTATCGCCTAGGGGCTTGAAATATAGATAGTAGCCGATTTTCAGACTTATGAATATGCATAAAAAAATTCATAAGAATCGGTCGAACCGTTTCGGAGGAGTATGGGAACGAACATTGTGAAACGAGAATTTTGTATATTAGATTTTACCTGCATATATAATGATCTCGTCCCCATGAACACTATTCCTATTGAGTATCTTCGTAATGGCCTTGCAAGGGTAAGGCCCGTACGGAGTCACGGGCTCTTTGAGCGGTCGATCGCTGGATGCGCCCGCAACCTCCCACGTCACGTACGAACCATCGTTATGGGACGACGTGAAGTGCTCGCCTGGAATTTAGAAAAAGGAAAAAATAATGATAACAATCAATTTAACATAAAAACATGCCTTCCGATAAACTTTTATTTCAAAAAAAAAAAAATTCAAAAAAAAAATCTCAAAAATCTCCAAAAATTGCGTTACGTAATACTTGAACGCTCCCTATGTTAGTATAATACACATCAAAATATAATATATTACTAGCGGATACGACTGACGTTGTCAAGAACACACGTCTTACATACAAAAAAATCATCAAAATCTGTCTAGCCGTTTAGTAAACTACTACACATACACAGAAGATTTTATAAATACATGGTGTTTATTTGCTGTATAGATAAATAACCTAGACATCTGCTGCATCGACACCGTCAGCAGCGGCATCTGCCATCTGATTTGTGAATCTAAACCATCCAGGGCTCCACCCACACGAATACCAAAAAATTCATTCAAATCGGTCCAGCCGTTTAAGAGGAGTTCAGTGACATACATGGGTACAGTAGATTTATATATGTATATAAATATTAGCTGACCCGACAAACGTTTGTTTTGCCGGGTCAGCTAGTATATTATTTCTAGGAAACATTTGTTCAATAAAAATAACTATCTACAATAACAAAAAATAGGGGTTGATCGTAGAATGGGTAAAAATTAGGGGTTGTATGTATTTTTGTATGTATCATAAAAAAAATTGTTGGGGTGGACGTGGGGTGGTTGGTGGTGGTTATTACTGAGGGGTTTGAAAGATAGATAGACGTAGATGTTCAGACTTACTGAATATGCATAAAAAATTTCATTAGAATCGGTCGAGCCGTTTCGGAGGAGTATGGTAACTAACATTGTGACACGAAAATGTTATATATATAGAGGTTTACCTTCGTCATTCCAACACAAGCTCTCCAACTGTTGATTGGATACAAAGGTGTGTGTAGGTGTGGATGTTTGTCTATCCCATAGAACGACCAAGCCCCTGTTGTATCCAATCAAGATTTTGGTTGTAATTTTTGGATGTTCACAAACTGATTCCACGGCACCAGGATTTACTTTGAAGTCTTCTGGACAGCTGGAAGATAAACAATCACAATAAGATTAAGCTAAATTATTTCAATTATCACGAACATTAAATTGTTCTACAGAAAACGGATTTGATTTAGTTTTGCTATAGGAACTTGAACTAGAACTTGTAGAAATTTTTTCTGGTATTTAATTATAGAAGTTGTATGTAAGAGTGTTGTAATATTATTCAATCCTACTGCATTGATATATACTGCTCAAAACAATTAGCGGAACAAGATTTTTCTCCTTTCTATTGCTTAAACTAAAATTAGATTTAAATTAACTTGTACGCTATTTTGTACCTTGTTAATTTGTTAATTACTACAATTAATAAAAAAATCAATTTGTATTTTTTTATTAAAAAAAAATTTTAATGTGCATTGTAGACGAAAAACAAAATGACGTCTTTGAATTTTCATTACTTTCTAATCACAGAAAACACATTTTAAGTAGTTTTTTTCAATCTTTTGAGTATTAATAGAAATTGAAGTGAGCCTTTTGAGTATTGTTATTCATTGAAGCGAGTGAGTATAGGTCATAATGCCAGATCTGACTGAATTGCATGTCTCCCGAGCTATCGCTTTGCTTGAAGAGGGTCGAACTATGCGTTATGTAGGAAATGATCTAGGAGTAGCCCCTTCTGTTATCTACAGACTTTGGAAGCGATACCGTGAGACGGGAGAATACTCACGAAGGCGTGGTCAAGGTCGAAAGAGAAAAACTACACGTTTGCAAGATCGCTACATCGTCAACTGTGCTTTACGTAACCGCACCACAACTGCATGAGATCTACAAAATACACTAAGGACGGCTACTGGTGTAGAAATTTCCGACCAGACGGTAAGAAATAGGTTGTTGGAAGCCAATTTGAGATCACGCCGACCAGTTCGGGCTGTGCTAACAATTCAACATAGACAAGCTCGCCGACAGTTCGCGCAAAATCACGCTAATTGGCAACTTCGACATTGGAGGCCAGTGCTTTTTACTGACGAATCACGATTCCGTCTAACACGTTGCGATGGTCGTCTCCGTGTTTACAGACGCCCAGGCAAGCGATACAGTGCAGCAGCAGTCCAGGAATATGACAAATTTGGATGTGGCTCTGTGATGGTTTGGGGCGGAGTTAGTTTGGACGAGCGCACAGATCTCGTCGTTGTTCCCGGGCGCTTGTGTGCTCAAACTTACATTGAAAATGTGCTCGAAGATCATGTTTGGCCCGCAGCATATGGTATGGGCCCAGATTTTCTTTTAATGCAAGATAATGCCAGGCCGCATACTGCAGCCATCACGTCAGATTACTTACGAAAGCAGGAAATCCGTGTAATGGAGTGGCCTTCCATGAGCCCTGACCTAAATCCAATTGAACACATTTGGGACTTGCTTAACAGGCGCATCCGGAAGCGTCCGATTGCACCTCAAACACTGCAGCAGCTCACTGAAGCGTTGATTGAAGAATGGGAGCGAATTCCACAAGAAGATATTCGGAGGATCATACGAAGCATGCCGCGTCGTTGTCAAGCCGTGATTAGGGCTCATGGAGGCCACACACGTTACTGAAAGTCACTAAAGACGAATATTCAAACGATATAAGAATATTTCTTTGATGGACCTTTTTTATCACCAATTAGTTTTTCGTCTACAATGCACATTTTAATTTTTTTTTTAATAAAAAAAATACAAATTGATTTTTTTTATTAATTGTAGTAATTAACAAATTAACAAGGTAAAAAATAGCGTACAAGTTAATTTAAATCTAATTTTAGTTTAAGCAATAGAAAGGAGAAAAATCTTGTTCCGCTAATTGTTTTGAGCAGTATATATATAGTATAGATTGTTATATGTTTGTAGGAGAGATATTCGTTTGAGGCGGATAATACACACCTTTTAATCAAATTAGCTTAATTATTTTTCACATATTAGGCTTAATATTAAGCCTACTAGATTTATTCGACAGTCAGGGTAGGTAGGGCTGATGAATTTAATAAAAAAACATTGTTAAACGCTCAGGCTTGCTACGTACCAGACCTAATCCGCATAGTTAAGCAATTTAAAAAAAATACTAGTATAAACTAAACCTGGAAGTGTAATCTCTAACTTTAACTCGAATGTCAAAAAAAATTGAGTTAACGAGATTTCGACCTAACAAGAACTTCGACATGTTTATGATTTAACTGATGAAATTTCGACTTACGGAGTCGCTATTTCTAAATGTATTTTTCGATTTGTAGAGTCGAATTTGAATAACAATTTAACTTAAGTTTTGTTGTATATATATTACATATTAATGAAGTATATAACATATACTCACTTCTGCATAACAACATCTTGATAAATGACGTCTTCGCTCATACTGAAACTGCTTGCATCAAGGGTGTAAATGTTTCCTCCTTCAGTACCAAGTAACAAATTCTTGCCCGACGACTCCATACACATCGCTGATATTTTCTTGTTCTTGCCTTCGAAGGCATGACTCTTTAATTCCACTAGTGACTTCTCATTTATTTCCCATAGGTGTAGACTGTTGTCGTCGCATAGTGATATTAAACGGCCGGTGCCTGGAAATATTAATTGTTATGTGTATAGAAAAATTTCATAAAGATTTTTTTTAATATAAATAAAATAAATATGTGGCGCTATATTAGGTCTGGGCCTCAGATTTCTGTATCTGTTTCACGATCATTTGTCGATTTAATAGGCAAGTAGGTGATCAGCCTCCTGTGCCTGACACACGCCGTCGACTTTTTGGGTCTAAGGCAAGTCGGTTTCCTCACGTTGTTTTCCTTCACCATTCGAGCGAATGTTAAATGTAAAACATAGAAAGAAAATGTGCCAGCCGGTATCGAACCTACAACCCCAGGGATGGGAGTCGCACGTTGAAGCCACTAGGCCAACACTGCTCTTTTTTTACCAACCCTATTAATGAATTATTTGAAATATTTCGTTATGTTTGATGACAAGTTGTCAAATAACGCAATAGTTATTTCTCGTCTGATTCGCAAGTTATGTACTCATTAAAATTTATCTTGTAGGCAATTTTCTTGATTTGAAAGAAACAAAATGTTTTCAGTAATAATTCATCTACGTGTACGTTTAAATACTAAACCTTTTTAATACAATAACAATATTATGTTGACAGAAAAAAAGCCGAAACAAGGCACTAAAAATCTTTTGCGGGATTATATGCTAAGTGATTTGAAGTATGAGTCAATGGCGACTGCTTCCAGTACAACTATCTATCTTTTTGAAGCTGAACGCTATGGAGCATACAAATCTTACCGGGTATAAAATGTATTTGCGTGACCGCCGCGTCTGGGTTTGTGTGTTGTCCATACAGTTCGACCCCAGGTCGGCCATAGACCTTTAGGGCGCCGGTGGCTGTGCCGATAGCCGAAAGCCTGAGTAGCGGGTCCCATGCTAGTGCTGATGCTCTATGTGGAAAGCCGTGTTGTACTGTCTGAAAAATACAAACGCTACATTTGAATTTCTGTTATTAGAAAAAATTTGAGCATTTTCATGAATCTGAAGTTATGCATGTACGAGTAATACCAAGCTTTTTACTATCACAATTACATGTCAACAATATTTGAAGTAACAAAAACATACTCTAGATTTATATTTTTATAACCTTAATAAGGTATGCATTAGAATTACTAAATTGGAACTCATCTTGTCAAATAAGTTTGATTGTTGTTTCAGAATACAGAATCAAATACTACAGACTACAGATAGACGCAATTATATCATGGTTTCGTATCAATTAGTATAAAATATAGCTCGTCTTTAATAAAACTAAGGTATTTCATACATGGGGGTATTAGCGATACCTCAGTAGAATGCGAGAACGACCTCGGTGCTTATCTAAGGCGGCCTTGTAAGAACTACCTGGGGTGGTTTTAGTGGGTATGTCTCACCCAGTCTCTGAATAGCAGATTCTGGTGTGGGTCGAGTCCCACATACCCCTTACTCTACCCTATACTTTCACCGAACTGTAATGTGTCACCGTAGCCTATCTTTGCTATCATGATTTAAGCAGAATATGAGCTTGACGCATTACGATATTCATTATACCAACAACAAATAAGACAACAATAAAAAACAACGAATACTAAATAAGGTATTTTTTTCTTCTACTACTACAATTTTTTATTTACATATAGATAACAATATGTATTAAATCACATTATTAGAAACCAGAAATCCATTTATAGAAGTCACCTATGGTGTAACGTCTAGACCAGTGTTTCCCTCAGTGTAATTTGATTGTTAAGGAGATTATTCCAAAATTTATTAAAATTTGAATTTCAGCTTTACATTATATTTTGAAAATTTACTTACTGTGTTTCGTTAACATTTTCCTAAAACCTATCATTTAAGTATCTTTAGTGTACAATCCAATTATTAATTATGTATGGGAATTTTTAGAAGACTGATATTTGGCCTAAAAATCGTTGGGAAAGTGTGAATATTATTTTTTTAAAACATTTTTACCTAAAGTCAATGGACTATGAAGCTTAATAAACAAAAGCTTATTCGTCAGCAAAATTAGCAGCTAATATAAGTATAATTGAATGACAAATGAAGCCTACATGTTAATTTGACTCGCGGAGCGTGGTTTCGTATGAGTCATAGTGGTATGTTATCCGATGAGAATATTAATCTTTATATCTGCGATACACCTGTAAAACTGGTCGATGTTGGTTCAAAAAATACACAATATACGACATATAACCGTAGTTTTATTTCAGGAGATAATAGAACTTGAACGATGACCGATATTTTGAATCTATTCAAAAAAGTCCCATATAAGAGCAGTGTTGGCCTAGTGGCTTTAGCGTGCGACTATCATCCCTGAGTTGGTAGGTTCTATCCCTGATTTTACACCAATAGACTTTCTATGTGCGTGTTAACGAACGATGAAGGAAAACATCGGACGTAAATAGGCTTGCCTTCGACTCAAAAGTTTACGGCGTGTGGTAGGCATAGGAGACTGATAACCAACTTGCCTATTAGATTGACAAATGATCATGAAACAGATTGAAAAATCTGAGGCCCAGAGCTACAAAGGTTGTAGCGCCACTGATTTGTTTATTATATTCTATAGAACCAAGTGATATATTTAAAAAGCTTGGTTGATCCCAATATTAATAAGGCAATAAACATTCGCAAGTAATAACGCTTTAAAAAAATAATTGTTAATTTAATTAAGATTAATCTAACGATTATACACGTAAGCCAGTAAGTTTTAATAGATTACTTTGTATCGTTAAATGTTATCGTTATCAAATTATTTCATTAATGCAAGACGGATGCCTCCGTGTAAATATTTATTCTGTAATGTACCTACAGGTATTTTTATTGACTACAACATTGTAAGTCCTATCCCAAGAAATCTAGTTTTTAATCCGCCAAAAAAAATGTATCTACTTCTTTTAACAATTATTCTTATTTTTTTTATTTTTTGTTTTTAATATCTCTCAGACAGAATTGCGATGACGGCGTGGCGGTAAAAGATGGCTGGAGATGGCAAAATAATTAAAAATAGAAAATTGTGGAATGGCTTAGAGCATTGTCGTGTCACAATGTTCGTTCCCATACTCCTCCAAAACGGCTCGACCAATTCTTATGAATTTTTTATACATATTCAGTAAGTCTGAGAATCGGCTACTATATATCTTTCAAACCCCTAAGTGATAAGGGGTGTCCACCGCAGAAAAAAATATTTTACTTTTTAGACATAAAAATACATACAACCTTTAAATTTTTAGTAGGTATAGTAGATAGTTATTTTTATTGAACTAAAAAAATGTTTCCTAGAAATAAAATACATGGCAAAACAACGTTTGCCGGGTCAGCTAGTAGGTACCTATATAAATATATAATAAATAAACATTTTTATTTTTATTCTTACTGTTACTGTCGTAAATGTGTTTGTATTTTTTTGGTATAAAATAAAGCAATTAATATTAATATGGAACTAGACTACTCGATATCTCTCTTATCCAGGGGCCGTGCAAAGCTAAAACTGTGATCACAGAAACGTCATACAAAATGCAGTTAATAAATTACTTTAAACTGCTTTCAAGTGCGAACGATTTATTAAACGAAAAAGCACATTTATAGATTGGATTGTCGCCAGAGTATTTTATTTAAAAACATTTCAGACTAGAGGGTATTCAGGGTGCTTTAAAATTTCTTGAATACACTAAATCTTATAACCAGGTCTCATAGTCACTTAAATCTCTGAACTGAGGCTGAAATTCAGAAACGAGACTTGTAGAAATGCAATATATTTTTGACGAACGGAAGATAAGTTTGTTTTTTAAAGCTAACCCTAACAACCGTACAATGTGTGGTTCACGAAGATTTGATTAATTAATTGATAAATCATGTCATCAGTTAAAAAATCTTTTTACGTTTAATGAAAACGGTCGTTAGTTAATCGGACAATTATTGGCTGAGTGGTTCCGTCTCTTCGTCTGTTACAAAATAAATGCAATACTTTTCATGACTTTTTTATTTTAATTCAAGACTTAACAATCGAATTAATGTCTGGCAAATTCATTTTTAGTTTTTCTTATATTTAAATAACATAATATTAAAATTACAGACATTCTAAAATACTTTGAAATTTTTATAAAAAAAAACTTAAAATCGCGTCTGGCACATAGTTAGCAATGTGAAAAATGTCTGGCTATAAAAAAAGTATGTCAGGTAGACTTATTTAAATAGGAAAAATAAAAAATTACGCTTCTTAAAATGCAATGCTTCATCATACTGCAATACTTTTTCATTTTAATTCAATACAACAATCGAATTAATGTCTGGCAAATTCATTTTTAGTTTTTCTTATATTTAAATAATATTAAAATTACAGACATTCTAAAATACTTTGAAATTTTTATAAAAAAAAAACTTAAAATCGCGTCTGGCACATAGTTAGCAATGTGAAAAATGTCTGGCAATTAAAAAAGTATGTCAGGTAGACTTATTTAAAAACGAAAAATAAAAAATTACGCTTCTTAAAATGCTTTTAAAATCCGGGATTATTACCGGACAGATAGGATGCGCACTAATGAACGCAACCGCTACCGCCAGCCAGATTGCCCAGACTCTAACCGAAAGTGCAAGAAGGAAGACATATCACAAAATCAGCTGACCTAAAATTCTTTCTTTTCAAACGTTGCTACCTCCCGTACTATGAGTTTGACTGTAATATTTAAGTCCCTATCTGCAACATAGACTCACTGTACCTAGACCAGGTTATTATTGAATTAATGAACCCATGACTTCCAAGCTATAAGCCAGAGACTGTTACAGACCTCAGATGAACTAGCATAATATGCAATTGAAGGCATCCAAGAGCCGTCCTTCGCAATATAGGCAAAAAACATTGAATAAAACAATGAAAGTGTTATGTCATTGTATAGTTATAAGTAGAACAAACATAACACCGTGGGAATTGTACTTTTGCACTCTTTTGTATGTTACGTGACGCAGAATGGAGGATTCCGGGAATGAGCGGCTTGTGTTGAATGGTTTCAAAGGCGAAGTTACGAAAGCTAAGTAATTAGCTTAGTTTAGCGGAGTTGGTTTTTCTTATCTATTAACTATATTTATTGAAGCTTAATAAAAATAATCTTTTAAAACTTTAACGGATATAAACGCGTACTTATTGTATTATTTAAATTATTATTATTTGAATGATTTACAACCATAGTGGACAATGTGTTACGTACCAAATATTGTTTTTTTGCGCTCAGCGTAAACCCGTAGCGTATAAAAATAGACTTAGTATTTTTAATAACATGTGTATATTTACGTATTTTATTTCACTATATCCAGCGTATTGGGCGTAGCTATGTCACTCCTATCATATTTGTTTTCATATAACACACGCACCGGTTTTATAGGCTTTAAGTCGCCATACATATAACTATATAATCATAAAGGCTTATAATTATACATAAAAACGCAATCAGAATTCACCGCTTTGGTACTAGCATTTCTCATTCATGTGGGACCGCACCGTAATTTTAATACATATATTAAATTATTAACATGTATTTATTCTTGTGACTTCGTTTTAACTAAAAAACTGCTATCGTTTTTCTTCATTATTAATTTTCTTTAATAACCACTTATGATTGCTTTATTATTGTAGGGCTAGATAGGGCTGAAATATTTTTTTGGAGAATTGTATTTATGTTCAAAGTAGATTTTTCGTGGTAAAACAATAAAGTGTGTAAGCCTAAATGAATGTTAATGAGTTTTGGTTATCTATTATAACTATCACCTTATCGAGTGACCACATTTAATGCGGGGACCAATTACTTCAGTTTAACGTACTACCATTAAAGTATTTGACTATTATTATTACTTCTAGATAAAAAATATAATTTTCTTGTATTTGTCTATTTCATGTTCCTCATATCAACACTAACTAAGCAAAAAACTTAGTTTTGTATCTTGACTTGTTTAAGCTATCGCGGAATACGCTTAAAAGGAATATAGCGCAAAATCATCTGCATCATGAGCATACCACACATACACACTTTCACGTACATACCCTCACTGTTACACCATCACACGGCAGAGCCTAATTAGGTACCACTTAGTTAATGTATTGAAAAAAATTTATTGTTTGTTTTCTTATGTAAATTTTAGAACCTTTTTATAGTTAAATATTATGTATTCTATCTCTGGCTATATTTTCACTGTAATTGTATGTTATTATGTATATATAATTTTTGTTGGCTAAGGTTGGTTGGTTGGTAGGATAACGAAATAAATAAAAAACACATCTAGATTATTTGTATCTATGATAAAATTGAAAATATAAATGAGATGATATTACAATATCTGAGTACATTAAATCTGTGGCCATAGGTCAGAATATGATAAATGCAATTTCATTTCATACAGGACAAGCAATTAAATAAAATAAGCAAGCAAGATTTAAAAATTATTGAACCTTGAAGGCACTTTTAAAATATGAAACACTCGACATATAAATGAATGTACTTATCATTCTGATCTATGACCACAGAAATATTTATATATCTTATAACGACCAGCTCCATCGCACGGGTAGTATAATATTACACTTTAAGTAAAAACACCTGAAACAGCACAAGAGTTTTTAAGTTCGCAGTGACAGCGGAGCAGAGTAGGTACTTTTCGATTAACTAACCAATACTTGCAACAGTGGCATAAGGATAACATTACTGCTCGCAATCATTGCCCCAACGTGGAAAACTTAAATTTGATTTAGATGTGTGCAATACTTATAGGTATATAGGAACAAACTCTACTAATATCTAAGGTATTTCAAAACACTTCCTGTTTTCAATAATATCGATCAGTTTTATCGCTCCTTTGGATTATTTACAAGTGCGCACTACTATTATTCCATCCTAAATGTTTAATATTGCAAATACTCTATATTTGTATGGTGATAACTGATAACATATGTATACAAATAAAAATTAATCGCAATCTGTTGCTTAGTGCAAAACTCGAAGACGGCTGGACCAAATCGAGTATATTTTTAAATTTATTCCTGGAACTCCGAGGACAGTTTTTATGTAAGGAAACATTTAAAAACGAATTTATTTTGTTCTTAGGTTCTTATTCCGGAAAAGCGAGCGTTAACGAAGCCGTCTCTATGGAATAACATAGCAAATATTCCATATATTGATATGTAGCTACAAAAAAGATAGGATAAGTTAAAAAATCGAATCGCTAAATAAATGAATAAGTTATATATGTAATATAAAATGTTAGATAGTAATAATAATTAAATAGCATTAATTTGAATTTTTTTATTAAAATAATTTTACCTTAAATATTGTATCATTTTTTGATTTGTTTAATACATAAATACAATTAAATCTCTTCCCTTTCTTCATATAAAAATTATAATACGAAAAATTAAAAAAAAAATGCAATATCTGTTAATTATAGATTATATATATATCTAGTATTGTCCCAATTGGGAATGGGGCAAACGCCCTTAATTATCATAAGATAAATAAGCTCAACTATATTATCAATCAATTAATCAGTCATATTATCTGATTGTTTGGTCTGAGACGTAGAAAACAACGAGTATAAATACACATATATAATACAAATACACCAGTACACAGAAAATTTGACCAGCCGAGTTGAGAATCGCTATTACCACGCCCAGCGCTTTTCTAAACATATACAATACTTTGAATATAACATTTTGATTACAATGCAGCTAAACACGTGTAGTACTTGTTCTATCGTGAAAGCTGGTCTGGTATGCGTTGAATGGATTACAAAAGAATAATTTACCTAATAACGGAACACAGTTTCGTACGTGACCAGTTTTATGCATGTCATATATTACAGTCAGCCCTGTTGGACAGGGAAGTGAGCAGGGAAGTGGGCAGGTAAATGCCTGTCGTACTGCCACTACTCATGCCGCTACTTGCCATGGTTGCGAGTTGTTCGTTACAAGAATGAAAAGCTATTAAGAAAATAATCAAGCATTGAAAAATGGGCATGAGTTTTTTATACTTTGATTTGTTTAAAATGAATATGTACACCTTGGTATTACTGAAAATATAAATAAGATATAAGCCTAATTACACATTACTCGAAGAAAAATATGCCTTTATCAATATCCGCGAGACTCAGGAAAATCGCTTTCATATTCTACCGGCGTCTCAACATATATTTATTATGTACTAGCTGCATCGGCGAAGTTCGTTTCGCCTTAATATTACTTAGTCTACCTTTTTAGTAACTACATATGGAATATTTATATAAAAACCTAAGTTTACATACAGTGAAATTTTTAATTCTCTCCAAAATAACCCTCCTTAGAGTTTAAGGAATAAATAAAACCAAAGTTACTCAAATAGGTCTTTTGCGCTATGTAACATATTTTGCGATTAATTTTTTATTGCACACACATGCATGTTTTGTTGGATTTGATTTTATTATGCCATTTAAACAGCTTCAAAAAGGCAAGTTAATTCATGATATGCAACATCAGGCTTGATGGCTGACAGCTTTTTTATTCCATACAAAAATTGATACAAAGATCTTAAATTCAAAACTGAGTACGCGCAGATCGATCGAGCTAATGGACCGGTCCAAACCGTTAGATCAGCTATTATTTTGTCAAAAACTATTTCGAATTCAACCACTAACATGATCGCAATAAGAGTCATATTCGCGTGTTTTAAAACGTATAAAGAGGACAATGCCATTAAAAGCTACTTTTGTACTTTGAAATGTGTTACGAAAATCTTGGTTTGAACCGACGATTAAAAAATCAGTTTTCTTTAAAACAGTTGTTTACGGTTAGTTAAAATGCTTAAATAATATAGGCCGTTAAAAAGTCGATAACTTCGGGCTTAGATTCAATATACAAGGTACTATGTAATCTGGTATTCCCTATTATTTCGCATTGTTTAAAAATCAATATGTTTCGTCCGTTACAAAATAATAATATGTTTGTTTTCATATTTGTGTATTCTATTATTAGGGTTGCTTGGAAGAGATCGCTTTATTGCGATAAGGTCGCCCGTTGCAGTATATAATGTTTTAATTTTTTATTATTTTATATTTTGTAAATCAATTAAGTGTGAATGAATAAATTACTTATCTTAATATATATAAATTACGCGTCTTTGTCCGCTATGGACTCCTAAACTACCGAACCGATTTCAATCAAATTTGCACACCGTGTGCAGTTTGATCTAACTTAAAAGATAGGATAGCTTACATAATTAATATATATATAATTCTGCTTTACGTGTGTATTTCACTAAACTCCTATTAAACGGCTGCACCGATTTGAATGGTTTTTTTTGTATGCGTTTGGGTGGTGCCCTGGATGGTTTAGATTCGGTACTTTCATACATCATGCAGGACAGCGTCTGTCGGGTCCGCTAGTTTATTATACTTTTAAATTTAATTATCATTTAAAGCCTGGAATAGGCTGATAAGCGATAATATAAATAGATAAATGCCCGTTGCACTCGGAATTTAGATTTAACACCGTGTTTTGTTTTCTTGTATGACCTTTATTAACCTTTTAAAATTAAATGCTTAGTAAGCCTTAATATGTCAAATACCTTCCTTCTATGTTTAATCCTCTATATTAGTGTTTCCCAACAGTTTTAGTGACATGCCCAACCTAGCATTACCTTAGCCTTTCTAAAATATCTAGATATGTTAATACATAATTTTTATTATTAAAAATTTTAAATTTTAGAAAGAAATGACTAGGAAATTGCTAACGAAACGCAGTAAGTAAATATTCAAAAATCAATTTCAAATTAATTTTAAAATTGCCGAATATTATATTATACAGCCCCCTTAACAATCAAATTTGGAAACACTGCTATATATTATATGCCACACGAAGTAGCAGGATATAAATCAAAAATATAAACAAATTTCTTACCATTGATGCGCGGAATTAAAACTGAGTGGAATCTACTTGTTTAGAATAAGACTATCTAGAAACTGGCCGAGTAACATTTTAATTTAGATCAAGCCATCAATGGATTATGTAATTATAGAAAGTTGCGTATTTTAAAAAAGCTGATAATATTTTACATAGCATAGGATATATATGCAGCATTGTTTATATATAACTAAATAGTTATATACACTTTCCTGATGTTTCGTATTATCATTCGCACTGTACAGCCATAAATACTCAAACTCAAAATATCTTTATTCATATAGGTAAACAAGTAAACTTCTGAACGTCAAAAGAGAAGTTAAATTAACTGTTAATTTACATTTACTACCAGTTCGCAAGTCAAGGGCGTAGAGCGGGCAAGAAGAACTGGCAAGAAACTTTCCGCCACTCTTTTTAATCACTAAGTTTTGAAATAAAGACATGTACAAAAAAAGGATAATATAAAAAAAGCAAATGATAATGTTGAGAGCAGTTTCTTCCAGACAAAGAAGTAAAATATAGAGTTACATATATTAATACAGAAACATTCAAAGTCGCGGCATATAGTAAATTACAATAACACGTGTTAAAGTTATAATTAGATAAACGCCACCAGCAAATGATCACGTCCATTCATATTCATGAGCTCATGCGGAATTTAATCAATTGCCTACAGTTAATTATGACACGTCATGTCAATTAGGTAATAATTCAATTGTTTTGTCATGAGGGGTTTAATATAAGTTTAGATTTTAACTACCCTTTACGTAATAAAAAATATAACGAATTATTATCCTACATAGTAGCAGCAGCAAGTACTTTACACAAGCTCAAGATAGAGAGATATAGCCAGTTGAAGAAAACCTTGAAATTTTTTTTTATAATTAATTATTTCTGTATAAAATTTTAAGTGTGTGTATCTTTTGTAAAGATTGATGAATGTTTCAAGGAAAGAAATAGGTATTCATATTTTTATTATATACTATTGATTTATTAAACTTAACCACATCATATATATATTGCTATATCTACATTCTACAGTATATGTTCAACGATTCAAAAAATTCCCTAGTCCCTCCTTTCCGAAGAACGCGTTTTGGTCAAAGCTAACCGATGTCCAGATTGAGTATTCTGATAAACGAGCTGGGTCTGGATATCCATAGTTGCTCCCCTCACACTTTAAAATCGATTTTCGTTTAGTTTTTGTAACTTTAATTGTTTTGTTTAATTATTGTATTCTCTTCGTGTACGTCATGTTTGCCTATAAGTGCTTGTCACATTAAAAATTGTATATTCTTTTTACCAATGTATCAGTGTGCCGAGCGTTGGCAAGGTTTCATCAATTAAAAAATATTTTTTTAAGATTGATCAGCCCACTACCGAATATATTTAGCCCACTAACTATAATCATTTAAATATGGAAAACTCGCAAGGCAAACACAATATCGGGACACGCACGAAGGACCAATAAATGTTCGTTATGTATAAAGTTTTCCACTAACCAAAATTCAGTTCGTGACTTGACCAAGCAAATCAAATTCAAGACCCAAATATAATAGAGCAAAAACCGGTTCACCTATAGATCCATCTTATGTCACCTACCTACTATAAAATTCTTGTAAACTGCATTCGCCCACAGCGTATGATATGATGTCACTACGTCACAATAACGCAAACTATACTTTCCTTAGCAAATGACATCACTGTGTTGATTGTAGAATTCAATTGTTTTAACAGTCGTCAACGAGTCTAGATTTCGACTGGGCATATCCTTGAACTGTAATCAT